CGTGGACCCCACCGATTGGTTTCTGTGTTTTTCTTCTTTTCAGTTACTTTAGTCAGTTAAACCAGTGCAGTGAGCGAACAGGATTTACGGTGTCTGTCGTGGCACTGGATTGTTTTCTGTTGGGGAAGATGATCACGTGCGGGTGTAGTCCACGTAATGATATTTTGACTTTTCGCCTTTGTTAAATATTTTAGGTGATGAGTCAATCATGAATTAAGATTCTAAGAACGTAATTTACGTAGCTAGCAGCGTCAAGTAACATGTGCCAATTGGGCATTCTTGAATACCTTGAGGCATAAATTAGATTAATATTACTTTATTGCCACGGCTATTAATTAACGGATCACTAATTAGTAATTACACTTCCTGGTATTTGAAGAGACAAATTAGCACAATTTTCTTCAGTGTGACTTTCTTTTAAAAATTCTAGAGTTCGAAAATTTCTTTGTCACAAGAATATATATATATATATATATATATTTTGGTGCATGAACACAATCTTCTTAATGTTTGTTGTTGTTGTTTTCTTCTTTAGGTTTACGATTTTTTATTAGAATTTCATGTACATTTATTGATACTATGTGGTAGGTTGCTAAGGGCCAAATACTGAGTAATAAAGGGTTGTGGTTTTGATTTCATTAATTGGGAAACTTGTACCGGGTGCAATTAGTGTTGCAACTGATGGTTTTAAATTTAGTAGCAATTAATACCAACCGTGTTAGTTTGCTTGTAATGGCGGAATTGACCAACTGGGACATCAATTGTCAGACGTGTAAACATGGGTGTCACCTAACCTTTTCATGAGAAAAGGTAGATTAGGGTTAACATATTATTAAAGAGGTGCAATCATCATCATTGAGTTAGTAACAGCTTGTTTGTACAGGAAATGTACGTCAAGTTTAACCTTTCCTTTCCCTCCTTTCTGAGTTAATGCTAAGTTATACTAATGGTATTTATAGTGTTATTTTTAAACTTGATTATAACTGCATTTAGCTAATTACAGCAAGTTTCAGGTTTAAAATAATTATACATGTAATTTATTGTTATATTTTTTTAGAGTGTGATTGATAGTGTGAACAACTTCAATTCCTGGGAGAAAATACAATGGATATGGGAGATGTTAATTCGATTTAGGTTAATACGATTTATCTTTTGTTCAACAAAAAGGAAACTAGAATGAGAGAAATTCATGAGGTAGTGAATGGTCGATGGAACAGTAGTTGTAGTTCTCCTTTTACTTTGGTGAATCCTTATATGCAATTTAATGTGTTGTCCTATGAAAAACTTTTGTTCTTATTTACAAGAAACAGAAAGATCTCCAGGATATCTGAAATTTGAATATTCCTTGCTTTCCGTTATCTTTCGCTGGATTTCTGGGTTTTCTTTGGAGACGTACGCTGGTGACTAGTGGCCCCAATTTTATCATGTTGCTTTTGGCCCTTTGTTAAAATACACCATCAGTTTCTAGTTACTTTGTCTAATATTTAACAAACAGAGACGCCTTATCCCTATCCTCTCAGTCATTTTATGTTTCTTTTAGCCCTTATGTCAATGGATATAAAAGTAGGTGCTCGAGATACTAGTGAAAGGTTGTAGCTAACAAAGTAGACAAGAAATCCATTAGTTCCCATAATTAATGCTTAAGACTGAGTATTAGAAGAAAAACAATTGTTAATGTAATAAATTAATAATAATTATTCCTTTTCTAGTTCCCGATATGTAATTGCACATAGAAAGGTAAGAATAAACAAAAGTTCACACATTGTACTGAAAAAGAAAAGTTAACACCAAAATACGAATATGCAAATGCTGAAGGACATTAGCTCAGAAGCTTTATGTGCTTTTCTTCTCCACCCTACATGTCAAGATATTTTCTTTCAGTGTCTCCTTTTTCAATAATTGATTTATTGCATGAGAGTACAGAATTTGTGTCGTAGGTCCCTCGTCATTGTGGGTACGAGTCATGTAATAAAAATAGAGCATAATAATTCCTTGTCTAGGTTTAATGATATGGTTATCAAAAACATTTAAATCCAAGATGCCAATATGCACATAACAACAGTAGGACCCTTTGTCGATGTTTAGGAGTCTTGCAGCATCTCAATTATTTTCTTGCTCAAATGTATCATTACGTTTGCACCAAAATATTCCAGGCACTGATCATCGTTTTATATATATATATATATATATATAAATTGCGTTTTCCTTGGTGGATCCTCACTCGAGATTGCATTATTCTATTCTTTTTTTTTCCAAATCTTGATTAGACTTACTTAAACAGATGGCTAACAGAGAATTGGTTTCTTAATTAATACTTACTCAAGTGTTTGTTTGGTGATTTTTCCAGATTCTATGCATCAGAGGTGATCGTAGCTTTAGAGTACCTTCATATGATGGGGATTGTTTACCGTGATCTCAAGCCCGAAAACGTTCTTGTTCGAGCAGATGGCCATATAATGCTCACTGACTTTGACCTCTCATTAAAATGTGATGATTCAACGTCAACCCCTCAGATCATCTCCGACAAAAACCACGCTGCTGCAGCCCCAAAAAGTGACTACTTGTTTGACCATCCTCCTTATACTTCATCTTCATGCATTCTTCCTAACTGTATAGTCCCAGCGGTGTCATGTTTCCACCCAAAACGGAAACGCAAGAAGAAGTTGGGCAACCGCGGTGGGCCCGAGTTTGTAGCCGAGCCCGTTGATGTTCGGTCTATGTCATTTGTTGGGACCCACGAGTATTTGGCGCCAGAGATTGTGTCCGGTGAGGGCCATGGCAGTCCTGTGGATTGGTGGACACTAGGAATATTTATGTTCGAACTATTTTACGGGGTTACTCCTTTTAGAGGGGTTGACCATGAGTTAACTCTAGCTAATATCGTGGCTCGAGCCCTCGAGTTCCCAAAAGAACCCGCTGTGCCTGCCACAGCTAAGGACCTTATATCGCAACTACTTGTTAAGGATCCGGCGAGGAGAGTGGGTTCCACCATGGGTGCATCAGCCGTCAAGCATCACCCTTTTTTCCAAGGGATTAATTGGGCATTGTTGAGATGTACGCATCCACCGTATGTTCCTCCCCCATTTAGTAGAGAAGTTGTATCGGATGAAAGTTGTCCGGAGACCCCTGTGGAATATTATTAGCAAGTTGAACAAAGAGTTAATAAATACATCTCACAAAAATCTTGCCATTTCTTGATTATCATTCAGCATAAATTCTACCACCACTCCCGAATCCTGATACTTGGGACCCTTACCGCCACGGGGTACTATAATTTTAGCCAAGATTGCTCAACAATAGCAAAACAGCTGTTTCGATATTCTACATGAGAATAATTCCGTGATTTGCAAACCTTTCCATTTTCTTGGTCAATGCAAATGTCGGAAACATTGGATCCTGACAATATAAACACAGAGGGCGGTATTGACTTCTTAGGGGAAAGCAGGTGGCACCGTTTGATACGTTGTCCACCGATCGCGGGGCCCTGGGGGCATGGCCAAGCCACGAGGGAATTGCTGCTTGTTTATGTGTGTTTGCCTGTGAAGACCAGGCCCTCGCCCATGTGATTCGTTTGGTGTACAGGGAAACTGTGGGACAAAGCTGGAGGTTTAGAAGTATAGTTGTATTTGTTTTTAGAGGTGCCATGATTCTTGCACAAAAATTCTCTGGTAAGGTCTAATCTTCTTTATCGTCTCTAGTTACCAACTGTTTAATTGGGATAGTGTTGGTTAAATTGTAGTACTATGTATTTGTCTGTCATGAAGTTGGAAGTTGGGAACTGTTTTAATCAATTTGTGCATGATGGCCACGCCTCCTAACGGTTCCCTCATTAGATATTTATAGCAATGAGTACCTAACAAAGGCTACAATAATACCACCCGTTTTTTTAAGATCTGTTTGTTGGCGGTTTGATCTCAGATTCAAGTTCCATCACTACTCGTAATTTACATTGCGATAGATTAGTTCTACTCGTCTAAGGCACTTTAGATTACGATACAGATATGTTGAAAATCTCTTTCAATATCTATGGATATAAAAATGTTTTTTTTTTTTTTTTTTTTTACAAGTGATGGAGTTTTTTTGAGTTAAAATTAATACTTTTTAAATTTACATCAGCACAAAAAACATATAACTTTTGATCGATTATTATACTATTTTTTAAATTAAATCAATTAAAATTTGATATTATTAAAAAATAATCATAACTAATTATTAACGGATTAGATTAAATTTCTTTTATTGAGTTATAATAGTTTTGTGTGTACATTTATTTGGTTTTCCTAGCATTTTTAATGATTAGAAACCCTTATCTTCTAGATAAAATTCTTAACTTGAAAAAAATAAAAAAAAAATTGAAAAAAAAATAAAGCATGCCCCAACTGGCAAATGCTCTTCTTCTTCTTCTCTTTACTTTTTTCCCAAAAATACCGATGGACTATCTTTTTATTTTTTTTAATACAATGGATGGGCAAATCTGAAATATGGTCAATTGTGGTAATGATGAGTCATAATGTAAAGCAAAACACCTCAATGCAGTTCCATTATGATAAGATAAAGTAATACCCTTAATTAAAATAATTTGAAGTGGAGTTTTGGTGGAAATGATGACCATTACCACAGATTAATAAACGAAAGTGGCTTTTTAGCAATTTGGAGGTGCTGCTATATGATTTTCCTTTTTGGAACTTTAAGGCTGGCAAATTGTAATGGACCCCATCAGGCCCATGATTATGGACCTTTAAATCTCCTTGCCTTCGAGGCCCTTATTTTATCGGCCTACCAGGGTTCTGCTTACAAATTCAAGCTCGAGGCCCAATTTAGGGTTGTTCATTCGATTTACCGACCCGAATCAACAGGGTCTATACCACGGCCCCAGCACTCACTGGAAGCTAAAACCTGAGAAATTCCCAATCCCGCTTAAAAAAATAAACAGACAGAAAAACCGACTTACTCTGCACACTCTATCTCGCAAGTCCAAACCCTAGAAATCAGCAGCAAAAATGGAGGAAGAAATACAAAACGGAAACTCGGCGACGCTGGTGGAGAACGACGAAGAGGCCGTAATTGGACCTGGTCCAGCACCAAAGGCCCGAGCCAAGCGTCCTCTCCAGTTTGAGCAAGCTTACCTGGATTCCCTCCCTTCTGCAAACATGTAGGTTCCTCTCTGGTGTTTTTTTGAAGTTTGTAATTTTTTTAGGGTCTAGAGGTTTTAAATTTCTGTTAGCGTTTAATAACTGCATTTTTTCCCTCTCAAAACTTAATAAATGTCTAAATTGTAAACACAAGAAAATTTCTTAGCCACGATCTGTTTTGTAGGTATGAGAAAAGCTATATGCATCGAGATATGGTTACGCATGTTGCAGTTTCCGCAGCTGATTTTTTCATAACTGGAAGTTTTGATGGTATCCTTCAGCACAATTACTGCATACTTCTTTCGTCAACGTTTTACGGATTAGCAATTGAGTATTCGTGAGTTAGCAACTGAAAATGATGTGCTGTTTGATTATTTTTAACTTTCTCTTTCATCTGTGTTAATCAGGGCATTTGAAATTTTGGAAGAAAAAACCTGTTGGCATTGAATTCGCAAAGCATTTTAGATCCCACCTTGGTCCCATAGAAGGCCTAGCGGTGAGTGCTTCCTCCTCCTTATTGTGTTTAAACTCGATTGTCAGTTGATTTTTGCTTTGAATAACTTTATGTGTCTATGAACCATAAAACTTTTAATCAGTAAAGATTTTATAGCTGTTTATCATATTATCTAAGTTGCATGATTTTTTCGTTGTGGTTGTGTGTGTAGCTTAATTGGAAAGAAAATAGAATGAAAGACATTATTTATCCCTGAATGTTTGTGTTGGATTCGTTTAATGTGCTTTTTTGGGTACTGATTATTGTTCATTAGATTTTCCTATTAGAATTTAGGAACCAATCATTATTGAGCCTTGTTCCTTTCATCTCATTTTCTCGCAATTGTTAAAATCCTATTAGTTAGTGCAGTCGTCAACCATGACTTTGTTCAGCCATGCAGGTTAGCGTAGATGGCTTACTTTGTTGCACGATTTCAAATGATCGATCTGTGAAAGTATATGATGTTGTCAATTATGACATGATGGTCATGATTCGCCTTCCATACATTCCTGGTAGTGCTGAATGGGTCTACAAACAAGGGGATGTCAAAGCTAGGCTTGCCATTAGTGATCGGAATTCCTCATTTGTGCACATATATGATGCACGATCTGGTTCAAATGAACCAATCTTCTCAAGAGAGGTAACTGGAAACATCAATAGTTTACCATTTTCATAACACTATATTTTTACTCATGTGTTCTTTCTCATGCCATGATACTGACCTTTATTTTCATTCCGTTTTTTTTTTTCATTTCTCCAGGTACATGTGGAACCAGTTAAAGTTATGAAATACAACCCTGTATTTGACACAGTAATATCTGCTGATGCAAAGGGAATTATTGAATACTGGAGTCCCACCACGCTTCAGTTCCCAGAGAGCGAGTATGTGGATATATATAGGCACCTTCTGGATACATATGATTAATTGCCTTAATTCTTACCACACTATATCTATACAAGTCTAGAAGGTAACCACTCTTTAAGTGTGGTTTTTCTGAGATAGTAAACTGGTGTGGGCATGATTCTGGGGCATATGAGTTCCTTTAATGCTAGAATATCCTGCAAGTTGTCGTCCATTAATGTATCACTTGGAAGCAGATACTTTACATTTTGCTCTCTTGTACTAATATATGAGCAGGTTTTTGCCTCGTCAACCCCATTTTCACAAGACACAGCAAATATAACTCAAAGCTTAAAAATTTAGGCTTCAGCAAAATCTTTATTGGAATTGTTTATGGTTGTACAGTTTCTTTTACACATCAAATCGATGTTTATTGGTTCTGGTATTCCTACTATTGAAGAATCACCTTTTTTTTTAAAAAAAAAAAAAAACCTTGGCAACTACCAGAAGTGTCGAATTTTTAGAATCTTATATTAATATTATCTTACTGTGTTCTTCTGTATTTTCCCTGATTGTCGACAGGGATACAACCTTGAGATTTTGTAGATAAGTTTTTTCTTTTCATATCATGTTGAGACATCCTTTGTTGGTTGTACAATTTGTCTGGTTTCCTCCGATTGTGGCAAATTTATAACAGTTTTCTTTTTTCTGGTGCATGCAGGGTGAAGTTTAGATTGAAAAGTGATACTAATCTATTTGAAATTGTGAAGTGCAAAACTAGTGTTTCCACTATTGAGGTATTACACATTCGGGATCTTATGAGTGTGGTCTACAAATGGACGTTATGACTATTTTTTAGTATTGATTTTTGTATGCTTGATCTTTTTAATTGGTTCTGTGGGAAATATCAATGTGAAAAACTGAAAAAAAAAAAAAAAATTACTGCTCACTGTACATGTTACACTATTGTCCACCAGGTGAGCCCAGATGGTAAGCAGTTTTCCATTACATCACCTGATCGAAGGATACGCGTATTTTGGTTTAGAACGGGTAAACTAAGGCGAGTTTATGATGAATCTCTTGAGGTAATACCTATAACTAGTGGACTGTCATTTAGAATTTATTTGCTTGTGGAGTCTTCTGTAATGATTGATTATCTTGTGTTGATTAGGTGGCTCAAGATCTCCAGAGAAGTGATGCTCCCTTGTACCAATTGGAAGCTATTGATTTTGGGCGAAGAATGGCTGTTGATAAAGAAATTGAAAAGACAGAAACTGCACCACAACCGAACGCTGTTTTTGACGAAAGCTCAAACTTCCTTATATATGCGACCCTCCTTGGAATAAAAGTAAAGATACTACTGCCACACAATTTTGCAACTTAAAATTTTTGTCCTGCACTGCATATTATTTACCAGTCACTGTACTCCTAACATTTTATTTTTTTCTTACCCCTTTGTTTCACATGTTTTTATAGGTAGTAAATTTGCAGACCAATAAAGTTGCCCGGATTCTTGGAAAGGTGGAGAACAATGACAGATTCTTACAAATTGCGTTGTATCAAGGGGATCAAAGCAGTAAAAAAGTTCGAAAAATTCCTTCAGCTGCCATAAATGTCAATGAGAGCAAAGAGCCTTTAACAGATCCCACTCTCTTATGTTGTGCTTTCAAGAAACACAGAATTTATCTATTCAGGTACTGTTACTTCTCAATTTAGTTGATCATGCAAAATGCAGGCTAAAATCAGGGTGTTTCTTAAAGGCATTCCCAGTGATGCCAGTATGGGTGAAGCAACTGCTTAAATATTGCTACATGGCCAATGATTATTTAAAAACCAAATTCCCCAATGGGGAAAGCAGTTAAGATTTGTAAAAGTTATAAAAGTAAAAGTAACTTCTAATTTTCATGCCAGAGGACTAACTAGTTCTATCATACACATCTTCCACCTATTAGATGGTTTTTCCCCCAAAAAAGATCTGACTTGTATGCAAGAATATGTTTAAGCCACTCATAATTTTTAATATGAAAGATATATTTCTTGTATCATTAAAACGGTTTAACTCCTTTTCGCTGTGAGAAGAAGATATGTCATTGTCTTACTATTTTAATATTTTCATCAAAGAAAAATGTTGTACAAATCTACATCAATTATCGGGAAAACAAAAATATACCTTATAAAGGATGTGTGCTAGATTTCCTTAAAACTTGAACTTATTTTCAAAGTTTAAACAATCAAGAAAAAATAATTCTTTTTTTTTTTGTTCTTTTCATGCAAGTATTCGATGTTTTTTTATGAAACAAAAGCACCTGAAATGGTATTGAAATTATCAACTTGTTGATGAGAGAAGTAGAAATTACGTGATATGATCTTCTGACTTGTAAATTAAAAGCAGTATTCAAAAGGTTACATCATATTCTGGTTCAATTATCAGCAAGAATAAGTTACATTGACTTAAATGCCTTTAACATGAAATTCTTTTAAATGATTTATCATTGTGCACTGAGAGTAACCTCCAACACTTTGGATCATTGGTTATTCTGAAATGCCATGTTGTTTTGTTATTGTTTTAATGGTCCAAATAGCCGGAGAGAACCAGAGGAGCCTGAGGATGCAACTAAGGGTAGGGATGTGTTCAATGAAAAGCCTCCACCAGACGAACTTTTGGCTGTATCAGATATAGGAAAATCAGTGACTACATCTCTTCCTGACAACGTGGTAGGTTTTTTTCCCCATATCCAGTTTAGAACTAGATCATAACTATTCTAGCCTCTGAAATGAATCTGGATAATTTATTTATCCATTTAATCAATACATTTCTTGTTGAGCATGCTAAATGTGCAAATTTTTATGGAATTTGTGAAAATCTTGCTTTGCTTTGCATAAGCACACATCTTTCTGTTTGTATGATTGGTGTCTGAGCACACACATGCATTTGTGTTTGTCTGTGGGTAGATGGGCCTCATCGTGTATTCTTGTGTCTTGCGTAAAGTATGAGAATGTGTTCTGAATATGTGTTTTTTGTCTTGGACTTTCCCAAGTGTGAAGATAGTTTAAGAAACTAAGGTCTCATTGTATGTTTATGTAGTCACATGAATAAGACAGACTTCAATTTTTAGTGTATTAGAAACTGATGGCTGAAATGGCATCCACACATGATTAATGATTCCTTCAAACATGTTTTTGTCTAATCTGAATTCCCTTTTGCCAGATTTTGCATACTACAATGGGAGACATTCACATGAAGCTGTACCCTGAAGAATGTCCAAAAACTGTTGAGAATTTTACAACACACTGCCGAAATGGCTACTATGATAATCTTATCTTTCATCGGGTCATCAAAGGTTTCATGATACAAACAGGAGACCCATTGGGAGATGGCACTGGGGGGCAGTCTATTTGGGGAAGGGAATTTGAGGATGAACTTCACAAAAGGTAATCTTTTAGGTGAAATACATTTTTCACCAGGTTATTTGTGCTTCTTCTAGTTGATATTGCTACTAACATTTTGAAGAAGCCTCTTCCTGTAACTTAATGATATATTCAAATTATTGTAATGAGAAATCCCTGATCCTAACTTATGGTTCGCTTTGATATTTATGTATGATATTCCGAGTCGTTATCCATTTTCCCTTTGGTAGTTTTATTTTTTCTTTGCATGCTTCCAAGTACAAACCATCCGTAACAACACGAGAAACTTAGGGGCATGGAATTTGATCCTTCAGATGTGCATTAATATTTTCATTTACTTAGACCAGTGCCGCACAATTAAAGACTTTGTAGAGCTTCTCAATATGTTAATTCTTATTACATGGGCAAGTGGCTTTTTTTTTTCTGCCTTTTCTTTTTCCAATTCCTGTTATTCCTCTATGCATCGCATGCAACTGACTGGATGAAACATTTCTGTTTCTGCAGTTTACGACATGACAGGCCTTTCACAGTGTCAATGGCAAATGCAGGCCCAAATACAAATGGTTCCCAGTTCTTTATCACCACAGTGGCCACTCCATGGCTGGACAATAAGCATACGGTGTTTGGTAGAGTTGTAAAGGGAATGGATGTTGTACAGGTAAACTTGAGCTTGCACTTTTGTATCCATTAGTATTTGCCTATCTTGCTGCTAAATCTTTTTTTATCTCCTGCCTGTGAACATTGGAAGTACTGTGATGCTTGGGAGAGAATGTATTGTTTTGTTCCATTTCTTCATTAACTTCCATAACCCATATATTGATCAAGAGAGGGTTCTTGTTATTTAGTTTGGGTGTTGTTCTACTATCCATGGGCTGATTGGTCTGCAAGAATGCCATGTGCCCTAGAACCTGAATCGGACGAACACACGCTTGTCACCTGTCATTATGCATATTGGCATGTTACCCAGTATTTATTCTAAAGTCATTATTTTGATGACAGGCTATTGAGAAGGTGAAGACAGACAGAGGAGACAAGCCATACCAAGATGTAAAAATCCTAAATGTAACTGTCCCCAAGTCTTAGTAGAATCTTCCTTTTAGACGTGAATCTATCTTGATCTGGTCGTTGGTGTGGCTAAGAATCATGTGCCAAAGTAAGTGCACTGTATTCATCTCGCAACTCACTTTCCTGCAGTGTATTTTCACACTTGACGTTCATTATTTTTGTTAATGATTTGCTGCATCTGTTTTAGTTTCTTTTCTTCCTTTTCGAAACTCCTGTTGGCAAATATGAAAGGCACTCTTACATTAGGGAGCAGAAAATAATTGCGTTCTGTGAGCATATCAAATCATGTTTGTGGCTCGGATACATTTCCTATTCCATTCTGATCAATTGAGTCCATTTACTGATATATGAGCAACCACTTTAAAACACCTTTTTAAAGATTCCAAAAGTAGATGTGACTGAATGGTACTTACTCATCTGTGATCGAAGCTTTTGAATATTAAATACTACTCCCCTAAAATAAGAAAAGGACAATCTAATTTCTCTGATTTAAGTTGAATGAGCTTAACCCGAAAATTTCTAACTGAGCTCTGTTGTGTTGATTGTTCAGCAAGGTTAAATTCCTTGTTCTATGTTAGTTGGGATCGAGTGGGCTGCCAAAGGTTTCGCCATTCTAGCAATTTAGTTCTTAACAAGCGGCTTGCTAATTTTATTTCAAAAAATATTTTCAAAAGGACAAAAGATATACGACAGATTTTTCCATAATTTTGTTGGCAGTTTTTTTTTGTATCTCCCTCATTTTGCCCAGAACATTTTTTCTGCATCTTCAGCAATTACATTATTTGAAGGGTTTTTGAAGTGTTGTAGGATCCAGGTGTCTCACTGTGAATTGTGTTGTTGTGCCAGGTTTTACATTTTCTTCTCAATTAGCAGCAAGGAAGATTGCCATTTTCATTCTACAGCCCTCTTTGATATCTAGGATAACGTTTGAACAATTTGTGTATATGGGCACGGCTGCCATTTATCCTTTTTCTTTTTTAAACATTTCTGTAATATTTTCATCAAATCCCATCGCTCCAATGCCAACGCTCATCTACGAGTAGAAGAAACATCTTTGAGTTCTGTCATGTTTGGTTCCTGGATTTTGTCAGCTGATTTTCTGGTTGATAACACCGAGAGAAATTGTGTGCATTCTTTCTATTGATTTTATCCTTGTTCTACTGAGCAAAACCCTCATCTTTTACTGTAATTAAGAGTGCCTGCGGCATTAATCTTTGTCCTTTCCCTATAGGATTTTCCATAACCCAGCCATTAGATTAATGGACCCAGTATCTAGCTTTGTAGATCCGACGGCTGAGCCATTTCTGTAACCTCTGGCGTATCATCGGTGCTTACTCCTTAGCTTTATGCTATCTTATTTGGTCCAGATGATTCTTCCCATACTTGGGAGCCCATTGGTGGCTTCATTCCATTTTTGTCAAAATTTCCATCTTTTTCTTACGTGACGGATAAACAATCTATTCTTTTAAAATGTTCGTTGGCCCTTTTCGATGGACAGCCATGAATTAATTGGCAACAAGAAGGCAAAATATTTGCATAACCTATAGGTATTTTGCAAGTAAATTTAAGATATATGGGTATGAGCTTGGAATAACTAGGTAAAATTTAGTTATTGATCTATTTATTTATGACTTATTAATATATAACTTTTATACGAGTTCAATTATGATTTGAATTCGTTAACCTTAAATATAAATTTATTTTGATCCAATTTGATAATAATATGATTTAAAATTAATATTAATATTGTTTCTCAATATATATAATATTTTAAAAATATAAAAATAATAAGAAAAAGTATGGCAATAGAGTTTGATTTAGGGTTTAGTTACTTTTTTATGTTAAAAATAATCTATAATTTTGCTTCTTCTTCTTTTTTTCCCCTCTATTTGATAATTTTTTTTCATCATTTTTTCAAGATTTATGTGATAAATCCAATAAATGAATGAAATAAATAAATTAACAAGTTGTTGCTAGTATTATAGTTTTTTATCTATAAAATCTTAATTCAATGTGAATTTTTGTTCATTTGAAACTTGTTGTTTGTAAAACATTATAATTTTCTCTTATGTCAATTAAGTCATGTTAGAGTGGGTGTTTTTATTATATTTCTTTAACTTTGACTTCTTGCCCAATTTATATTAATTTTGACCTTTAATATAAATTTTTATTGGGATTGTTATTCATTTATTTATTTTTGAAATTGACATGTTAAATATTATTTTTTTCCTTCCAAATAGATTGTTCTTTTTAACCTTTTACGTAAATTAAGAATATTATTAATTATTATACTATATGAGCATCTTTAGTACATACTTTTCAAAAATATTCTCTTTTTCTCTTTTAAAATCGTATTTGGATAACGTTTTACAAAATATACTTTAAATGAAAATTTAGGAAAGTACAGTACTTAGAATTCTCACTAGAGAAATATTTAGTTAAAAGTATTTTAGAAAAAGAATATGTTAAGAAAGTACAACACTTAAAGTTTTGATCAGATAATTATTTTAGAACATGTAAAGTTTTGACCAAAGGGAGTACCGGTTTTTTCTATATATATGCAATAGTTGAAACTTATTTTACATTGAGATATGATTTTTTAGTGTAGCAAACATTTTTTCTTTCAAAAAAATCAAACGATGAATTTGGTAGATATTTGAATTTATTAGGATCTGTATTTGTATCGATAATGGCAAAATCCAAACTCGATTACATAAGATTCGATTCAATATATTTATCAAACATATCAAATTTAAATATACTATCATCTAATATCATATGATTCAAATTCGTTGACACCCAAATTTACACACAGGATTGAAAATGTATGAAGCACAACTTGTAATTTAATGAGTAAAATTTTTTTTTTCATATATTAAAAAATTATGATTCTTTAGCCAATCAAATGGCAAACACTAAACAGGATTGGAGAAAAGTCACCAAATTAGAAGTCAAATTATTTAGTGTATTTAGGATTACTATTACTCCCAAAACAGAATACAATTTAAGAAGTTTTTTCTTTTGGTTACAAGAATTTAACAAGTTGTCATTCTCTTCTGTATTCTATAAAATATATCTTACTGTGAAAAAAAGAGGAAAGTTGAAAATTAAGATAATCATGAATTAAGTCAATGTTTATCTTTTGGTGGAGTGCGTGTAAAAGAGCGTGGATGGGAATGCCCGTATTATGGCTTTATTCTAAATCTTCGGTGGAGCGTGCTGCGCGTGAGATGAAAAGCGCGTATACTCTTGTCTTTATCCTACCTGTTCATTTTAAACTGCTGCATGAAGGCATGACCGCGTATAGCTGAGTGCAGGTTTCTCTACCAAATTTAGCAGACTCCGCCAGCTTAGATGTGACTGTGGCAAACTGTCTCTTCAGTCTCTACTCTGTCTCTTTCATTGCATTCAGCCAGAAAAGAAAATTCACATTCTCCACTGCGTGCTCTCTCCTCTCAATAAAAGAGAGAGGGGTCATAGGGGGAGAAGTGAGAGCTAACTTTTGGTTCCCATTTTTCTTCTGTGCTTTTTGTCTTGAAGAACAAAATGGGAAGTTCTAATATCTGGCAGGAGCAAAGGAACTTTGTGAAGAGTTTGCATGAACAGGTGGAGTATAGCCATTCTCTTCTCATCTCTTTACTTTGATGTGATCTTCTATTGTTGTGATCTTGAATCTTGGTTGTGTATATTTGCTAGAAACATATTACTGGACTTTGTTAAGTTCTTTTTGGTGGAGTTTTTTTTTTTTTAACTAGATAATATGGTTCATTTCTTTTCGTAATTTGTATGTATGTATATATATTGTTTGGTTGATGTGAAACTGTTCAGGAAGGAAAGAGAAGAAAAAGAAAACGTTGATTGTATTTCAAGAGTTTAATGCTTTCTCAATAAAATTGACCAAATAGTAAAGTACAACTAGAATTGAGGCTTTCTTTTTTCCTCTTGTGAAGTTTTCCTCCTTTTTTCCGGCATCATGAGATGTATATAAGAAGGATAAGGGTGTGTTTTTGGTTCATCTTTGACCAATAAAAGAAGAAGAAAAGTTTCCTACTAGAAATTAACAAAATCAAGCAGACAAGTCTTTGGTAATTTTTTTTTTTTTTTTTGGATATTCTGTGACTTATCTTATGGAAAATTGGAGGGGAGAGAGGTGTGCTTCAATGTTAGAGTATTGTCTGAATTTTTTCACCGATCCTTTTTCCTAAGAAAATGCTAGAAGTTTTTGTAAATTTTCACTAATTCTTTTGTTCATTGCAGGGTATATTAGACAGTCATTTTGATGACATCCTTGATTTACCAAGAGAGAGCCCTCAGTTTGTGATTGATTTGGTCAGCACATTCTGCAGTGATGCTGAAATTGCCATAGCAGCACTGATCAGATACCTGTACTTCCCAAACAATTTCCGCAGCTTTCTCTTAGTTAAATATTATTATTATTATTATTATTATTATTATTATTCCATTTTCTAATTGATTTCTGACCAACTGAGCCTGTCATGTCATCAGCAATGAACCTGACATCAACTATCCCAAAGTTATCGACCATGTTCACCAGATCAGAGGCGCTAGCTCTTGGTAACCCGTCCTTTGCTTCCTTAATATCAAATTCTATTTGAAACTTGATTATTTGTCATTCTGTTTGTTGAGAATTTTCCATTCTAGACACTTATATCGTTGGAATATGGTACATGTCTAAAACCATGTGGGAAGCTTCCTTTAATATTAGGCGGCATTCGGTACTAATCTGAACTTCTGATGACATTACACGTCTGGTTTATGTCGAAAACTATTGGAATGTTAATTTCCAAATTAGAATTTTAGAAAACAACATTGAGTTAAGAATATCAATATCGTCAATTACACGTAGCACCCAACAAAATGTTGGAAGAAGCCAGAGAGGTGAGCATTACCTGTAGCCGGCGCATAATTTAAAATATCAGAAGTTTTATAGAAAAATATACACATGTTTTGCTGCAAGTGATTATATAGAATGTTGGAAGCTACTATATCTCACTGTCCAAAACATTATGAAGTATTCATTAGCAGCTAAAAATGCTTCATTTAGAAACATTTGTGTCCTGGATGTTAAACACTTGATGCTTAAACATAGAATTTAGCATGTGCATATATTCATTCATCTTAGAAGTAGAGCAATAAAGACAGACATTTATAATCAAAAGGTAGAACTGAAATTTAAGATGCTAAGAACTTTGATCCAAATCTTGATGCCCCACTACAAGATTACACCTTCCAATGCAGTCACTAAAATTGCTTATAAAAGTTCATGAGGCAATGCCATTTATAATTTACTTCCACTTGATCCTTAATTGATCCATTGATTGTAGACTGAATCTTAATCCTCATATCTGCATTTGGTGTTACAGCATTGGTGGCCATAGGATGGCCCTTGCTTGTCGTGAGCTCCGATATGCTTGTGAAGACAAGGACAAGGAGAGGTAAGATAAGTTCTCTTCTTTCATTTTAGAATCATTGAAAGTTAGTAATTCATTTATTCCCTTTATTTATCATCTTTGATAATTTTATTGGAAAAACACCAGTGGTACCTTGTGGTTTGCGTAATATGCTCTGCTCTACCAATTCTTCTGATAGTTTAGTCAGTGTTGTAGCCAAAATATAGTCCTAGTTATTAATTTCATTGTATCACGTGAATGGCACCATTGTGTACTGGTGTTCTTTGGTTTATGGGAGGACAGTTTCTCTTTAGATGGTAGCTGGACTGGTAGCGAACCTCGTTCCCTTTTCGATTAGAATTCAAAGGAAAAAAATGGATTTTTCTTTTTGAATCTCAACCCTATAACTCTTCCCATACATGTAGTCAAATGGTTAACTCCTTCCCTCCCATTCTACAATGGGTTTGTCAAGGTCAAGCAATGATAGCATTTCTCGTCCGTGTACCCTCTTCTGATGGTTAAAGTGTACTAGCTGCAAAATTTCTTGCATGACTCTTCACAATCTGCTTTCATCCCCTTCTCTCCACTTCAACGATGCTAACTGTCGCTATTCATAGTGATGCTTGAATCCTAGATACCATCTTTCTTTGTCATTTTAAAAGGTTTGTCACTTTTTCAGGTGCTTTGCAGCTTTTGGCAAGACCAAGGATGAATATCAAATTTTAAAAGAGAAGTTTGATATCATCTTGCAGGTAATGCTTGCTTTGCAAGAATGCAAAATGGCTCTCTACTTCCTTGTGAGCTTTCGATTAGTTTTACTCATAGCTGCTTGTTGTCTTGTTTATGTTTTTTCCAAAGCAGTAAATTTTCTTTGTAAAGTAATTGTTCATCATCTGATAATGGATTTGAACACAGATGGAGAGAGCTATGATTTCTGGTGAATCTAAAAGAAGCCAACAATAGAATCCTGAATTGTCGCTACTGTTGCCTGACTCGGTAGAATATCCGAGACAGCTTGTACTTGAAATGGTCATGTAAATAAAGAGTTGCTGGAACTCAGTTCATGTTGTTTTAGACCATTAATATTCTTTCTTTTTTTTGTTAGACTATTAATATTCTTTGTTGTGTATCAGTATTTGCCCATTCAGTATGTTTTTGGTATTAAATGGTTTGGTGTAGCAAAACATAAAGATGTAGGTTACTTTCATAATTTTCACATAGCAATGTTTCTTTCTTTCGAGGTAACCGTTGACCAAACTAGTAGGAAGAGTAGACAAAGTTTGAGAAATTATGTTTTCAGGGATTTTGATCCTGTTTACATCTTCCAACAACTTGATCCCTCAGGTAATTTGGAAACTGAGACATTATGAATATACTGCTTGTTTCTGCATCTGCCTAGCTCACCATATCTCATGATGGTGTGTGACTAAACTGGATGAATCTGCAGGTAATAGCAGATATGATGATCATGAATCTTAGTAAGGCCAAGTCCCATAGGCAATAGTTGGCTTCGGTTTTTTGCAGATAGTGCACAGCTCCACTAGATTTGACAAAAATAGTGTAATGCATAAGTTACAGAAATGTAAGCAAATAGTTTAAACTAGCATACACCCCGTCCGTTGTGGGAGAGCAAGTCACATCATTTTCATGTGTTCGTTCATATCGAATGTAGAGTTCAAAACAATTACTAAAAGGATCACAGGAAAAAGTTCGATAATAATGACCAAAGCATACATCTCGTGCCGTTGCGGGATTAACTAAAAGAAAAGCCATAAATTTGAATAATATAATGTTGTTAATTAAATGTTATTTGATATATATAAATATGGATTTTATTAAAGATATGCATAATTATTTATAATTAAAATAATAATATGATATTTTTTGAATTTTAGATTATTAATTTTCATTATATGTTCTTTATCTATGGTTTATTAATGAGATAAAAAGAAACCATGTAGAACAAAAAGACAAAACAAAAAAAAATTATCAAATCAAGATGAAATTAAAATATTTTCAAAATCCATTAGGCAAAAGATAAGGATAAAAATTACATCTGGGAAAACTTAAATAATGAAAACAAAAAAAAAACCTTCATTAAAAACTAAAAAGTACTTATGAACAATAAGACTAAAAAAACTAATTATGCATAAATTAAAAATAAAAATCAAATACAATAAAACTTTAATGATTAAAATAAATAAAAATCACAAAACATAAACAAAAAAAAGAAAGAAAAGTTTACTAAAAGAAAAAAAAAAACAAATTTAGTTTTAATGTGATAAGAATAAAAATCAAATATGATAAAAATTCAATGATAAAAAAATCACAAAATAGAATAAAAAACATAATGAAAAATTTTATTGAAACCAAAAAATATTCTTTGCAGAGACAGATTAAATATAATAAAAATCTAATGAGTAAAATAAAAGAAAAATCACAAAAGAGGATCTAAGAAAAAAACCATATTCACTAAATGCCAAAATAAGAATTTAGCTATAGTAAACAAATACTTTACCGTAAATAAAACCCCATTAAAAAAAGAAGATTCCAGTGGTTGAAAAAGAAGTTGATTTCAATCATTTTCCTTAGTCTAGAAAACAACTATCACTTGAACAAAGGTCGGTTGGGTTGGGTTGGTTACAGCCGAGCTCCCTAACTACGAAACTAGGCCAAATTGTTAAAAAATGCATCGGCCGACCCCGATTTTCAAGAGCCTCGTGGGCGCAGCGAAAATTCGGGGGCTGTGATCAAGACAGAGCCTAGAAGCATTTTCCTATGAGAATCATGCGATTGAGAAATTTTCTTTTGAGAAATCTTTATATAGATCAAGGCCACCAAATATCATATCTTTACCAAGTTAAACTATAACAAAAACCGGTGAAAGGTACAAAATTTCTTTCTGCTGTGTAGTAGAGAAAGCTTTGGCCGTGTTCTCAAACTTCGAAATTTCACAAACCATACCCTAAACTTAGGTAACACTGCTCAAGAGAGAAACCAAACCAGAATTCAGTATGCTCGGTTATCAAGAAAAGATAAAACGTTAAGAGGACACCAATCCACCATCAAACATCAGGCTATATGACAGAAGATAGCTACTTACTGTCAAATAAACATGCACCAGAAAGAAAGCACAATATTTCATTACGAGAAAGAGGGAGAAAAACTATCCAACGAAAAAGCAATTCATAAAACACATCCATCAACCGAGCGCTTTATCATCCTTGATCTTGCATCAAGCAACGAGAAATGTTCCAGAAACCATTCCGAAGTTCACATAACCTATCAATTTCTGCTTCCAACAAAAAGGTGCTTCCTCAAGGGCAGAAGGCCGGTGTATTGAGTTTCAAATAACTCAGTGTGCCTAGTTCATCAGGAAGAAAACAAATCTCCCATTAATTTCAGAAAACAACGACACAGAATATCTCCACATCCATGGAGAAGATAATCTTTACTAAGATCAACTAAACCACACCAGATGATGCATCAAAAGATTTGGCTCCTGACCTCAGAACTCAGCACACAACTCCTATATAGGCTATTAACTAGACAAGCATACTCGTAACTAAGACATCATATGACAAGTAAAGATTAAGAATACAAGCAAACTTGATTCTCATTTCTGTTCTAAAAAAAAGCACAGGCTGCCTGACACAAAAAAGCAAACCCTAATTATAATCAACAACATCATATATTTGGGACAAAAATAAACCAACAACACAGTCAAGAGTCGCAAAGTTAGCAAAACCCTAAAACCAACTATTGATACAACAACAGCAACAACAACCTATCACTCAGCATCTTGCAAACATAAATGAAAATAGCAAACAATCCGATAACCAAAATCCAAAATTAACAATTATACTGAAAACATTTAAAATTAAACTCCATTATCTAAAATCCAAAAATCCAGAGCCCAAAACGATATCTTAATATCATAATAGAAAACTACAAATCAAAAACTTATAAATTATCCAACTACGACGCTAATGAAAAGCAAAACAAGACCGCCTCGAAACCAGATCTCTTAGTCGAAGAGGCTGAAACCCATATCCTGCAACAACACCAATAGCAATATAACATTCCCATTAGTAATAAAAAAACCTTAAAAAAACAAACACAACAGAAAATTTAATTCATGAAATGGTAAGAAAAGATCGCTTACATCATCAGACTCCTCTTTCTCTTCAACCTTCTCCTCTTTCTTAGCCTCAGCAGCAGGGGCAGCAGCGGCAGCAGGGGCACCACCGCCAGCAACAGCAACACCACCACCGCTAGGGACGGAAGCCAACTTCTCCCTACCGGAAGCAATCAGCTCTGTGATGTCCTTTCCTTTAACGCTGGACAACAACAACTCAATCCTGTCATCATCAGCATCTGCTCCAACTGCAAATCAAAAAATAAAAGAAAAAGCAATATCAAACTCAATTTATTTTCTTCAAAAGTATTATAATATAAAGATCTAATAACATTTTCTTAATAGAAAAAAGGAAACCTACGATAAAGTAGAAGAAGAGGGAAGGAAGAGAATACCAGATCCGAGAATGGTCTTCAAGTCTTCGGCGGTGGGGGAGGTGTTGCCTCCTAGTTGGGCGAGCAAGTAAGCGGCGACAATCTTCATTCTTTTTGTTTGGAAGAGGCGCTGAGAGAAACTAACCAACGAGGCTGCTGATTGCTAGGGTTTTGCAGACTGGGACAGCTAGGGGTGCATATAAGCAAATATATATAAATATATATCTAGGGCTTCCAGAGAGTGGGGTTGAATGATTAAATCTTGTCCGTTCATTTTTTTTCTCGGTTATGTCCCTGACTTTATTGTTTCTATGTTTGGTTGCAGGAGGAGGAACGTATGGATCATGATTTAGGTAATCACCCTGTGCAAATCAAGGATAAGGACAGTTTGGCTGGCGCCACAAATTCAGAAGAAAACAAAAATATATATATCAAAATAGCTGTTCTCGTTTTATAATCTTTCTTTCATTCTTCAAAATATCAAATGCCAAAAAAAAAAAAAAAATCTTGAAAATATACGTACAACTTAAAAAAAAATTATAATTTCACATTACTTCTGAAGTTTTCTACTATAATGTGTTTACGTTAATGGATTTTAATATTTATGAAGATGGTTGTAAAATGTTTTGTTATTTTAATTTTTATACAATTTAATATAAAAGTATTGTTTATATCAAACAATATCCAAATAACAAATCATAATGAGAATATTTATATCCATATGTATTATATGCAAACTGTAAAGTTATCTCTATAATTTTACAGTAAAGAATAGTTATAATTTTTTTTAAAAAGCTTACTTATAAATTAAAAATATATATATATATATTACTATGATGATTATTATACTGCATTATATTTGTACATGTTATGGGCGTATCAAGTTTATATTTTAAGAAAGTAGTCCTAAAAAAATTAATATTTTGTATTGAAAATTTTATTTGATTTACAAAGTTTGTACGTTGAGACTATGGTTGGTTTTAATTGTTTTAGAACATTATATAAGAGTTAATTTAAGTACTCTATAATGTCCGGAAAATCAAATTAACAAATGAAAAAGAAATTTACCATAGGTAATAGAATTTGTTTAAGTATTTATTGAGTTTTTTTTTCTTGCTTGTTTCAAACTCTTTAAATCGCCGTGGTAGGGTTCTTGAGTTAAAAATAAAAAAAAACGACTTTCTTTGATTGAGTTTAGAAGGAATAAAGGGGAAGCTGAAATAAAATTATCAACATAAGTTAGAATTTAAAATTAAGTCTGAATTTATATAAGTTAATTTATCATGACAATAATGTGTTCATCTTATCGAGGTTTTGATATTTCTCACGGTATGAGGTATTGAATATTTTAAAAAAAATACTAAATCTATAAATCAATATGATTCGTTTACAAATTTAAGTTTCTCCACGTGATGTGAGTAGTTGTGTTTTTCTTTCCTCACCTAAACATTGCTTATTTAACATGCTAGTAAATATATCATACTTGAAATTCTTTTAGTGATTTCTTTTTTTCTAAAATGGTATATATAAACCAGTCATATCTCCAATACAACCTCACCGTACTCAAATGTGTTTGTAATAACTCCGTCCTAAAAACATACATTGTTCATGCATACACACATACTTAAGAATTACACGTATATAATTATATCTGCATATGACATGTTAGTGGGGTATTGAATAATAAGTATTTTGAATAATAGGAAGAATTAGGGGCTCAATTGAATGTAATCTAAGTTAGGGGACTAGAATAAAAACAAGCTAAAACTCGAGGGACCAAAACGAAATTTGCCAAAATATCTTCACAACCTTATCAAGATTACTTACCTGATCATTATCTCTTTTTATCCCATCTGTTTTCCCATTTTGAGAGAGAGAAAGAGAGGAAAACCCCATTTCTTTGTCAAATTCGGATGATCAAGCTGGAAATCTAGGTAAGTTCATCCCCGAGCTTTGTTTTGCACTCTTGATTTCGAGACTTTAGGGTCAGATATGGAACAATTTGTAAGAATAGAAATTGTTAATTTGTGTCTTATCTAGCTCTCTGTGAAAGGTTTTTGTATTTAGTGATTTATATTTCGGGTTATGATGGTTTGAACACATGTTGTTCGGGTGATCCGATGCTTGGCAGATTAGTGTGCAAACTTTAAAAATATGGTATTCTTTGGGTGTTGAGTATTTCGACCTGATTTTTGGATATGTTTTATATTGATATGTCTAGTTATTTTTAAAAAAAGAATTAGGTCTTGATCATGTCCCAATCTATATATATTGTTGTTTGTTTGGAGACTGCTCGGTAACAAGAGTGCTTGGAAGCTAGTTAGAGTTTAAAAATCTAAAATAAATCATGTATATGAAATATTAGGCTGATTTTTGGATATGTTAGATCCCTTTGAGTCTAGTTTCATGTGAAACTATAATTTTGTCATTTTACCCCGTATTTTAGGATTTATAGTACAAAGAGTGTGAACTATAAAGGGGTCAAGTACCCATAAAGAAATAACGACAACTCGATTTTTAGAAAATCACCATGAGTTGTGTATTTCGTACCTAGACTTGATTTTTTGACATGTTAGAGCCCTATGAGTCTAGTTTCATGTGAAACTAGAATTGCATCATTTGAATCTGTATTTTGGGACTTATGGTAGAAAGAGTGAAAAGGGGTCAAGTACCCATAAAGAAATAAGTTAACCCTAAAGTCATATTTTGTACCTTGAGCATATTTAGAAGTTTGATCATGATAAAATGACTTATAAAGTATATGTGTATGTGTTTATAGACGCCGAAGAACGTGAGGTGCGAGACGCGATGCATTGATAAACGGCGAAGACGTCATTTTTGTGAGTTGAATAATAATAGTTGTGCCATGATGTGTTATTGCTATTGAGTGCTAATATTATATTTATTGATATTGATACTATGATGTGAATGATGTGCCGTTTGCTAGTTGACGCAAACGTTGTATTTATTGATGTTATAACAATATTATATTTATCGATATTGATACTATGATGTGTATGATGTGTCGTTTGCTAGTTGACGCAAATGTTATGTTTATTAATGTTATAATGGATATATACCATGGTGTAAGCTATGGATGTTGTATATGCTATATGTAAAACATTCATGATATATGTAAGACTAAGAGGTTAAGGTTATGAATGGGTTGTCCAAGTTTCGTAAATACAAGTTTATAAGGACCCAACGGGTCAACTACAAGTTATAAAAGCGACGACGAATACATGTGTACAAGTTTACAAGTTACAAGTACCGGGGTGAAACTTGACATGTCCAAGTTATAACCGATAAGAAAAAGAAAAGCATGTAATCTTAGAGTCATATGAACTACCTGTATTGTTTATATATGATGATACTAGATGACGTGATTGCATGTTATGGTTTCAATGGATTATTGTTCTCTCATTGAGTAGCATCTCATTAAAAATGCAATTATCTTTTTAGGTACTAAAAAGTAAAAAGCGGAAGTTAAAGTCATCTTTTGTTGTTCAATTCACGTTATAAGTGATAGGTCGGCTGGCGATCTCCCTCTCCTCTCTCTCATTATGTCGAGCATATGCATCCTAGGAGATTTTTGAATTGTATATGTAACTATGTAAATATGAACTCCTGGAGGTGTTTTGAGACGTGTTTATGAACAAAGAAAAAGTGGTTTTGATTGAATATCCAAGGGTTATAAGTGGAAAGAATGTTGTTGATTAGGTTTTGAAGTGTTATGGCTGAAAAACCCTTGTTTTGGGCGAGAAATGTACACGGGAAGGTACACGCCCGTGTGGAAGGCCATGTAACCTTCTATTTTCAAAGGAAAATGAGTTTTAAGTTACACGAGTAAGTACACGACCGTGTTGGAGGCCGTGTAACCTGCTATCCTAAAAAAAAAAAATTCTAATCTTTTTAATATGAGGTTTTAACGTTCCTAAGTGATATTTTGTGATTAATTGATTTTTCTAGAACTAAAATGGCTAAGTTATACGAAGTTTTTGTAAGAAATTAGGTTAAGGACGCTACGGTGTTAATCCAAACTAGACTTTAAAATATTTTTATGATTGAAATTAATCAATCACAACCAATAAGCTAATACCAAGACTTGAACCTTTAGATTTTATATTAAATAAATCCTTTTCTCAATATTTCATGGATAGAATCAAGAGATAGATAGAGACCGGCATCATCGGAGTTAAAAAATTTCCATTAAATCTAGCAATGGTTTTAAGAAAAACCCAATCTTTATCGTGCAAAATGACTTTACAATAAAGAAACTTACCACTTATTCCTTAGAATATAACTAGATTTATACTCACGTTATGTTGTGGGATGGATATAGTTGTTTTCATAGAGTTAATCGCAAGCAATGTGTCCCGTGTGATTTTTTTTTTTGGGAGGTTTGATGCATTGTGTTAGTTGAATTTGTTTGTATGGATGAAATGATTTTGGCAGTTGATTAATTTTTGTTTTCAATGTTGGGCATAGTTTGTGAATTTTTTTTTTTGCTGCATAATAAAATGTTTATATGATGGTGGGACGCAAACATCAAATTTGGTGAGTAAAATTACATATATTTAGAGGTACATTGTTAGGCACTCGTGTGAAATGAGAACATATTTATTTTGTTTTAGTGGAGGTCGTTTATTAGCCATCGAGCTGGAACTAATTTTGCTAGCACTTGTAATTAAAGTTTCATGGCGGTGATGTCTTGTTTTTTGGATGACAAAACAATGAAAAATAAGAGAGGCATCTCGTCAACGATTGCTATTTAAATTCTATCGAGTGTTTTCTTATTTTTTGGATGACAAAACAATGAAAAATAATTTGTCTTGCGAGACTTTGTTCATAAAAGTTATTTTAAAGAAAGCTGTTTAATAATTTGATTGCCTTTGATGGTGTTTTGGGCGGCATGCGTGATTGCATTTTTTTTAACCGTGTTGTGTTAAGTTTTTGCATGATAACAAAATGAAAAACGGGTTGCGGCAGAGATTGTGGTCGGAAAAGCTATTTCGGAAAAAACTTGTTGAATTATTTGATTGGCTCCGTTGGGTCCATAATATCGATGTGCATAGTCAAAAAATGGTATTTTTTTTTAATTCAAATCGGTATAGGTGTGAAACAAGTAAAGGTCATGGTTTTGAAATGATAACTTAAACAAATTAAATGCTTCATCATGGTTTTTACATAGGATGCGGGAAAAGAAATAAAGTCTGTGTTTGTTTGAAGGAAAACAAGTTTCCCGAAACTTGTTTTCTCAATTTTTCGAGTGTTTGTTTCACATTCGGGAAAAAAAGTCAATAAAAAATGATTTTCGATCAACGAAAAATGATAGAGTAATTTTGAAAAAATGTTTTCCCGGTTTCAAAAGAGGAAAACATTTTCTTTCTCATGAGCTTCTCGCTCTCTCGTTACTTAACTCTTTTTTGATATATTTTAATAATTTTTTTCTCTATCTTCTTTTTATTTAAAATATATCATATTAATTTTTAATTATTTCTTATCAATTATTATTAATTATTTAATTATGTTTTCTCTATCTTTACTAATATTTGATTTTTTTGATTTATAGATACATTAAATATTCTTAAAAACCATTTTTACACCTTAAAATTATTTTTATAATAAATATTTCAATAACTTATCTCTTTTTTTTTGTTTTGTTTTTTTTTTTTTTTACTATTGTCTAAAACACTACCTAAGCTATAGTTAAATAATCGAAAATGATTATAATAAGACTATAATTTTTTGTAAAAAAAAATAAAATTAATTAATTCATCAATAAATACATTATTTTTTCAACATTATTCATTTGCAATTAAATCAATAATTTATAAATTTAATCAATTATGAAATTTTATTGGTAATTGTAATGAATAATTAGTTACAAATTATTCCAACATTAATCTTTTGAGATCAAATAACTAATTATCCATAAACGATAACTAATAATTTATAAAATTATTTTTTAGACTAAATTATCAGTTCAATTTCTTAAAAAAAAAATCTTAATTGAATTACTAAAATAATAATGCTAGGATTACTTAGAATCTTTTTTTTTATTAAATATGAATATTAACTTATTTTTTTCCCAATTAATTTTGATGATTTGGTTTGATTGTTAAAAAAGTTAATTTTATTTTTTGAATTAAAATCTTAGAGTTAGTATTGATGAAAATTTATTGATTTTTTTAAATGTATCTTATATTATGAAATTATGAATATGTCTTTTTAAATTTTTTTCAAAACTTGTTGATATAACAATCATATAAGTTTTTGTATTTTAATTTTTCGTATCAAGCAAACGTTAGAATATATTTTTCAACGAGTTTTTCATATAATTGCCAAATAGCGAGAAGATATGTTCTTAGAAAACAATTTTCAGAAAAATAGCTTCCTCGGGAATTAGTTTTACTATGAAACTTGTTTTTCTCCAAACGAGACACAACCTAAAAACCACATAGGAAAACAATTAAAAGAGCATTCTATTTAATATATTTTTTGTGTCTAGAATTTAATATTCACACTAAAGATCCATTTTTCGTCTTCAAAACACAAAAAAAAAATATAATTAGAGAGAGTATATATAGTATATGTGTGTGTGTGTTAAAAGATTAAAAACGTATTTAAAAAGTAAAAAAAAATATTTTGTAAATTATAATAATATATTTTAAAAAATAAAACACTAACGTTCTAAAATTTCATCTCGAAATTCATATATTAGAAAAATAAATTTATTAACAAATAAAATTATATTAAAAAAATTATTTTGATGTGAATTTTAATAAGAAATAAATAATTAAAAAATTAAATTTAAACAATAAAAGTAATATATATATATATATATATATATATATATATATATATGAGAGAGAGAGAGAGAGAGAGAGAGAGAGAGAGAGAAGGTGCCTGGTTGCAAGCCAACTAGGACGAGGTTGGCTTGTGCAACCGGGAGAAAAAAAGAAGAAAAGATGGAGGCTATGCGTGGTTGCCTTGTGCAGGTAGGCCGGTGCGCTTGGGCTCGCCATTGCGAGCCCGCACGCCGGGCCTTACTCGCCACTCAACCAATAAAAAAAAAAAAGAAACTACAACTTCCGACAAACTCAAAGTCATCGGAAGACTCATCGAAAAATTGAAGGTCAATTTTTAGATTCCTAAAAATTGAATTTCGACATCATTTTTTTTTCCAAACACCTCCAAATGATTGGAATAAAGCTAACAAACATATCTAAAACCTTAAAAATCATTTTAATACACACAAAAATAAAGAAAAATACAAAATAAAATCAGATTTTTTTTGGCTCCAATCTACCTCATTTAATTGTTTAATGGCTTGAAACCACCATGGATAAACTTATCCCTCAAAGATAAAAAAATCTAGTAGATTTTTGCCGGCCGAAGTGGCCTAAATAAGCTTAGCCGGCGATCTCTCTCTCTCCTCCTGTCTCTCTCGTCCTCTCGGCATTCTCTCTCTACGCGGGGATCAAAATGGATAAGCAAATGAATATATTAATCAAAATATGCGTTAAAAAATATGAGGGATCAAAGTGTAAAAAAAAGCCATAAATAGTGAGATGCACAGTGAAATATGAGAGAGTGAATAATAAAATGTGAGTGTGTGGATAATATTTTAAATAATAGAGCTACAATGAATCAACGCTTTATTTTAGTTTTTTACTTAATTTTTCAAATCCAACAATAGTGCGTTTAATTGTTTGATCTTAATATATTCATTCGTCTTCCAAAATAAATTTTTTAGCTCTGTGCCAAGGCTGTCAATGGAACTTTTATGAAGTCCAAATACAGAGCAGAAATCTGTAGCCTCCTCTTCCACAAGTATCGCGGATAATCTCGCATAGCAAATGGTTCTTGTATTTTCGCGGCTAGGGAAGTAGGGATGACCCACGATACGATTTGTCACGTCTTGGACTTGAGACTGGGCCTTCGTTTGTGACTCACAGGCCCATGGGGCTAGAAGCACAACACTATATTAGGCATTTATCACCACAAGCCAGACTAGATAATCTTTTCTAAGCATGATCGTGGTTGCAGCGATATTCGTGGCAACCCCATCTAGAAGGTTGCGAATACACGAATTGTTTTTCAGAAAAATAAATAAATAAATAAAATATTTAATATGTTTTTATATAATAGAATAATTTTTAATTTTTCTGTTATGTTCTTAATTAAATTAATTTATATTATTTAATATTAAACATGAGTTAAGTTTTCAATATATTATTTTTTTGAGATTTTCAAAACAAACCATCAAAATTATTTAATTGATTTATACATTGTTAATTTTTCTTTCTACCATATCCCTTCGAATCAATCAAATAAAAAATTTTCATGCATATTACACATTTTGTGTATTTATGATGTTGTTTAAAAAAAATAACATAAAAAAGATAATTATTTAGTTTTTTTATTATTTAAATATAATTTTTTTAATTGAGATTTCACATATAAAATATGTCATAGATTCATAAGTACACGAGTTAAGTAAACTCACAAGTTAACAAAATTATAATAAAAGAATGAAAAAAAATCAAAATAAAAAGTTAAAAAGAAATACTGGTTTCAATCCAAATAATTTCTAAAATATAGAAATCATATATGGATAAAATCCAATAAAAAATCTACATTCAAAGTCATCGGTGATCTCTCTTTACGAGTCCGACTACAAAATCATTAGTTGTCTTGTAATTTTTTATCAATATTTTATATAGAAAACATGTCAAAGTTTTTTTTGTAGCATGGTAAAGTAGATAGATGATAAAATGTCAGGACCATCAATTTTTTTTTTCGTTTTTACATGAAACTATTGCTTAATAAAATATTAGTTCTGAGTGTTGACAAGTTATGGAATTTTAATTGTGTATAATTTTTTTCAAAAATTATATAGTGTATTATTGAGCTATTACATATCAAATGATGAATGTTTTTCAAAACCTACGATTAAATTTACCATTGCATATTATAATAATAGAACAAGATTTTTCTTATTATTTATTTATTTTTTGACCTTTCAGTGCACCCAAAACAAGCGGTGAAATACAAAATTACACCACTCGATAGGGACATTTACGTCATTACAAAATTAAATAAAGGGCAGCTTATTTGGGCGGGAAATGCCGACTCCCTCTGCTTCCCTCTCCCGGCATCACAGCCCCAATCCCTCTCAATCCACAAGGGTTTTCCAAACCAACCCCTCAACTCCTCTTCTTCACTAAAAATCGCAATCTCTCTGCTACAAATCCAAACAAGATCATAAAAAATGAACGGCGAGAGCCGGAGATGGGATCGCAAGGACTCATGGCGGAGCTCGAAGAAGCAAAAGCTGATGCGCACCGCCGATGAGGAGTTGGAGTCCAAGCTCGGCTTCGATCTCTTTACTGAAGGTGATAAACGACTCGGTTGGCTCCTCACTTTCGCTTCCGTAAGTCAATCGAACTTCTTTCTCTATTTTAGCCGCAATTATTTTTTATCACCTCAATATAATCAATAAATAATTAAAATTGTTTATTCTGTGATGATCTGCAGTCTTCTCTGGAGGATGAAGAGACCGGTAGAGTCTTTAGTTGCGTTGATCTTTACTTTGTTTCTCAGGTGAAGTTCTTTTACATAAATCTTGATTTGTTTTTGTTTATTCTTTGTTTAATAGAACTTCTCTTTCTTTCCTTTTTATTTGAATTATAGGATGGTTCTGCTTTCAAGTCGAAGTACAAGTTCCGTCCTTACTTCTATGCGGCCACAAAGGTATATTGTTGTTTTCTGCCTTTGATTATTTTTCGTTGTTGTCGTGGTGTTGATTTTCGTTTGAAATGCTAGTTCGAGGCTGTTGGTAACGTGGTCATAAATTGCTAATGTTACAGGAGAAAATGGAAATGGATGTCGAGGGCTATTTGCGGCGTCGCTATGAAAGTCAAATTGCTGATATTGAGATTGTGGAGAAGGAGGATTTAGATCTTGTGAGTGGCTCTTTTTGTTTTATACTTCGTTAGTTTTTGCGTTTAGGCAATGTTTTATATTTGTTTAGCTTTTATCCCTTGTGTTCATATCTTGTTTTCCCTGCCTCCTCTACTTGCTGTACACCTTGGGGATTTTGTTGGCACGCATAGTGCTTGGAAATGCTTGATTAATTTCACAATTATAGTTTCCATTCAGGTTGTCATTATCAAGATTTTGAAATTAGCAACAAAGGTGTTTATAGGTGACATGGCATATGTTTTGAGGCAGGCCTGGTGCATCAAAATCAGAATTTTTTGGGGCTACTCTGTAGGGCCATGTTAGACTCATGAAGCAGAACCTAAATAACTAACTATGGGTAAGCTGAATAAAAACCTAGATAACTAACACACACAAGGAGATCTGGAGAATGAATTTTAAGTTTCTTGGTACTCACAAACTAGGATCTCAAAATCACGTGTGGGGTTGGATGCATCAATGTCCACTGGGTCTTGCATCTCACCTCACACGAAGAAGTAGAAGCTGAAAGTTTTCTGCTTAATTTTTAAATGAGGCATGCAACCCTGAGCCTATCACTAAGGATGATACTTCCCAGCGAAGTGTCTCATAGCTAAAGCAATTAGCTTGGAAGCACCTTATCATCGCTAACAAGAACATACCTCACAATCTACTAAGGTCCTTAATGGTAACATGTTCTAGGGGATGCTATGTTAAAACTGGTCACTATACAACTAAATTTCCTAGGAGTGAAGGGTTCTTGGGAGTCACTCTGCTACTAGCATCAAGACTTCTTCGTAGGCAGCTATATTCCTAGATAATTTAGCCACAACAGCTTAACCATTCTCAATTTCTCTTAAAGTGAACAGATACAATTTTCATCCCATAAAGAGATGAGTAATGGTATCCTTAATGTATCACAAATTTGTCACTCATTGGGTAGCTATTTATCAGAATAATCAAGACTATTATGTTTGAGGCATTGGACTACATGGCGTCTATATTTTATGACTTGGCAATGCCCTGCAACACCATTTGAGAGTAGTTCTCAGGATTGAATAAGTTGGAATTAATCAGTTATCATGATCTTGCAGTTAGGACTTTGGGGATGACTGTGGCAGAAAGTATTGAATGACAATACGATACGAAGCAACTGAAATGATTATAGATAGCAGAATTAGCTGCGTCCACTGTTATCCTTCTTGTAATCTCGTTTGGTCCTTGTGCTGTTTAAATTAATCATAGTGGTTCTCACTTTTTGATAGCTTTACATGTAGGCTTTTTGTTCAAAGAAGAGTTATACTTCATGAAAGATGCAAAAAGATCAAAGCATTTATTTGATGCTCACAGCTGTTTGTTATGTATATCCGTGGATACTTCCATAGCTTTAATCGTTTCTGTTGAAATAATCCCTACAACTCGTATTTGTCCTTTGTATGATGAATTGGATTTGTTTCAACCTGCCGATTAATATTTTCTATCATTTTCTGATATCAGTTTGGCTGTTCATGACAAGTTCTTATGCATTCATTGCCAAGCTGATGGAGCCTGATTTCTTTTTGTATGCTCATGACAGAAAAACCATTTGTCTGGTTTACGCAAATCATATTTAAAAATATCTTTTGCTACCGTACAACAATTAATGGATGTGAAGAGAGATCTATTGCATGTTGTTCACAGAAATCAGGCAAAGTCTGATGCAGCAGAAGCATATGAGTCCATACTGACAGGAAAAAGGTAAAGCTTGTTGGTTCTGATTTACATTTCATATGCATGAAGCAACAGATCGTTTGGCTTGAAATTTAAACAGATCTCTTTGTCAGTAAACAACCGCTATGTTTCATTAAGCTGTTCAAATGCAAGCATAGCCTCGACCATTTGCACCTTACTTTTCAGTGGGTGTTGGTTCTAATGGTTTGTTGTTTGACAAGCAGAGAACAAAGACCTCAGGATTTTCTTGATTGTATCATTGATCTCCGGGAGTATGATGTCCCATACCATGTTCGATTTGCCATTGACAATGGTATTTCTTATGCAATCCTGCTGGTTTTGAAACTAATTTATGATATATTTGTTTGCACAGTTGTATGAAGTTGCACAATTTATTGATGACATCCCACGATTTCATGGTTTTCAGATATACGTTGTGGCCAGTGGTATGATGTTAGTGTCTCCAGTACAGGTGTTATGCTTGAGAAGAGGACAGATCTTCTGCAACGTGCGGAGGTTCATGTTTGTGCATTTGATATTGAAACAACCAAGCTTCCTTTGAAATTTCCAGATGCAGACTATGATTTGATAATGATGATATCATACATGGTTGATGGACAAGGTTACTTGATTATCAACAGAGAGGTATATGAATGGGTTTTACCTTTTCTCCATTTTATTCATCTTTTGAGGGAAATGGCTTTTTGTGATTGTTCTTTGTGGCCCACGTTCTCATTCTCAGAGCCTTTCCCTATTTAACAATTATATAGCAGTTGTCTCCATACTACTTTGTTGAGTCCAATTGGCATTACTCATTCACAACAGACACACAGACACACACACACACTCACACACATATATCAGCAGATTCATCCATAGGGCTTGTATGCATGTTTCTCTGTGTGAAGACATGCCTGAGCATGTATGTTTATCGTAAAACGAAAATGGGATTTGATATGGCCTTGGTGGGTTTGGGCTTGTTTGGGTGTTAAGCAAGAGGATTTCTTTTCACTTTCTTATCTAATCGCAAAATCTGAAGTTTCATTCATATAAAAGGATATAGCATCACCTGCGTCAGTGCATTAAAGGCTGTAATTTTCTAGGTAAAAATTCTATGATAAATTAGTATGTAGGATATTGCAATTGAGGTATATATAAATGCATGCTTTTTGTTTGGCACTCAACATGGCCACGGTTTATTGTTTCTTGTTATTGACTGGTTTGGCACTTTAGACAAATCAACTAAACTTAGTTCTAAACTAGTTGAGGTCAATTGTTTGAAGCTTTTTCTCTATTCATCTTTGTTTAGGACATATTCTCTGTAGTGTATTTAAAATAAAATTCCTCTTATAACCTAAACCCTATTCATTTTCAGTCTCCCTTATCCTTTTTGTCCGCTGAACTTGCAGCTCAGCCACTTTTCTTTATTTGACATAATAATAGTCAATTTTGCATATGGCTGACCGAACCATCTTAAATGACCTTTGTTAAATTTTCCTCTATTGCTGTCACCACCATGTTTTTGAGTATTATTCTATGGTTCTTTGTTTTACCATCCCATGTTTTCGAGTGTTATTCTATGGTTTTTATTTTACCATCCCATGTTATTATTATAGAATTAGTGCATGTCAAAAAGGATTAAAAATTGAAACACTTTATAACAAAATGATAAGGTTGCTTATGCTTTATGGCACACAATGGTAGGTGCTAAACAAACATCATGTCTATAGATTGAGCTGGATTTAGAATGGTTTCTTTGTCTCCTTTTCACAGCTCTAATTATAAGGTTAACAATTCCCTGAACCTATTTCTTATTGATAATAAATCTAAGAAACTGAAGTGAAGGGCTTTAAATTATTTACTAACCATTTAGTAATTAGTTGCAATACATCACAGTACTAAAATTTGTCACCATGCTGATAGATTGAGTTGTTTAAATAATTTCTTTCTCAATCAACATAATTGACAAAAGAATTGGCTCACGATCTCTCTTAGGTTGTCTATTTGTTTCTCTATCCCCTCTTTCGTTCTCGATCTATTTATTTGAACTCTTGACATCTATGTATTTTACGCTAATCTTCAGTGTGTAGGGGAAGATATAGAAGATTTAGAATATACTCCAAAACCAGAATATGAAGGCTATTTCAAGGTGACAAATGTGCAAAATGAGGTAATGAAAGTTTTCTCTGTTAAGTTGCACTGAAGCATTCCCTGTTCTTAGTGCATGACTTGTTGCTGCTTGCAGGATGAACTTCTCAGACAGTGGTTTGCCCACATGCGAGAGGTGAAACCTGGTATTTATGTTACATACAATGGTGATTATTTCGACTGGCCCTTCCTGGAAAGCAGGGCAGCTTCTCATGGGTACAAGATGAGTGATGTAAGCAGCCTGTTCTTGTTTAATTTACTTGTACCTCTGAGTTTAGCATTTTGGCTTGTTTTCATTGATAAAAAGTCATAACTTAAAAACCACTAGATAAATTGCTGCACCATGCTTTTTGTTATTTGCATAAACTTCCAACAGTTCAAAAATTGACATCATCATCATCATTATTATTTTGCTACAGGGTATTCTTACTGTTCTTAGTGTATCTTTTGGTACATGACGGTGATAACCTATAGGAATTGGCATTGCCTTTCCTGTCTTACATTAAAAAATCTGGAGATGGTTTTTCTAGGAAAACAATGTTTTCTTGTTAAATTTTACTTCTCGAGGATTTTTTAATCCTAACACTTCTATGGCAAGCTTCCCTTTATCCTATTTCCCTTTCGAAAGCATTTTTAGTAAAAATTTTCTTTTTTCTGAATTTGTTAATTGTTTCTAGCTTTGATGTTAGAAAGTTTCATTTTTCTATCTCAAGGATGGTACTTTGCTTTCTTGAATTCAATTAAAGATCAATCTATTCACCTTAATCTTATGCTTTGCGTTTAGCTTATTTGCTACTTTTTTCTGTTTATCTTAACTGAGCTTTCAGGAGGTTGGATTCTCATGTGACAAGAATCAAGGGGAGTGCCGTGCTAAATTTGCTTGCCATTTGGATTGTTTTGCTTGGGTCAAACGTGATAGTTATTTGCCTCAGGGAAGCCAAGGCCTTAAGGTACAAACATTCACTTTTGAGTTTATCACTTGTAACGAATTTATTTTTTGTTCATTAGAACTATTTTTGAAGCATTTCTCATTATGTTTTCATGTATTCTTTGTTATTGTACTATAATTAATGAAGAAAAAGTTTTCTTATCCCAAGCATTTCTCATTATGTTTTCATGTATTCTTTGTTATTGTACTATAATTAATGAAGAAAAAATTTTCTTATACTGTTGTTGTGCTGACTATTTGAAGAAATCAAATGGATATTGGGTCTTCCGTATAACAATGGTACTCTTGTTTTTTTTTTTTGTGGTGCTCTTTTTTTTTTTTAATAAACATATCACTGTAGAATCTGGGTACGATCTTGTGCCCATGGTATCCATCAGAAGATGCATTTACGTGTACTTTCAACCGTTAGCATAACTTTCTGTAATGCCGTTAGAAATTTTTTTCGTGTTAATTTGGGACCATTGATGAATTTGTTTCCCATTCACCAGATGAGTCTTCCTGATTGAATATATCCTAGTTATCTCTCATGCACTGAAAAATTCTGTACGAAGGATATGTAAGCTAATGCATTATAGATGCCTGTGTCATATGGTTACTTTGTGTTTTATTTTTGGTGATATCAAATAGATATTCTTCAATCTGGGCAACAATTAAGAAGTTCCTTTGCACGTGAAGTTACAATTCCAAAGTAAAACCTAGCAGGTCCTTTTGCATGTCTTTTTCTCACTACCCTAAGAAGCACTCACTTGTGATCTTTTTGGTTTAAAGAAGTGGAGTAGTTGGATCTTCAAAGGCTCTGAAGGACTAGTCATTTCCTGGAAAAAAGTTTGATCTATAAAGGACTAGTCCGTTTTTTAGTCTGTCACTTGTCAGGCATAGTTGATCCCAAACTTGAATAGGAAAAAAAGGTTTCGTAGGTTGTGACCAGTATGAAACAAGTCATATCTTAGATGACATGGTTCCAACTGATACGGAAGTTGTTTGGGTAAACTGATCCCTAATTATGATCTTTGATCTTTAATTATGATCATTGCTTATTATGTCTCAACTGCTCTAATAGTTCTGTCTTTGAAAGTCTCTTAGAACTGGAACATTAAATTGCATGAATATTACCTTACACCTTTACTCTTCGGGTGGGGGATACTGTATTTCACATTTGTGTTACTCCTGTAATTTTTGTAGTTTAATTTTGCAAGTAAGCTTTCTGTTATCTTTCCACATATTAGCAAGTTATCTTTCCATATATTATTTCTGCAGAAGTTTATCAACTTCTTTTTCATTAATCTGTTTTAGGCGGTTACAAAGGCAAAGTTGGGTTATGATCCGCTTGAGGTGAATCCAGAGGACATGGTTCGTTTTGCAAAAGAAAAGCCTCAGGTATGAGTTTGTGGAACCAAAGAAACATGCCCTGAAACATTTTCTATTAGTGTTTTCTTTTTTGGCAATAATGAGCATTGTCAGTCTTCACCCCCTATGTACTGTTTCCATGAATTACAGCTCAGCATTCTTTTCTTTTCAAGTTAAGATTTTTTAATCTTCATTCTCTAAATTGAATAATTTCTAATATTTTCTTGTTTTTGCAAAACTTTTGACAGATGATGGCCTCCTATTCAGTTTCTGATGCTGTTGCAACCTATTATTTGTACATGACCTATGTTCACCCTTTCATTTTCTCTCTCGCAACCATAATTCCCATGTCACCAGATGAGGTCTTACGCAAAGGTAGCGGGACACTTTGTGAAATGCTTCTTATGGTGCAGGTGGGTTCTTGTTAATGCTACTGTTCTTGTTCATTATGCTAAGTTTCCTTCTGTCTTTCACTGCATTATTGCATTTGCGACAGGCATATATGGCAAATGTTATCTGCCCTAACAAGCATCAATCTGACCAAGAGAAGTTCCATAAGAATCATCTTCTTGAGAGTGAGACATATATTGGAGGTCACGTGGAATGCCTTGAAAGTGGTGTTTTCAGATCTGATCTTCCAACCAGTTTTAAGCTTGATCCTTCTGCCTACGAAGTAAGTGTTCCCTCTGAGCAACTTATACAAGTAACACACTGGATGCAACTTTCATTTTTATGTTGTCAAGTGCCATTTTTTACCTTTACATTTGTTCTGCAGAGGGGCTGTTCCTTCTGGTCAGAATATTTCAATTTGTGCCTAAAAAATGATTTATGTGCCTGTATAGGTTAACACATATTGTTTTGTTAGCCAAGACATTCTCTCTTATGTGGGCCTGATCCAATATTGCGTTTTTAATAAATAATTTCATAATAACATCATAGCTTCTATTTGGCTAATGCTGGAGCACTTTGATTTCCAGCTACTTATCAAGAACCTTGACCGAGATCTGCAATATGCTATAAGAGTAGAGGGTAAGATGGACTTGGATTCAATCTCCAATTATGATGAAGTGAAGAACGCTATCATGGATAAGGTGCTGACAATCTCTTTCAAACCAAATGTTTTCATTCAGTGCCATGGGTGTTTTTGGATTTCTGCATTCTTTATTATTTCTTATTTTGCTTTGTTCTTTGGAGGATGTCTAATCATTGTCACAGTCCTTGTTTCTCTTCCTTCTAATAAGATTTTCATCTTTTATCGTACGGACAAAATATCTTACTCATGATCCTTTTTTTGAGCATGCTATCAATTAGGCAGACATTTGTTTTATATTATCAACTATTTTTTTTTACTTGATTATTCCATGTTTTCCTGATTTGTGGTGTTGCCATCTAAATGTTTTAGAAATTTTTTGGAAAGATAAAGTCATAACCTAGATGCAGATACATAAAACAAGAACAAATATCAAGATGAGAATTTGCATTCCTGAAATGTTTTTTCTTGTGTAGCTTGTGCGTCTGAGGGCTGAACCTGTTCGTGAAGAATGCCCACTCATTTATCATCTTGATGTGGCTGCGATGTATCCAAACATTATTTTAACAAACAGGCTTCAGGTATGATGGCTAATAAGTACGAACAGTAGTTTGTTTAATAATTCATGCCTATTTAATTTTTGTTTTATCTTTGCATTTTGATTAGTGTATCAGCATGGAGAATTAGTGTTTGGTGTGAGTACTTGGTGGTTGACTGTCTGTGATGGGATTGGCGTATCTATAGTGGAATGTCGAGATACAGTATTGATGTATACTTGAATGCAATATGCCACAGTTCATACCATTAATCTAGGATTTGCTCTATGACCAAAGTCAGAGTGGTACTGTTTAAAGTCCTTGTAATTGGAAGAGAATGGCAAGTGTTATAAACAATCAGTTAGTCTTGACGTGCCATAAGCATGTATAGGAAATATAAGGAAATCATAAGCAGTGTTCATATTCCAACTACTAATTTGCTTTAATTGATCACAAGGTGCAGTTTGACAAACTCGTATCATTTTTCCTTCAGTAACTTAGAATCTGAATCATGTGTGTATAATAGGATTTCATGTTTTATATCTAGAAGCCCATTCCCCACTTACGAAATAGTGCCTTACCTTGAAGATATACTTCAGAGGGATTCTTCTATGTTTTGTGAGTAGTTCATGTGTGTTTCATGTCCTACTAGTTAAAGAGAACTCTCCAGTTCTTTGTACTCATGATCATGATGGGGCACTGATCTTGACCCTTTCTAGAGCAGAATTCACCAAGTTTAGTGTAGAAGCTTAGACCTTGCTATGTTTCTAGATATGTTTATTTTGAAAGAACTCTAATCGATACGTTACGGTTTACATTTGCTTTAACTGCTAGTATTCAATAGTTTTGAAGTAAAAAAAAAAAAAAATCTGTAAAGCTTGGGTTGAATGAAGGTATTGACAGTGAAAGGCTCCTTTTGTCTTTAAATCTAGGGTAGTGAAGAGTAATAACTTTGTTTGGGAGCATAGCCATTTTACTCCATTGTACTCCGGGAGGCTTTCCTATCTATGGCTAGTTGATTACTTATTACGTGGCAGGAAATTTCTCATTTGCTTCTGCAAATATCTACTTCATTTCTTTTGTCCTTTGCTACTCTCTCCATTCAGTGGAATATATTGTACTGGCTTCTACCTGTATGATATTTGCTCAATCATCATGCCATACATTGTCAGGATACTGGATTGATGAATCTAATGTCAATTTATATGGCCTTTTTGAGATCTTTCTGGTTACTGCATTACAGAAATTCTATCCATTCAGACATACATAGAGAAGCATATGCAGAAGATGCACATAAATATATATTTGTCCAGCCAGAGGCTTTGATTTCTTTCTATCTTTTCTGTGTCTCCCTCTCCGTCTCCCACCAAATTTTTGCAATCAATATGTAGTGAGATTTCTTGCTCAATTGCAGCCCTCATCTATAGTTACAGACGAGATCTGCACTGCCTGTGACTTCAACCGCCCAGACAAAACTTGCCTACGGAAGCTTGAATGGGTTTGGCGTGGTGAAATATTTACGGCAAAGAAAAGGTTTACTCTTTCCCTCCATTTTTTTGTGGTTTCTTTGGGTTAGATCAGGAATAATGCTGATAGATAATTGCTAATAATATCTGGATATCACTTCTAACAATTTCAGTGACTATTATCATATGAAGAAGCAAATTGAGTCTGAGTTTGTTGATGGCACTGATGGTCAGTTGTCAAAATCCTTTCTTGATCTGTCTAAGATAGATCAACAATCAAAGCTGAAAGAGCGTCTAAAGAAATACTGTCAGAAGGTATGTTTATCTGCAGTAAAAATGTTTGCCTAATGTAAACAATACTTATCTCACTAATTTGTACCTGCTGTAGGCATATAAACGAGTACTTGACAAACCTGTCACTGAAGTTCGAGAAGCTGGGATCTGCATGCGGGAAAACTCATTTTATATAGACACTGTTCGTAGGTATGTGATTTGGATTTGTTGTATCATAAGCTTTCTGTGCTTGGTTTTTATTTCAAGTCATTTCTTTCTGTGCACAGTTGCATTTTATTTCTGAAACGATGAATATGGTTGTTATCTGGACAGGCATTTAATTGTAGATGAAATTTCATATTTTTGTTTTTATATTACCTCTTATACTTCCTTTTTCTTATTTCAAGTTTTCGAGATAGAAGGTATGAATACAAAGGACTTAATAAGGTTTGGAAGGGTAAGTTGTCAGAAGCCAAGGCCAGTGGAAATTCTATTAAGATCCAAGAAGCACAGGTGTGGCGATTCTTCAATTTGTTTAATTTTGAAATAGTCAATTCTTTTTTTTTTTTTTTTTCTTCTTCTTTTTGATGGAGATGGTTTACCTTACCAGTTGCCTTTGTTTATTGATACTTGCAGGACATGGTAGTGCTTTATGATTCTTTGCAACTTGCTCACAAATGTATTCTGAATTCATTCTATGGATATGTCATGCGCAAGTGAGTTGGTCGCTTCCGTTTCTTTCAGATATCATAACGTGGATTTGGTTGTTTACATGTGTTTTTGAAATGTTTGCAATGATACTTTTAATTGTTTTTGTTCCAGGGGCGCAAGATGGTACTCAATGGAAATGGCTGGTGTAGTTACATATACTGGAGCAAAAATCATTCAGAATGCTCGTCTGCTTGTTGATAAAATTGGAAAGCCACTTGAATTGGACACAGATGGTATTTGGTGTGTCCTCCCTGGATCTTTTCCAGAGAACTTTACTTTTAAAACAAAGTAAGCTGCCCCTCCTTTGTTCGCATGTCTGCACATGATTATGGCTGGTGATAACATCATCATTGCTTTATGCATCTCTTTTTCTTCATTTGTATAAAGAGTAGTCCATAAAGTACAGAAAAACGTTATCGTTGCTATGTTAACTTTCATTTGGGAAATATGAAAATTTCAGGGACTCAAAGAAAAAGCTGACAATCTCATATCCATGTGTTATGCTCAATGTTGATGTGGCAAGAAACAACACAAATGAGCAATACCAGGTAAACCTATGTTTGTTTGTTTATATTTCTTCATGTCTTGCTTCCAGAAGTATCTGGTTGTGGGGGTTATGGAATTCTTTTTGCCATTATGAGTGTTTTTTTCCATTGGAACTACAGCAATAATATGACTATCTCACTCTATTTTTAAACAGACACTTGTAGACTCTGTAAATAAAACATACGCAACTCATAGTGAATGCTCCATTGAATTTGAAGTGGATGGCCCATACAAGGTAACATGCAATATGTTTATGTTGTCATTGAATTACAAATACTTGTTTTTCTTGTTATTCTATTATCCTTTTGTTTTTGTATTCTATTATCCTTTTGTTTTTGTATGAAATAGGCAATGATTCTTCCTGCTTCTAAGGAAGAAGGAATTTTAATTAAGAAGCGATATGCTGTTTTCAATGATGACGGAACCCTTGCGGAGCTTAAAGGTTTTGAGATCAAGCGTAGAGGTGAGCTGAAACTCATCAAAGTCTTCCAGGTATCTCTTGTTCCCCATCTCGTTAAATTTTGCAGTTACAAACTCTACATCTCAAGATTTTTATCAATGTTCTAAAACCAGAATATTCAACCTGTAAAAATGACCTATCTGATAAAAACTTATCTATTACTTTCAGGCTGAGCTTTTTGACAAGTTCCTCCATGGATCAACCTTAGAGGAATGCTACTCGGCTGTAGCTGCTGTGGCAAACCGCTGGCTTGATCTTCTTGATGTATGTAAAAAATCATTTTGTTTCGTTATCAAAAAAAATAAAAAAATTGTTTTAGTAATGTACTCCCTTAAGAAACCATGCTGCAAATTTCCTCTGGGAACTTCCTTTTCGTCCCACACACTCCCCTTTCTCTTGTTTTTAAAATGACTACATGTTGTTTCTGAATGCATGATTATTTGAGGGGCTAATAGTGGAAATGCTTTTCATTGTATTCTTCCTTTTCACTCTCCTTTCAGAATCAAGGAAAGGATATTGCCGACAGTGAGTTGCTTGATTACATATCTGAATCAAGCACAATGAGCAAGTCCTTGTCAGACTATGGTGAACAAAAGTCATGTGCAGTAACCACTGCAAGGCGTCTTGCAAATTTTCTGGGTGATACAATGGTTAAAGATAAAGGATTGCGTTGCCAGTATATAGTTGCATGTGAACCAAGGGTATGTTACTTGTTTTAGCTTAAAATACTGATTATTTCAGGTGAGCATGGCGCTGAAATGATTTTATAATTTTGTTAATTGTTGTAATAGCTCTATCTTACTTCCACTATTGCTATGGAATTAAGTAAGCAATTGGAGATAGGTTTCAACATCTTCATAGAATCACAATTTATATCTTAAACGGTAGAAGTTAGCCGTACTATCGAGTTTGAGTTGTTCATCCTCACTGTATATGAGACAACGACAAGTGGGCTGACTGTATGGTTTAACAACAGTTTATTTGATAAACGAACCCAAGCTACTAATTTTTTAGGCTCGTGTATTAACTGACTCAAGCTCAAACAGGTTTAACCTTTTTTGCCCTGTGAGACTACCTTGGGAAGGAAATTAATTAAGAAACATTGTGCAATAGTCTATGCTTTGAGTTATTTTAATGAGTAGAACCACTGTATCTGGAATATGGATGTGGTGATTAACTTCATTTCAGTTAATTTTTTATCTTAAGATGTTAAATGAATGATAATGGAGCTCAATGTTAAATGAATGGTAATGGAGCTCAATCTCTACTAAAGCTTGACCTTGCCTGCTAAAACAAGCACACCTGAGTTTGGTTTGGTTATTCATGTGTGCAGCTCAAGCTTTAGAGTTAAGCTTGATTTGAGCCTGAATCTGCTCAGCTTGTCATGATGGCATTCAACCCAATGGCTTAATGTATGCGCTGGAGAGTCCCATAAATTCTATAATAAGGCAATATACCCATACCTGCTACTTGACTAATATGGATTATTCAACAATATCTTTTGGATGTCATATCATTGTATAAATCTTGTTAGATGTTTAAGCAATCAAGATTAATCAGTCAATTCCCAATGCTACAGACATGCATCATCTAGTATTTCAAATATTGTTTTATTTTAATGGATGGGTGATGATGTTCAAGATTGCTGCCATTAATCAATTATGCTATGTGCAGGGAACACCTGTGAGTGAGCGTGCTGTTCCTGTTGCAATATTTGAAACTAATGCTGGTAAAAACTCAATCCTGCTTTCCATTGATCACGTTCTGTTTCATTGATGTGCTCTACAGATTAGGAATACATTTTCATTTTGCAGAAATAATGAAGTTCTATTTACAAAAATGGTGCAAGTCTTCTTTGGATGTTGGTATTCGCTCCATCATTGACTGGTCTTATTACAAGCAACGGCTGAGTTCAGCAATTCAAAAAATTGTTACAATTCCGGCTGCAATGCAAAAGGTTAGATGTCTTGTCAATTTGGCAATTGAACAGACACATCCTCTTTTAGCCTGCTTGAAATGATTTGTATCTTTTTAGGTTGCAAACCCTGTCCCTAGGGTGGTTCATCCTGATTGGCTGCACAGGAAAGTTCGTGAAAAGGAGGACAAATTTCGTCAGCGGAAATTGGTTGATATCTTCAACTTACGCAGCAGAGAGGATCTCTCCATAAAGACAGATGATGCCACCATCACAAATAATGTAATGGATGAGGAGAATGTTGGAGATTTAGAAGATTTCCAAATTAAAAGCAGTTCTATAAATAGGCCCAGACCAATTGTTCGTTGTTATGACGTCAACAATGAAAGACGTTCTGTCATGAAAACTGGCCAATTGAATTCTGCAGAACAGCAAACTGAAAGTGTGCATGAAATATCTTTACAGTCGCAAAACAAGACTTCCTATGCTGAAAATATTGACAGAAATGTTGATTATCAAGGATGGCTTGAATTGAAGAAGAGAAAATGGAAAGATGTTTTAGACAGGAGGAAGAAGCAGCGAAGGTGCATTATTCTTTTGTTAAGCATGCATGAAGGCTTGTCTGCTCAGACTCAATTGAAAAATAAAATGATATTACTAGTCTTATTTATTTGCATATTTGCATGGTTTCTTCCTTCTATCTGAGGGAACTAATTTAGATGAATGCATACCTCAAAGATACCATAGCACAATTAAAAATGGACTCTAGCACTAGCACTCATTCTGTGCATACGTATGGTATTTTTAGACTCAATTACCTCTTATTGAATGTAGACACGCCCTCCACACAAGCGTCTGCTTGCCACTGGAAGGAATAAAAGTTCCTAAGATGACCTCAAATATATTTCAACTGCCATGGGCATTGTGAATAAGAAAACAGTGCACTCTCTTTGAGTCAAGCTTTGTTTTTCATGCTCTGCCCATGTTTCTACCTGTCACTGGAGGGAATAAAATCCCCAAGATGACCTCAAGTATTGTTCAACTGCATTGGGCACTGTGAATAAGAAAACAGCATGCGCTCTTTGAGTCAATCTTTCTTTTTCATATCACAAGATTGACCTTCTTACCTCAAAATTTATGATATATGCGACAGTTCAATACATTTTTCATGCTCATTGAGGTCTTCCGGACAATGATTTTGGAGTGGATTCTTCCCATGTCTTTTGTGCTTGTGCATCTACCATATGTCTTATGTCTTTATGTCTGAGGTTGCATGATTTTCTACTGAGCAGTGATATTTTTCTGAAGGGTGTTAATGATGTGCTTTGGTGAAATTTGGCAGGTTGGACAATTCAAGGACTGCACACCGAGCTACTGATGCTTCTGAGCTGCTAGGTGGTCTAACCAATCATAAAGCAGCTCAGCGCAGAACTGGTGTTGGTTCCTACTTCACAACAAATGAAGCAGCCCTAACACGGTGCCACTGGCAGGTTTGTAGTTTCTTTTTTTCCTAGTTTCTAGTTTTTTTATTCAAAAAATTTGGTTGCAACAAGCCGAGAACATTTTGCCAGTTATTGCTTTGTGACTGCTATTTCTCTTCTTGGGTTCAGATAATACAGCTACTTCCAAGCTCACGTTGTGGCCAATATTTTGCATGGGTGGTTGTGGAGGGAATCATGCTTAAGATTCCTATAACTATTCCACGAGTATTTTATCTTAACTCTAAAGAAACTATGATGGAAAATTTTCCTGGTAGGCGTGTCAACAAGACACTTCCTCATGGAAGGCATAGCTATAACCTAGTTGAGGTATGTCTAGTATATATCTATTGTAGATAAATTTCCAGTCTTGCCAATGACCTTTCATTCTAATTCTTTTTGGGCTATGATTTCTCGATAGGTTGTCATAGATGAAGACAGGTTCAGGAAGGAAAGCAAGAAACTAGCAGCGCTTCTTGCAGATCCAGAAGTTGAGGTAAGCAAATTATAATTCATATGCTATTGAACTTCACATGGTTCTCATCTGCATGGTTCATTGAGGTGGATCTGCGTCTGACATACCTCCCAAATAAACTTCAGGTTATCACAGTTGTGAAACATACTTCCGGAACTGCAGATATTTTGTTTTTACAATATGCCCTTTGATCTGACCCTTCAATTTCTGATATATTGCTGCCCTTCGTGCATGCTTGCTTATTGTTACTAGCACCCTCAAAATATCAAGTGATTAATTGTTATGAAGAGACAGATTATTACTGAACTATGTGGAAACCTGACTGTATTTGATTGAACTTGGTAAAGGACAGTTACTAGTATCTACTGAGAGGGTTATAGTTTTGAAATTGTGAAATTTGATTTGGTAATTGCTCATAATCAAGCAGTTGCAGTTTTCTTTTGTCCTGTAATATAATTTTGATTTCTCTTAATTCTAAAATTTTGATCAGGGGATATATGAATCTAAGGTGCCATTGGAGTTTAATGCTGTAATCAAGATTGGTTGTGTTTGTAAAGTGGATAAAACAGCTAAGAAGCGAAATGCTCAGGATGGCTGGAGTCTGAGTGAGCTGCATATGAAGACTACAACAGAATGCTCTTATTTGGAGCAATCAATATCTTTCTTTCACTTATATCATAGGTCACTGTACCATAACTGTTTCTATCTTATGTGCAACGAGCAGGTTGTTTTAGTTACTTAGACTGCATATTGTTCAGTCATATGCTAATCTTTTTTCAACAATAAAAGCCAAGTTCTTCAAGAACTCCAAGTTAGTTGTCAGATTATTTTCCTATCCTGCTCGATTTTATTCTTATCTTGAAGCCAAGTATTGATGCTGATTGTTAATTTTTACTACTTGCTACAGTATCTCTGAAGGGCGTGCTATATATGTTATTTATTTGCCTCCATTGAGGATGGTTTCTGTTGTGGTTGTTAATCCTTACCAAAATAAGGATATAACACCATCTTTTCTTGAAAGACAATTCCGTGAAGCTTGCCAAGCATTGTCTATTGAAGCACCACCTCCGAGGAATAGTATTATTTTCAAGGTGAATTAGTAGCCCTTTCTTTCCTTTATGTGGATCACTTTCTTGGCTTTCTTCTAGCACAAGAGCTCATATGTTTGCTGTTTTGTCTTGCTTACTAACTTCAGGTGGACTATGTTGGACATGTCAAGGATGCTGAAAAGATTTTACAAGGAACAATTATTGAACTCAGGTTTTACTCCATAGTAGCTAATCTATAGCTTCAAAATCTTGATAAAATGCATAAGATTCCAAGGACAACTGTTGCATCCATCTCTCAATGTGATTTCTGTGCATCATTATGGATGCTGCAACTATTCACCAACTGCAGAGAAAAGTGAATGTATGTCTATTAATTCCATGTTCTTATAAACTCATAAAGACGGGTAGGTACACATGGTCTCTCTATTACACATATGTGCTCATGTGATATTGTCTTGTATACGTGCCCTATTAAGTGATATAATTATGTGTTGTACAATTAAAACTCCCGAATGGTCTCAAATTCAGTTCGAGTACAGATCAGTGACTTCCTATTTGCTATATTTTAGGATTTTGCTCAACTTCCATCATCTAGAATTTTTAGTCAAACGAGATTTCATTTGTTTTTGCTAGCCAAAATAAAAATATACTTGCATATTTTCCTTCATTGACAGAGACAAGCATCATGGACCAACACTTGCTGTCATTGAATGCCCAAATGTGCATTTGATGAAGTCAGGTGTACCAGCTCTTGATAATTTCCCTTGTGTTAGCATACCTTCGAATGCTCGTGATAGCCAGTATCAGGTAATATAATGCTAAATCAATAGCTTCTTCACATGCATAAATTCCTGTGCATCACAGGTTAAATTATTTTCAGTGCTTAACTCTTATGCTGGACATTTTATAGGTCCTTGGGTGGCAACAAGCAGCCGCAAAAATTGGAATGCAACGTTCTGCTGCCTCATCCCAGTGGTTGAATGAAAGAATTTCTCTCTCAAGATATGCCCATGTAATTTTTTTTTTCCTGAAGCAAATTTTTTATTCCATCTGTCTGTTTGCGTATATAAATATAAACCTTTTAAAACTGCTGGGCAGGTACCCTTGGGAAATTTTGAACTTGACTGGCTTATATTCACAGCAGATGTCTTCTTTTCCAGAGCATTACGTGATCAACAACAGGTACTTTAATGGGACAATAGCTTCCATCACTCAGTTGTTTTTGTATGTTTAAACCATGTTACAATTTTTTCCGTCCCAGCTTAAACATATTGATTCTTGCAGGTGCTTTGGATATCTGATGATGGTGTTCCAGATTTAGGAGGTAATTGTGAAGAATCTACATGTTTTGCCGATGAGGTTAGTTCCAAACAGTTGCAAACAAAATTAGGAAAACCCCTAAATTATTGAAATCTTGAGATTGTTATGTTTTCCTTGGCAAGAAAAGTGGAACTTGTTTCCAGTAAGCTATGAGATTTTCCAATTTCTTTAGCAATACTATATGTTTCTTTTGTTGTCGTTGTTTGTTAACTTACTAGTTCTTCTGAAATAGGTCCAACAACCTGTTCTAACATACCCTGGAGCATATAGGAAAGTTTCTGTGGAATTAAAGGTTCAGAGTTTTTTTCTTTCTTTGTTTTTTTTTTTTTTTACCCTCATTCTCTCCTTTTCTTCAGGGTGGTGCTTGGGGAGATGCTGATTGGCCTTGATTGTCAATAACCAAGAGTAAATTGTTTCTGTACAGATACATCACCTGGCTGTAGATGCTCTTCTGAAAAGTAACCAAGTAAACGAAATGGAAGGAGGTGCTTTGTTAGGATTTGATCAGGACATGAATTGCAGTGCAAATCTATGTAATGATCAGAGCGGCTTCGATGAGTTGACCTCATCTGCATCTGGAGTACGTGTTCTGAAACAGCTGATCCAGAGGTGCCTTGCAGATGCAGTTACATCAGGAAATGTTTTTGCCGATGCAATTTTACAACACCTGTATCGTTGGCTTTGCAGGTTGTAGTGCTGTAATTTATAGCATACACCTTTTAATTTTGGCTTATTTATTCATTGCTTTTGTTTTAACGTTGCAGCCCTCAATCAAAGCTTCACGATCCAGCTCTTCACCGCATACTCCACAAGGTAACTGCTGCTTCTCTTGGATATTTTTGTGTCACGAGAATAATATCCCACCATAAGATTTGGGTTGCGAGGATTCTCTGCTATTACAGTCTTCTACCCTCTCTCCCAATTCTCTTTTCCGCAATGCGGCTCTTCTCATAATCTTATATTTGATCGCATATTGTAATTCTTCAAATATGTGGGTGTCTATTGACATTTGTCTATACCATGAAGTTGATGATACTCCTATTATGCATCCTTAGGTCATGCAAAAGGTTTTTGCTTTGCTGCTGGTGGAATTACGCAAATTAGGTGCCACAATCATATTTGCAAATTTTTCAAAGGTTATAATAGACACGGGAAAATTTGAACTATCTGCTGCCAAAGCTTACTGTGATAGCTTGCTCAAAACTTTGCAAAATAGGTTTGTTATGACCAAGGATTATTGGATAAATCTTCCCTTTTCTCTTCCTTCTTGTAATTCTCCTGTCCTTGCTGACTTGTAGAGAACTGTTCGAGTGGGTTGAGCTTGAACCGTTGCAGTTTTGGCATTCCTTGCTCTTTATGGATCAGGTTTGTTAAGACACTTGTGATTGATCACTTGTTTATTGCAGTTGACACTTTATGCATATATATAAACTTTAGGCAGTGTTTTGGTAGAAGAATCATAATAAATGTGATAAGACTCCATATATTTTCAGCATTCTGATGTGCTACTGAAACTTTCAGAATTCAACTCTTTCAAAATATGTGTTGTACAAACTTTCAATTGTATTTGGTGTATTATCTTTTTCTAATTTCAGCACTATATGAGAAATTTCAGTGCTATTATTTTTCCTTGTTTTTGTCAACTATCTATGGACTTTGAATTTGGAATTCTTCTATCATTTAAATAAGACTTTCTAACATTGTCCTTCCAGTGTTGTATTCTTCAATTGCTGTTTCTGTTTTTCGGCCAAAGCCTCCAAAAGTGATACCCCTGGAATTAAAATTTGATGTTTCCGTCTGGAATTGGGATTTCTTCTATCATTTGCATAGAGTTTCTCTGACACTATCCGTCCAGTATTGTATTCTTCAAATTGATGGTTCCATTTTGTTGCCAAAGCCTCCAAAAATGGTGCCATTGGAATTGAAAGCTAAATTAACTTAAGGGCTGGAATTCTTGTTGGTTTGAAATTAATGCATTTGCATTAAAAGATCTTGCCTTTTCTTAATATACCAACGTCATAAGGAAAGGTTGGTTATGTCTTGCGTACCAATCAAATTATGTTCATTTAACTTTCTGTGTAACAGTATAATTACGGTGGTATCCCAGCCAGAGTTGATGACAGTTCTCACAATGATTCGCATCATCATTCCCCAAGCGAAGAACCAAAAGTGGATATTGTGTCAAGCTGGAATATTGCTGAATACTTGCCCAAGAAAATCCAGGTATTTTCTGTGCAACAATTGTGGCATGTTTAAGGAACTGCATTTCTGGCCAACTAATATAAAGATTTTGTTTGGTCAGTATTAAACCACCCCAACATTTGTTAGAATATGGTTTCTCTTTGTGCTCTGATTTGTTCATTCTTTTTTCTGGGTTTTTTTTTTCCCAATAATCTTCTGAGCCTTTTGCAGGATCATTTTGTTTTAATTGTCTCGGAATTCATGTTTATTCCCTGGGACTATGCACAAAAGCAAGCTGCAATAAGAGAAGCTTCACGTGATGGCAACTCATGTACTCCATCAATCACCATTGTAGCTGCTGAGAATTTTGAATCACACATGGTGGAATATCTTAAAGGGCAGGTATTAATGAGGATACTAGCCAGTGAGAGTTGCGTGATGTCTTGATTCCTTCACCATAAGTTTTGAATTGATTCTTTTGATTTTTCGTGGACACAGATCGGCACACACTTCACAGACAAACTTCTAGGAATTGTTCGAGATACTGCTCTTCACATGAAAGGGACAAACAAATCCGAGAATGTCCAACAGATTTCACTCAGTATCCCACAACTAGCGGGCAACAACCACAAAGGGGATCCTGCACTGGAGTTCATTAAGCATGTTTGTGCTGTCCTGGCTCTAGACCAAAACGTGCAGCATGAAGTTCTGGTAATTTTTGTTTAACTGACGAGCACCAGAACATACAAATCAAATGGCATAAAATAAGAACCAGCACAACACTGATAATTGCTTTGCCATTATGTTATATGGGTTCCCTATTTGTTTCTTCAAGTCATATTATCTTTTATACAATACCTCTCCCCGACTGTGATCCCCTTCCTTCCTTTCCCCTTTTTTGATTTGGAACATTCATTTTTCTTTGTTGTCCAAAACTCTTTGAAATCTTCTCTAAGAATCATCACTCTGCAGAGAACATGTACTATTGATGTCTACTTTATCATACTTTTTAAAAGCTTTGAACATCTACCTAATTTCTGCAATATAAGAAAAAAAGAAGAGAATTTTCTTGTTTCTTTTCTGCTTGAACATGCAAGTCTATCTTCTGTACCGCATTGTTCGTCCATTATGCAAAAAGATAAGAAAATTTAATATGTTTTTATTGAGTTGGGAGAATTAGAAAATTATACTTTAACTCTCTAACCAATTGATTACAGATTTTTTTTTCTAATTTCAAAATAGATTAAATTTTTATCGTTTTGCATGATGGACAAACGAAACTTTATAGATGGATTTATAATTAGAAGCTAAACTCTTAAAGGCAATTAGTAATTGTGTTCTAGTTTTGTCTTTCAGAAATAATGTGCATTATCATTTACTTGCAATCATTTAACAGGTGATGAGAAAGAATCTGTTAAAATATGTACGTGTTCGGGAGTTTGCTCCAGAAGCCGAGTTCCATGATCCCTGCCCTTCTTTTATCTTGCCAAATGTAATTTGCAGGTGAGAATAACGATGGGAGTATTTACATGATCCAGCCGAAAGATTTATCTTTTAAAAAGTTCTAATAAGATTTAGACTGATCATATCATTTTTGACATTAATCTTTAAGCTTGGAGGATGATATTAGAGTATTTTGGTCAGTTGCAAGAAGATATCTAATTAGCAACAGACCTGACCCAATTTGTTCTAATCATTTTATCCTCATTTGATGCAGTTGCAGCTCATAACGAGTTGTTAATTTTATATTTTTCTTCTATTTTGTTTTTGCTCAGTCCAACATCTTGCTGACTCACAATTATATTTGAACAGTTACTGCAATGACTGCAGAGACCTGGACTTGTGTCGTGACTCGGCTGTACTGGCAGAGGAGTGGCACTGTGCTGTGCCCCAGTGTGGCCAGCCTTATGACAGAGAAGTAATGGAGAATGCTCTTCTTCAAATTGTACGACAGAGGGAACGCCTTTATCATTTGCAGGATCTGGTATGCCTTAGATGCAATCAGGTCAAAGCTGCACATTTAGCAGACCAATGTTCATGCGCTGGATCATATAGGTGCAAGGAAGATGTGTCTGAATTCCGCAGAAAAATGCAGATTTTCTTGAATGTAGCCATTCGTCAGAAGTTTCAACTCCTCCAGGAGTGTACCTCTTGGATTTTAGAAGTTCAATAGCTCGTTGGTGAAAGTAAAATAAGACATGTTACGGTATAATTAACGAACTATTAAAATTCAAATTTTAGGATCCAGAAATTCGGCCAGAAACCTCAAGAGACTATAAAGAACTATTAAAGAAACAGTACAAGATTAATTCATAGCTATCTTCTTTTTTTTCAATTTCATATTGTTGCAAATAATAGACATCTTGTAAGCTAGAATAGGTGTTGCTAAAATAGTTTTTTCTTACAGGAAAAAAGAAAAGTTTCTAAAGCTAGTTAGGTTTTTCATTTCCACATAACAAAAGAAGTTTTAATCTTGTTACTACTATTCGTATGATCAATGAATCTTTATTTTCTATCCTTTTATTGTTTTTTTTTAAAAAAACATTAATTTTGGTCACGTTTTCATTCTTCAGAAATAAGAAGAGAAGAAATCTTCTCTATTTCTATTAACCTTTTCTGCAATTGTGATATTCAAATCAAGAATGGAAAGGAAGTATCTAGACTGTCGAGGATTCAATGAAATGTATTAAGTTGAATAGAGAAGTTTCGGAGTTATAATCCATGAAAAAAGATTGAGACATCACATTCAGAAATTTTGAAGATAGAAGATATATACATGCATGCAGAAATATTAAAAGAATTATAGAAGAATAGTCATGATTTGAAAAGAATGCTTAAAGTATTGAAAGAATTAAAAGATATGATCGAGAGTAAATATGAAGATGAAGAATTAGAGGATATAGTAGCTTTTTTTTAATCGTTGTACTTATAGTTTTTTTTGTCATATGATTTGATGTTGGAGGCATCTAAGAATACATCGACCAATATCTCAAAAACTAAAATGCATGTAAAATTAAATATTAGACGTTGAGTACTTCATAATTTCATATGCATAGGCTTATATACAAAGACCTTTAATACCACTAACTTTAGTCATCTCACAAAATTAAGAAGTCATGCTAACAAATGTTTTGTACAATGACTTCATTCGGATGCCATTGATAAGTACAGGGCAATATTGGCAAAACAAAACTTAGATTGCTTAAAAGGAACGAATAATTACATAAGAATAGTTTCCTTACAATCCAATCACACAAATCAACACCTTCAAGAACATGAGAGGTGATCCAGATGGGATGAGCGGGAATGGTGGCCCCATCATTAGATCATCTCCATCCAATACAGTGTCATCCATAGCTGGCTGTGCATCGATTGAAGCACAAAAGATAGCAACAAATTGAGAATCCATCTCGGTTTAACAACCAGCACAACATTGATAATTGCTTTGCCATTATGTTATATGGGTTACCTATTTTTTTCTTCAAGTCATATTATCTTTTATATAATTCCTCTCCCCGACCGCGATCCCCTTCCTTCCTTTCCCCTTTTTTGAAACATTCATTTTTCTTCATCATCCGAAACTCTTTGAAATCTTTTCTAAGAATCATTACTCTGCAGAGAACAGTTACTATTGATGTCTACTTTTTTCATACTTTTAAAATCCTTTAACATCTAACTAATTTCTGTAATATAAGGAAAAAAAGAAGAGAATTTTCTGTTTTCTTTTATGCTTGAACACGCAAGTCTATTACTCCACCTGTACCGCATTGTTTGTCCATTGCGCAAAAAGATAAGCAAATTTAATATGTTTTTATTGAGTTGGGAGAATTAGAATTGATTACAGAACTTTTTTGTAATTTAAAAATAGATTAAAGTTTTATCATTTTGCATGATGGACAAACAAAACTTTATAGATGGATTTATAATTACAATCTACTCTTAAAGACAATTTATAATTGTGTTCCAGTTTTTTCTTTCAGAAATGATGTGCTATCTCATTTGCTTGCAATCATTTTACATGTAATGAGAAAGAATCTGTTAAAATATGTACGTGCTCGGGAGTTTGCTCCAGAAGCCGAGTTCCATGATCCCTGCCCTTCTTTTAACTTGCCAAATGTAATTCGGAGGTGAGAATAACGATGGGAGTATTTACATGATCCAGCCGAAAGATTTATCTGTTAAAAAGCTCTAATAAGATTTAGACTAATCATATCATTTTTGACATTAATCTTTAATAATGGATGATGCTATTAGAGTATTTTGGTCAGTTGCAAGAAGATATCTAATTAGAAACAGACCTGACCCAATTTGTTCTAATCATTTTATCCTCATTTGATACAGTTGCAGCTCGTAACGAGTAGTTAATTTTATATTTTTCTTCTATTTTGTTTTTGCTCAGTCCAACATCTTGCTGACTCACAATTATATTTGAACAGTTACTGCAATGATTGCAGAGGCCTGGACTTGTGTCGCTATGCCGCTATGCTATGCTATGCTCCGCCATTTAATATTCCGAATTTATTGGGAGTGTGTCCTTTATTAGGGATTAGAGTTATTAACTTACAATTTAGGAAAAAGAAGGAACAAACTTGGTGGCTACTCTACCTTTTCTTGCACATAACACCCATAGAGCCTGCATGCCTTAGGTGTTTTGTGCGTGATATTTTATTCTCTAAACCTCTCCAGTTAAGTCGTAATCATGATGCCATCTACGGTTTTCTCCAATAGCTCCTCCATCCTGTTCTCTTCTCCAATAAATCAGCACATTCCAGCAATCTACAGCTGCATCCGTCACTTGTCTTCGCTAAATCGAAACAAGGTGTGCTCTTTTTTTAATTGTTTTGCTTTTTATCGTTGTATATTTCTAAGCATAGATTTGTTAGGTACGTTCTTGCTATTAAAGTTAATAACACTATGAGCAAAGAATCGAGTTCAATTAATTTCTATGGTATTTGATTATCTTTTGTATCAAATCAACATGTTTTTTTTTCCTGATAATAATCTTTTGTTTTTAAACTTATAATAAAACTTATCAATCAACATGTTTTGTTTATCCCTTAAATGATAGATCTATAAGACTATTCCTCCACTTCTCTCTCTCTCTATATATATATGTACCTTGTGGTTTGGAGTTATGTTTTGAAATTTAACTTAGCGATATAATTAGTATTAAAGTTTTCAAAAAATGCACCAATCAAATATGTATTCAATTATATATTTACTAATTCATGCTTTTGGTATTACATTTCAATATTATCACAGTTTATAATCATAAAACTATTGACTTTTGTAGTGCATTAATTCTATTTTAAAGAAACAATACAAAGTTAATTCATAGCTATCTTTTTTAGTTTTTTTTTTTCAATTCAGATTGTTACAAATAATAGAAATCTTGTAAACTAGAATAAGTTTTGCTAACATAGTTTTTTCTTATAGGGGAAAAAAAAACAAGTTTCGAAAGCTAGCTAGGTTTTTCTTTTCCACATAACAAAATAGGCTTTAATCTTGTTACCGATATTGGTATAATCAACAAATCTCTATTTTCTATCTCTTTATTGTTTCCTATATATGTATAAACCTTAATTTTGATCACGTTTACGGTATTTAGAAATAAGAAAAGAAGAAATCTCCTTTATTCCTATTAATATTTACCTACACATCTTTTTAGTTATGTTTCTTCCGTTATCCTTATCCCGGATTGTTGCTAGTCCAAGTAATTATCCAAGTAATAGTTATCTTTGGCAACCGCCATATTCAAATCGAGCACGGAAAAAAAGTGTCCTGGTTGACAAGGATTCAACGGAACTTATTGAGTTGAAGAGAGAAGTTTCGAAGTTAAAATCATGGTGCAAAAAGATTGCGGCATCACATAAAGAAATTTTGAAGATAGAAGATAGGTATAGGCATGCAGAAATATTAGAGGAATTGCAGGAGAATAGTGATATGATCAAGACCGAAAGTGAATTTGAATATGAGAGTGAAGACAAGAGTAAATCGAAGACCTTGAAGATGAAGCATGGAAGAAAAAAAAGGCTCGTTTGTTAACTATTTTTATTCTCATAGATTCTTTGACCGAGAATGAATTTGAAGACGAGAGTGAAGATGACGAGTGAATTTGAAAAAGATGAGAGTGAATTTGAAGACCTTGAAGATGAAGAATACAAGAATAAAAGGCTTGTTTTTTAATCGTTTTTCTTTTCCTAGTTTGTTTCCTCATACGATTTGATATTGGAGATAGCCGAGGATATATCGATTAATATCTCCAAAAACTAAAATGCATGTGAAATTAAATATTAGATACCTAAATATTTCATGTTCAAATTAAATGCATGAGTGTGTATTTCTCAAGATTTTATTTTTTTTTTATGTGCAGAACAAAATCAATCTAGTAAAATATTTTTTTTCTGTAAATTTGATATGATCGTGATTATAAAAATGATATTACTCACATTTTATGCCATTACTTTTCTTTTGTTTCCAAATTGATAGCTACCACTCATGACTCGAACACTCAATTCTTCATGTAACAGCTTGCAATATGACCGCAAATGATGAAGAGTTGGTTGAAATTTCAAATAAAATTGTCCGTGATCTTATAAAAACTCCTTTATTGTTTCAATTCTATTACAATATACAAAATCCATATTACATAAAGAAACCTTGTACCGTACAAAATTCACATTGATACACAAATTAAAATGATCACAGTGCTTTTAAAACCCTTTTTTTAAGGAAAAAGGAAAGAAACACAAGAGTAGCTTATGATTATGAAACCAACATCAGTCATATCCCTTGTAATCACAAGCTGGACATTTGGAGAACTATATATGAATAATATTACTAAAAAAGTTAACATTCATATCCCCTCGTTTGACGAGCAAACCAGCTTCATTATTAAGCTCACGCAGGACATGCCTAATCGAATATTATTAGAAATATTGTAAGAACTCACGGATGTCTTGAAGCAAACACAATAGAGATGAAAATCCATAAAAGTTGCCAAGGCTACATGAACAGCTTCTTGCGAATCCGATCCGATATATTATACCAAAATAGATGTGAAGCCCAAAATTCGAAGGTTGCTGGGAGTTGTCCCTTGTGAATATTAATGAAATCAAGGGATATATTTAATGTCTTTTGTGATTCAGCACCAAAGTGAAGAATTCACTATTGATAAAAGTAGAACTAAAACCAACACAAATTTCTACAAATAATCACTTAAAATCAGATATATGTGAACCCTAATAATCTGCAATCTACTTTTCAAATTCACTTTAAAATTTAATTCATTACGTAATTCAATTTCAGTCATACAAAATCAGTTAGGTTTCGAATTTCTCAGATTAATAACTAAATCAAAACATTTTAAGATAGTTAAATTCAAAAAAAGAAAAAAAAACTTTACCTAATCAAATATTTGGAACTCTGTATAGTAAACGCATATCATAAGGTTAATAAAATTAAAAATAAATAAAATTGGGTAGGACAAGCCAGATTTAAGCATTTGAATTGAAATTTTATGAGAGTTGACAAGAGAAATCGTTTCCATTCTTCATTGTTTTTCCTTCATCTGCCTCCATCAATTCTCTAACAAGATTTTCAATTTCATTTCTTTTAACAATATCGTCGTCTATTTCCATCCCTATGCCCCACTTATTACAACAGAACCAACAATTTGTCCGTTGCTCCACAAAGAAAGGCCAACAAATCATGGGCACTCCACCTCTCAAACTCTCTACTGTAGGGTTCCATCCGCTACGGGTCAAGAACCCTGCAGCTAAAGGGTGTTGTAGAACTTGTTCTGGTGGACGCCAACTTGATAATAGACTCCTTTCTTTCGTTTCAGCCACCCTGGAGGAACAATTGCTGAATCACCAACGATAAGTTCAGGCCTAATGACCCAAAAGAAAGTGCACTTGCTGTTTATAAGTCCCCAAGCAAATTCAATTAGTTTTTGTAGGGTCATGACTGTGACACTACCATCTCTGCTTTGTCAACTTTATAATGCAGTGATGCTGCTCAAAGAACTGCCTCCTGGGGAAAAATATAAAAAGTGGTAAGGAAAGACAGCAATGGTTTTACTAATTACTGGATGCCGTATATGGTAGGCTGATCACTGATGTTGCCATGTTGGAAGAAAAAGTGAACAAATTACCTACGATTTGTTTAATAAGAACTCTTGAAAAAACATATTTCCTTTGAAAATTTCAGCAAATAATAAAACAAATAAATAAATCATCCCAGACGTGGTGCTAGTTTGGATTTCTTTAATTTGACCTAGCTGGCAAAGGAGAAACATACATACATCCGAGCAATATACACATATAGAATATAAGTAGCCAAAAAATGAGAAGAACAGGAACAAAATGAGCTAGTTTAGCTGCGGTAAATATAAAATACGCTCTGATATGCCTATTTGTCTTCAATTGTTCTATGGTCACAGAATTCATTAAGTTTGTAATTTAAAAGTTTTTTATTCCAAGCTTCATATAGCAAGGCGTATTGATTTATTTTAGTCAAATTTCTATAAAATTATGTGTCACAAAAAAAAAAAAAAAAGAACCCGAAATCTCATCATGCAGTTAAATAGAAAAACGAACATAAAATAACGTGTTAATGGATTGAACACGCAAGTCTATTACCCCTCCTGTACCGGATTGTTTGTCCATTATGCGAAAAGATAAGAAAATTTAATGTCTATGCTATGCTATGCTCCGCCCCTTAATGTTCCTAATTTACTAGGAGTCTGCCCTTTATCAGGGATTAGGGTTATTAACTTACAATTTAGGAACAAACTTGGTGGCTACTCCACCTTTTCTTGCACATAACACTTATTTTCCACCGTCATATATTTATATAGCGCCTGCAGGCCTTGGGTGTTTTGCGCGCGATATTTTATTTTCTAAACCTCTCCAATTAAGTCTTAATCATGATGCCATCTAGGGTTTTCATCAGAAGCTCCTCCATCATGTTCTCTTCTCCAATAAATCAAGACATTCCAGCAATGCATCCGTCACTTGTCTTCGCTAAGTCAAAACAAGGTGTGCTCTTTTTTTCGTTGTTTTGCTTTTTATCGTTATATATTTCTAGGCATGGATTTGTTAGGTATGTTCTTGCTATTAAAGTTAACAACACTATGAGCAAAGGATCGAGTTTAATTGATTTGTATGGTATTTGATTATCTCCTGTATCAAATCAACATTTTTTTTTCTTATAATAATCTTTTGTTTTTAAACTTATAATAAAATTGATCAATCAACAAGTTTTGTTGATCCCTTATATGGTAGATCTATAAAGACTATTCTTCCACTTCTCTCTCTCTCTCTCTATATATATACCTTAAGCAAAATGTTTGGAGTTATGTTTTGAAATTTAACTTTAGCTATATAATCAGTATTAAAGTTTTCAAAAAATGCACCAATCAAATATGTATTCAATTATATATTTACTAATTCATGCTTTTGGTATTACATTTCAATATTATCACAATTTATAATTATAAAACTATTGACTTTTGTAGTGCATTAATTCCTTTTTTTAAAAAATAGTTCAAGGTTAATTCATAGCTATCTTTTTTAGTTTTTAATTTATTTTTTTTTCAATTTCAGATTGTTGCAAATAGTAGACATCTTGTAAGCTAGAATAGGTTTTGCTAAAATAGTTTTTTCTTAAAGGGAAAAAAGAACAAGTTTGAAAGCTAGCTAGGTTTTTCTTTTCCACGTAACAAAAGAGGCTTTAATCTTGTTACTACTATTAGTATAATCAACGAATCTCTATTTTTCATCTCTTTATTGTTTTTTATATATCTATAAACCTTAATTTTGGTCACGTTTACAGTCTTTAGAAAAAAAAAAGAAGAAGAAGAAATCTCATTTATTTCTATTAATATATACCTACACATTTTTTTAGTTATATCCCTTATTTTATCTTATTTCAGATTGCTGTCGGTCCAAGTAATTATCTAAGTAATGGTTATCTTCGACAACCTCCATATTCAATCAAGCATGGAAAAAAAGTATCTTGGTCGACGAGGATTCAACGTAACTTAATGAATTGAAGAGAGAAGTTTCAGAGTTAAAATCATGGTGTAAAAAGATTGTGGAGTCACATAGAGAAATTCTAAAGATAGAAGATAGGTATAGGCATACAAAAATATTGGCTGAATTGTAGAAAAATAGTGATATAATCGTCCAAGAGTGAATTTGAAGACGAGAGTGAAGATGACAGTGAATCTAAGAAGAAGAGAGTGAAGACGAGAGTGAATTTAAAAACCTTGAAGATGAAGAATGGAAGAATAAAAGTAGAGGTGAACATTCGATTTTTTTATTCGGTTTTTGTTTCTCTTTTTGGTTTTCGATTGACCGAATTGACTAAAACAAAAATCAAAATCGAATCGAATTGAGGGTACAAAAATTACTTTGTATCTATTAGACGATCATGCGAGCTCCACCCCTAGCGAAATCCTTCGATGCCTTCAAGCCCACTCGCAAGAATCAAGTGTCCATAGGGCACCACATCTCGATTTGATTAAATTTTTCATTTTTTTATATTTTATCTATGTTTTTTTTTAATTAATTTGGTTAATCTTAGTGGTGTTTTAACAATTTGGCCAAATTTAGTGGGTTTTTTTTTAAAAAAAAAAAACAATTTGGGCAATTTGAGGGATTTTTATTTCTCAGTATAAATACTTCCCTCACTCTTTTCTTTTCAGTTCAGACTTTTTATTCTTTCTTTTCTAAAACTAAAAATGAATTACTTTTTTAATCCCTTCTTGGAGCTTACCCTTAGCAACCAGGACAATGAGGGAGGAATCCAACCTGCAACCCCGAGAGTTGATGTTGGGGTACTGTTGCAGCTGCTCTTGGGGCTGGTGCTGCTGCAGGTTACGTTGTTGGTAATTATAAGACTTGTTTAATTTCTGAAAAGAACAATGATGCTGGTGAAACTTTTTGGAAGAGGATCAAGGCTGTGAAGAACATAAAGATAGTTTAATTTATAGGTTCTTTTATCAATTATCTATTGCTTTGTAGTATACAAACTTTTTTTTCCTCTCTTTTTTAAAGACGAACTTAGCAATCTACGGAATAGAAAGTACGGCCTTTATTACACAAGTTGTAGAAGCTCGCAATCAAACCTCAACCGACGTTGCCGTTGAATAAATTTTTAAAAATCAAAAAGGAAAGAAGGTAAAGGAGGGAGAAGAAGAAAAGAAGGCGAAAGATGGAGAAGAATGTTCTGAAGCGAATCCAAAATAAAGGGCCAGAAGGAACAACCCGTTATGAAATAAAGAATATGGAAACATTAAAAGCAGTTTCAGGTTGTTCTCGGTGTTTGGTACTCTTAATTTTTTTGTCAAATTGTCCTCTTAATTTCTGTTTCAGATTGTTCTTGGTGTTTGGTACTCTTAATTTCTATTTATTATAAATCTGACTTCTATGCTAGGTTACCATCGTTGTGATTGTGTGCGTTAGAACTTTGGTATCAGATTAAACGAAAAAAGAAATTAATCAGAAATATAACGATGGAGTAGAACAACTTGCACTTTAAATACAGTGAACCATCCATTAATTGTTAGATTTCAAAACAATCAATAGGTAAAGCCAAAAACAATTGAGAGAAAAAAGAAAAAGAAGAGGAGAGAAAAGAAAATGACTCACTTATACATCTAAAGCCTTCCCACGATTTAATTCTCCTTGTTGAATTAGCCTCACAGTTTGGTACACTCCCGCTTAGAAACTCAAGGTCCTGATACCTTCAAAACTGCCATTAATTTAGAAACAGAGAGAGAGAAATTGAAGTCAAGCCAACTAGGAAACCAAAACTTTGGGTTTGTTGTTTTGTTCGAAATCTATTAGCTAAACCAAACACATGTAGGTCCTGGAGGGTAATAAAAGCTTCGATCACAAATTGACATGAATCACACTCTTTTTTTTTTTTTTTTTACAACCACTTTACTGTTTTCATTCCTTATACTACCTACTGGCTAGTGGTCTTATTAGCACCAAAATGTCACCAGAAAAACCATTTTTTGGTTGTTGAACTTGGAGCCGGTCCATCCTTTTTCACCTCGTTCTTTCTATTCTCGATGCCCTGCGTTAAAGATTCCAACCTTTTTCTGCATAAAACAACAAAGAGAATTCAGGTAGTAGATAAGTGGAAATTGTCCTCTCATGGAAATAGATAATTCTAAGTAATTGCCTAAAGGAAAAAATCAATTGTCAGTTACTTCAAGGATTAAGCAGCCAACAATTTTAATGAAAGTTAAACTACTTGGGCTTTCTGTTACTGATGCAGCTCACCTACTAACGAGAATAATGAATTTGTTTATCCTGGGTTCTTTACTTGTTTAGAGTCAAAAAGAAATTCATCAAATAGTTTTCAGTGGAAGCATGATTCACTTCCTATATCTTGTATCACAACTAATTTGAAAGGATATCTCATCTCTCCAATGGTTCAGCACTTAACCACAAACCACATAAATCCAAAAATACCGTTTTGACAGCACGTAAGAGGATACAAACATTACTTTGTATCTGTTAGACGACCATGCAAGCTCCACCTCTGGCGAAATCCTTCAATGCCTTCAAGTCCACTCGCAAGAATCAAGCGCCTATAAAGCAATGGTCGAAACATATAAGTGATCTCCAAAGATGAGTAATGATTCGACAGAAGAAAGCAAATATAAGAACGATGCATGACAAGTGCATTGTAGTTGCAATATACATGAATGATATTAATTATAACACCAGATTGTACTGACATGATAGCGTAGTCATGCCCTTATTAAGAAAATTTTCAAGGCTATTCAACAACTGCTCAACATAACTATCAATCTAGATTTTACCTCTCTAAAGATGTGACTTCCGATTCAAGTTGAGCAGCTCTTTCCTTTGCTTCATCTAAAGGCATTGATGACCCCAATTTGCACTCACTATCTTGTAGGCGTTGCCTTAGTTCCTTATCCTGCAACTCAGTTTTTCAAACAAACATTAACAAGTTGATATCAACCAATCTTTGAAAATCTGCATTTTACAAATTATAACATTCGAGAAAGAGTACATCTAATAAAAAGGTAAGTGAAAAGACAATCCATCTCACCCTCCTTTCAGCACATTGTCGATACAAAGCGAGCTCGTCTTGACAGAAAGGCTCAATATCATTGATTTGCAAGCCTGCAAATAAAGCAGGAAGATTTAGTTACAAATGAAGTTATATTCCTTTCTGTACAGCATTAAGCAGGCCACCAATACAACAAAAAGGTGTTTGTTGTATCCCCCAATAGCAGAAATTCTAATATTACAACTAAAGTCAATTATAAACGAAGAAAATAGGTAAGGGAGAGGGATATCCATCCCACTAACAATCGTGGAGCTACCACATAGCAGCAGAACGGACCCAAAGAAGTTGAGTACTTCATATGCATAGGCTGACAAAGACCTTTATTACCACTAGCTTTAGTCATCTTACAAAATTAAGATGTCATGCTTACAGATGTTTCATGCAATGACTTCCTCCAGATGCCATTAATGAGTACAGAGCAATTTTGGCAAAACAAAACTTAGATTGATTAAAAGGAAATGAAAACTTACATAAGAATAGGTTCCTTAAAATCCCATCACACAAATCAACACCTTCAAGAACGTGAGAGGCGATTTCTGTTGGAATGAGCGGGGATGGTGGCCCCGTCATTAGATCATCTCCAACCAATATAGTTTCATCCATAGTTGGTTGTGCATCGACTGAAGCACAAAATATTGCAACAAATTGAGAATACATCTCGGTTTAAAGTTAACTTGCAGCAAGAAAGGAATGGAAGAAAGCAAGAACTTAGGCAGCAATTTGCAGTTAACTTAGTTGGAAGAAAGAAATCATTAGGAACGAACCAGTAACTCTAGAACCCTTCATGACCGAATTGGAAATCTTTTATGTATGGTGAAGTGAGTGGAACTTAACTCACATGCCTGCATGCAAGATGTAGGCATGCCCCCACACGTGTTTGAACAGATTAATAATTTGACATAGTTTTTAAACAGCTCGCTTGTGATAGAAAGTCATAATTTTTTTTAAAATCCACTGGCACAATCCATACCATTTCTGGTATCCTGAAATAAATAAAAATAAAACTTCCCCTCAATAAAGCTTCTACTTGTTTGAAGAGTTTTGGCACTCGTATATAGCTTGTATTAATTGTTGCCATGTCCCTAATAGATCCTTTGGTACTGTAACAACACACAGCCTTTGTTCCAATATTAGTGAGACTTTGATTCTTTTATCATGACCAAAGCCATAACGTCATTAACTTGCCTATTTCCTTTTTTCAGTTGCTCTTATCTGAATGGTTCAACATCAAGATTACTTCTATAGAATCTGAAATTAAATTTACTTAGTTGAAGCATATTCCAACAAAATTCCCAAACAAAGTTACTGTTCAATTTGCACTTTGAAATCTGTTTCTTTTCCTCGTCTTTGAGACCATCGACATGACCAGTTTCTACTTCTCAGAAAGAAGACTGATGATTTCAGACCTACAAAGTCTTAGAGGTATTTAGACTTAGGAGACTGACAACACAGTCTGCTCTACCAAAGAGACAAAAAATTAAAGATCATAAAAACATTTCTTTTCATACATAGATTCATCAAACAGAAAAGTGGAAAAACAAACAAAAAGAGACATGAGAGCTCACACACCATCCATGATTGCTTTTGAGCAAACTCGGTCTTCAATCACCAGTAAATAAATATGTTCAATCAAGAATCAAAACCTGTAAACCACAAGAAAGAACAAAAACAGGAAAAGAATTAACAAATGCACAAGAAAAAACAGTGCTCTGGAACCCTGAAACTGCAGAGCAAACTCTACAAAGCTAGATAGGTGGTTAATAAATCAAAAGATAGAAGCACCCATTTCCTCCTTTACATCAGAAAACAAGATAAGAATGATCAACATGTAAATGGGGTGCGCAGATTGAAAGACAACCTTATGGCTGCATTTCATCAAACGGGTGCAGTGCAAGACACTATGTGATAAATTTTATTAACTATCGCCATGTCGAGCTCATTTTCAGTGCTTTGAAAGCCATGGAATGCATATAATCCATTTCAAGTTCAAATGAAAGTCCTTTTTATGAACTTACGGTTAATTAGAGCTGAGGGAAAGGGGGTGCACATACAGGTCCGGTCAGTGATTGGATATTCGAATGGAAAGAAGTGGAGACAGAAAAAATGGTTGCTCAGATATAAATGGGTCACAGATAAAAATAAGCCCATTAAAATGAACTGGCCTAATATACAAATCTAGTTCGAAGCCCTGTGGCCATAATATGGGCTTTAGGCCCAGATCTTTAAAACGGCCAACAGAAAATATTTCTCCGGTCTTTGTATATATATATTTTTTTCACGGTAAGGACATCGTCATATATGAGATGAAATGGAGTTGATTGCAACCTACAATAAACTACAAGTCAGGAAAAAAAAAATATATATATATATATATATATATTTCTCAGGTTTTTTTTTCTTTTTGCTTTTATCTTTTCTTCAACAGAACAAAGCCAATCGAGTAATTTTTTATTATCATTATTTTATTTTATTTTTTATAAATTTGGTAAGACCGCGATCATAATAATTGTATTATTCATGACCCAAAGCTGAACGTTTCATGCTGTTACCTTTTCCTTCGAAATTGATAGCAACCACTCATGACTCGGGTACTGTGCCATTCGTCATGTAACAGCTTGCAACACGACCACAAATGACGAAAAGTTGGTTGAAATTTTAGATAAAACTGACGGTGACCGTATAAAATTTCTGTGCCGTTTCAATTCTATTACAATATACAAAATTCATATTGAAACCTTGCAATATACAGAATTCACATTGATACACAAAATGATCACAGAACTTTTGAAACACTAGCGAGGAAAATATGCAAGTAAAATTCATATACGCCTGTACTCGTCTCCGCAGTCGCCAATCACTTGTAACAGATCCTTCCCTTTTTTGGAAACTTCTTGTATGCTGCTTATATCTTCCTCGTCGAGGACCAGTGAAAACACGGCATTGGTGTCATTGATGTGTTCAGACAAACCGAGTCGAACACCTACCATGGATCCTGCAACTGCTGGCTGTAGATTTACATGACGTGACAGAAGAAATATTCTTGATCAGAGAAAAATTCTCCCATCCAAGAGATATGAACATTTAGGAAGTGCAGAAACATACCTGATCTAATATGTATTTCACAGCTACCGTTGGAATGGAGACCCCATGTTTAGAGGCTATCGTCTTAAGTGTTCGCAGCAGACTTTGGAACAGACTCCATCCTCCCCAAGCGTCAACCATCTGTCATGTATTTTGCAGAATTTTATGACACAAATCTAAGCATACTATTTCAGTGGTAAATATTCAAAGATTTAAACCTCTTCCGCTCATGCATCCTAGGGTTACAATGTCAATAATTTTGGAGAACTTTATATGAGAAAAAAGAGAGGGTGGAGGAAGAAGGAAATCACTAATCCAAGGCTTTTGTTCCTCAACTTGTGAGAAACTTCAAAAGAGAGGTCACTCTTAACATTCTAATAAACTCCACTAAACAAAAGCCAACAGTTTCCTTATTAAAGGTGGTCTTATTTCATGTCTTCAAGTAACAGGCTAAACCTCACAACACGACTAAAAATGAACCATTATTTTTCCAGGACAAGATAAAGCCCGTATCCAAGGGAGTCCTTATCTCTTACCCTTTTGTACTTCTGCAAGGAGGGAGTATTTAATGGGGGGCCAGCAAAAGGAATGGATAAGTTGGTGTCGAGGAATTTCTCAGATAATAGTCCACCCATTACTGTCCCATACCTGCATTCGTTAATTATCCAAAGATGCTTAATTGTACAGCAGATATTGTAAACTCTGTTAGCAAGCCAAAAGACTGATACAGCATGTTATTTGTACAATCATATTTCTATGCGCATGCAAGGAAGAGAGGGACAAACAGACGTAATAAGTTTAACTCCAGTAAGCTGACAAAGCTCTGCCATTTTTTGTTGAGGACGCATGTCCACAAGTGAATGTTGCACCTGATTGTACCACAGTATACTAGTTTCCATGAGCTACAGGCTACATTAAGAGATAGGAGTGACAAAAACATGAAATTGTTTGATATTACCTGATTGCTGACAACAGGAATTCCATTTTCTAAAATTATTTGTAATCTCTCTGTGTCAAAATTTGTCAAAGCAACAGTCTTAATTTTACCTGCAAGCAAGTTGCTGAAGTAATGCAATCAAATCAAAGATATATGGACTCACATGTCCATAAGAATCCAAAATAAATAATCTAACCTTCTTTGAATAGCCAAAATAAATTATTCTAACCTTCTTCTTTTAGGTCATTCAAGTGTTTAAGTGCATCAAGGTAGCCAGGATTAGAATAGTCCCACCTATTTAAGATATAAAAAGAAAAGAGAAAAGCACAAATCATTAATTTAAGAAAAATCCAACAATATATAACAGGCATCAATAGAAAGTACTGATGTTGAATATGCAATCTAGAGAAATGTTTTCCAGATAATGGAAACAGAACAATACCAATGAAACTGAAGCATGTCCAAGGATGACACGTCCATCCTCTTCCTTGAAATGTCAATGTTCTGCCTGACATAGCTACCGGTCATTTTAACTGGTGCTGGGACCCACTTAGTAAGGCTGCATTGCATAATATACAGTAGGTGAGCATGAACTCCATACTTTATTCTAGAGGTGAACATAAATTCTTCAATATGCTTCCTATGTTATGCATCAATAAATTTCTTGTCCATGTAAGCCAAGATAAGCACCAAACTTAATCCTTCCCAAAAAATAATACATACCAATTAATAATGTGGTTGTGACTCACCCTCTAACCTTATCCAAGAATTCTGGTGGACGCTCTCTGCGAACTCGGTTGATAAAAATGCCGTAGAGATCTTCAGCAGGCCCATCTGCAATGTAAAAGATGTGAAACAATGAGAGATCCAATTCTTGGATGCAAATATTAAAAAAAGAAATCAAACATTTCAGTTTATCCAGTTGATAAGCAGTGAAGTTACTGCTCAATCAAGTGTCCTTATTGTTCTAAAACAATTTATCAATACCAAATGCTTTCAATCCAATTACATAACAACTTATTTCCAACTCCAAGCATCAATTGTGATCTTCGCAACTCACACAAAAAACAGAATTGAAAGACTAGCTACTTCTTTATAAGCTCATTACATATATCAGCCATATCAAAAGTAGTCAATCCAGCATCGGCATATTTGAGCATAGCATCAACAGCATTATCACGATCAATCTTGCCCCAACCACCACTTGTTTGCCACATCCCATTCACAACCCTACACATATCTAATGTATCTTTTCCATTCTTCACCACTACAATTCTCCTGTTAACCTCCTCGGTAAACACACACAGCAATGGTTTCAAACTGGCTACTTTTCTTACATCACCAACTCTTCTACTTGCCAGTTTCATTCCATTAAAGGTAAAGTTGCTAAATGGTTGGTGTAAAAACTCTGCCATTTTCAATTGCCGAAAAAAAAGGCCTTTTTTTTTTTGCTTCTTTAAACACCAAAACTATGTCTCTTCCCTTCTAATAGTTTTCTTTTATCTTATCTGCTTCTTGTCTTACCTCCCACCATTGATTCTATAGGGACACTACGGCAATTATGGAGGGAGCGAGGGCATTTGGTCGTTTTGGTCAAAGGATATCATTTATACGGGTAAACTGTTACAAATATAAAAAACAAATAAGAAAGCGGCAAACGCGTAAATACTTAAATCCATAGGGACACTACTACAAAATACAAAGCAAACTAAAAAGCCTACGTGGCAAGCAAATAAGCCCCAGGACTTTCCTCGCCAGTAAGAACAAACCACGTAAACATAAAAAAACCCACAAAAAAAAACGGTAAGGGTTTTGATTTTTTTTACAGTGGTCGGCCATGTCGAAGGTGGAGAGACCAGCGTCGGCGTAACGAAGCATGGCTTCAACGGCGCCATCTCGGTCAATACGGCCCCAACCGCCGCTAGTCTGCCACATACCGTTAAGGACTCTGCATATGTCAAGCGAATCGTTCCCGTTCTTCACCGTGATTCGCTGAGTCCCGGCGTCAGTAGCGGCTGTTGCTGTTGTTGGAACGCAGCGGCTGACTGAGTTGAAACTGAGTCGTCTTGACTCGGGACGAGCTGCAGTTGTTATAGTGAGTTTGGGAACGATGTGGTGTACGGACGCTGCCATCGTATTTGCGTTTTTAGTGTTCTAGACAGAGAAGCGAAGTCCAGAGATGATAGATAAGGTGGTTGGCGCTCAAAACGAAAATGAAAATTGCCTTATTTTCTTAATTGACAATTATACCCTCAGTCTCCAGCCAACCAACCCAGTAATTGTTATTTTATTTTTTCACAGAAAGATTAATTTTCCTTTCAATCCGATTTTAAGCAACTTATTAATATTCGTACTCATGACGAAAACTTTTTCTTGAATTTGAAAATTGTATAAGAATATGAGGAAAAAAAACTACTTACCATCCACGCTAAACCTTTAAATACGATGAGAGAAAATACATATTCGTTGTATTTAGATTTTGGACAAAAAATTCTCTTATAATCTTTATAAGAAGGGTCTTTCAAGATTATTTAAATTGGTCTTCCTTTTCTGCTTGCTCCGGATAATGTGCAATGTGCAACTTATTTTGAAGCTATGATGCAATTCACCTATGTTTCACGAACTTAGATTTGGGAAAGAAGCTATTGATTTAGTGAGAACTAAAAAATAGAATTAACATGGAGTGGAACCCTTGTTTAATCCGAACAGCAACTTCTTTGGTCATTCTCCTGTTTGAGAAAGCGTATCTATGAACTGGTAGCACAGTGATTTGGCTGATTTATTGCCAGATTATGAATTCACTTAAAAGTTTGTAAATGGGAAAAGATTCATTAAGAGTTGCATTTCTTGACGAAGATGGTGAGTTTTGATTGCTTTGTTCAATAGCAATTGTCCTCTCCGAATCCAATGATGAAACAGCAGCGTCAAGTCAACGGGGGAAAGGTCAAAGACAAAACGAAGCGTCGGTACTTTACTTGCAGCTTCATCCCCTCTTGCCCTTGTTGTCATCTGCTTGAAGTCAAGCATTCTTTAAGACAATCGGTAACTGTCCGTTTTCCAAGTAGTTGCTAGGAAGCGCCTAAAGTAACTATGGAAAAGGAAATTCTTTGGTCATCCCTTTTCTGGGAAATGAATTTTAGAAAATCTGGAAATATATTTAAGCTTTTGCCTTCACTATCAAAGCATGTTTACGTTTTGTATCCACCAACTATACTTCTTCGAGAACCCGAAAGATAGGGATTCCGAGAGTTAACGAGTTTGATATGAAAGCGAGAGGGAGTACACTAAGGAAGGGGAAATCATTACCAAATGGGGAAAGTTCAAGCCAGATGAGAGGAGAGGAGGGAGTTCCTAAAGGCCAACCAAGTCCAACGTGGTCAAGCCTAAGTGGAGATGAGAACCGAGTTTCCGTGCCGACTGAAATCCTACGCTACGAGGAGGAAGCTCATGAAGGCCAAACTAGTCCATTATTTGCACCCCTAGATAGCGAGCAGTACCAAGTTCCAGCTCTAACCGAAAGACTGCGGCAAGAGGAATTTGAGCATGATTATTGGCATTTCACAAATCAACATTCATTTGTCTTATCTTTGAAACTTATTCAGCGTAGTCTTGAGGAAAGGCGTGGAATGGAAAGACAAGGAGGCAGAAGTTCATCCACATGCATCTTTCCATTTCCTCATAGCCTTGACAGAATAAATCCGAACACTTACCAACCTGAGCTCGTGTCAATAGGCCCTTACCACAGGGGCAAAGCTCATGTAGTGGAGTTTGAAGACCGCAAGTGGCTGTTCCTGGATAAATTCCTCTCTAGATCAAACCGTGGTTTAAGCTACTATCTTGGTGCAATGAGACAAGAAGAAAAGTCTACAAGAGACTGCTACTCAGAGACTATCCCCATGTCAAGTCATGACTTTGTTGAAATGATGTTGCTTGATAGTTGCTTTGTCCTTGAACTTCTCCGCAATCTTAACCATGGTGAAGATACGATCATCGAGAATGACCCCATCTACACAAGGCCTTGATTGATCCCCATTCTAATTAGCGATCTCCTTAAGCTTTCGAACCAACTTCCATATTTTCTTCTCCACTTGTTGTTCAGCATGTCGGGCGGTAACAAGGATATAAAAGTACGAGCAGATCCTCTACCAATAATTGCGTTAAAGGCCTTTGATCTAGCCTTTCCAAGACGTGCAGGAATCCTGAACCAGTTTAGATCCTGGGACGGTAAGCATTTACTTGACCTATTCTATTCGAGCCTCCTTCCCACATCTCATGTCATAATCAATTTCAATGATTTAGAGGAATATCGTCCATCAGACCAATCAATTCAATGTGTCACACAGCTTAGGCCATCAGGAATCAAGTTTAGGCCAAGAAAGAGCGATAGCTTCCTGGATATAAACTTTCGAAACCGTGTACTGGAAATTCCAACTATCACCATTAATGACTTCACAAGCACTGTCCTCGTAAACTGTGTTGCCCTAGAAGAATGCGAGGAAAGGAGATCCAAATACTTCAGCGATTATGTCTCTTTCATGAATTGTCTCATTAACCAACCGAGAGATGTTACGTTTCTTTGTTCAGATGGAATCATCACAAGATTCTCCCAAGATGACCAATACGTGACCGATCTCTTCAATACTCTCGGGAAAAATATTGCTTTCAATATTCGAGAGTGTTCTCTCTCCAAACTATTCAGCGAAGTAGAGTCGTATTACAGCAGCAACTGGGCAACTATGAGGCGAACTTATTTTAGCAGTCCTTGGTCATTCATCTCAGTGCTATCCGCCTTCATCCTACTAGTCCTTGCTATGGTACAAAGCATTATGTCTGTTCTAAGTTACAAGTGCTATTAGAGTAAGATAATAATGTTGTACGATCTTGTTTTAGGCCAGGTCAGGTTCGACAACCCCCCCGGTTCGCAAAAAAGAAGGCATAATATATGAAAACATGTTCTTTTATGTTACTGGACAACATTCTGCAACGAAATGAGTGCTTTATTTATAAGTAGGAAATAAAGATGAGAATCCTTCCCAATACAGCATACCATCCAATAACATACAACCAAGTACTAAGCACCAACTGCCAGAAATATAACCTGATTATAGATCCATACAGGCCTACATGGATGGGTTCTCAAGACGTTTTCTCAGACACGTCAAGGTGAATTTGACAAGACAGAAATCTACATTTTTTGTTTGCTCTCAAGTCTCATAATCTTCCGCTCCATCTACAAACCAGTGAGGCCCAGAAAAAGCAACAAGCAGAACAAGTATTTTGTTAAATGGAAGCAACAAAACATTTATGCACCATACTTTATTAGAACAGGGACATAAAGTGAAGCATAAATTATTGTGAACAACCAAACTAGAAAACAATCTGCATGTGTCAAGAAAGTTGGGAGAAGTCTGGCAATTTGAATTTCCCTTGCTTACTCAAAAACAACAGAATGATACAGCCAAAATGTTAATGTAGGTGGTGTATATTAGATTTAAATTTTGAAGCAAAATGCTGGCGAGAAATGATGCAATTTTTACCACATGCAATTCCATACCCAAAATACAACAAGCCAGCAATCTTATCCCACGTTCCCAGAAAACCATCACAGGAAATTGTTCTTCCTCAATTAAAAGTGCTGCGTGCAGCGACTCAAAACTGAGACTCGTGCTTTTGAGCTTTGATTTGATTATGATGTGGTCCTTTGCTAACTTCTATCCTTCTTTAGCAGGAAATTTTATGCAACTGGGTTGCAATACAGATCTAAATCCCTTTCTATGTTGAATTTCTACCAAAGCCAAAATGCAAAACCTACCACCAAAGACTCAAATCATGTTTCAAACCCATGGTGGCAAACAAATTAAATATTTATCACAAGTGCGGCAAACTTAAGCAGCAAGAGTTTAAAACATACAAAGTATAAGAAAACGAGAGTTTTTGAAATCTTAATAAAAAAAAAGTAATTAATCAATTAAAATGCAAGTGAAGCACACAATCATGTATTATCATGGATCTTGCAGATACTTGAGCACGTGAGATATTTTGAAAGGGAGTTTGAATGGGGTAATGATGTACAATTATGCATTACTCATGAGCTTTTTGGTGATTAATAAAACAAAAGTAAACCAGCTAATGGCATGTACCCCACTCGAGAATTATAGGATCTACAATATAGGCAACCAACCAAGTTTGCACTTGCAGAAAGATGAATTTCAAATCAGTAAATAATTGTTCAGGCTTGTACTAAATTCCTTTGCTAGCAAACAAAAAAGTTCAACATCAGCTAAAAATGGTACATTATTTTAATAGTTATAGCAATGGATTGTTATTTTTATGTAATATTATGATCTACATTCAGTTATTACTGTCCCTTTTGGATTCAGTCATTGAAGATCTTTATAGTAAAACAATTTGCTAAAAACTGCTAGCCCTGCCAGAGTAACTTAAATTTGTGTTAAAATACGGAAAAGACCATCGGTTTTGCATTTAGGCATCTTTTCTTTTCCTTATGAATAATTGGAAGGACGCTAAAATGTATCGAACTCTATTTTACCCATATTCTCCTTCAGGCAGTTAGTTGCATTTTCCATCAGCGATCATGCATCCAACAAATTAAAACTATTCACATAGCAATACTGTCTGGTCATGCAAAAACAGGACATTCTTTCTAGAAAAACTCCAGACGAGGTCAAGGAAAAATACCGCGAAATTATAAACAACAATATGCAGATATGTTACTTTGCAAGTAAACAAGAACTTAAGAGTACAGAAGACAAGAATTAAGATTGAATTACCTGAACAATGACTTGTAACTTGGTCCGAATATGAGCAAATTCATTCTTTATCCAGTTGAGGGAAAGGGACAAACTGAAACGGTGATATATGCAAAAGCATAAGAGGAAAGGCAGTTATTAATCCAAATAGGAATGTTTGAATATATTAAGGATAAGAAAATGATAACCAACAAGAAAATATAGACATGTTTTGTAAAATAAGCAGATATAACACAAGTCTAAGAAGACAGCAATTTATCTTCGACAATGGCCGCATATTATGTTACATGAACGATGCATCCTTCCCACATGTCAATAATGGTGTATTTTAGAAGAATATCAAAATTAATAGAAGAAAACAATGAATTTTATCGTTAATTAATTTTATCATTTTCCTTTTTGATATGCCAGACAATATACTCAAACTAATGACAAAGTGCAGCATGGAAAGCCACCTTACTTTCTTTTATCCATCTGACGACAAGCTTGAATGAGATCAGCACATGCAAGCCTCATATGCTCAGCTCCCATGCTGTAAAACCAAGTACATAAGATCCACCTTTTGAATTCTTTTTATGATCATTTACTTCCAGCTTGACTCATGAGACAGCAAAGAAACCGTAGGAAAATTGGTAAAACCATCAGCACAGCTTATTTTCCTTGAGAGGAAAAATTAGCAATATTTTTTTACCATCTACTATCTATCGTGCTGAACATCAGCAACTAATTGCCCTCCTTATTTGTTAACCAATGACTATTACGCATTGCTATATTCCAATGTGTGAGTTTGTGGATGTGAATACAAACAAATCAAGAGAATGTGCATAAGCGAGATAACTCCTGTATGTTTATCCAAACAACTTCCAGCTTGTAAATCTTTGGGTTATTGAGGCTTTTAACCAGAAGGCAACATGAGTCACGATAAATGTATGCGAAAGAGGAACTCTAGAGCATGATAGCATGATGAAAAAGGAAATTTACTAGATACTTGCTACTTTTGAACTTTAATGAATCATCATCATTATTACTTAATTTTTTTGTATATGAACTAACATATAAGACAGATAACTCCGGTTCATTCCAACATGACACCATTTCCAACAGACACGAAAAATTAAAAGTTCCATGCAAAACAGCTTATCACAGAGACCTAAAAGAGTTAGTCTATTGTTTCAGCTACCATTATTCTTACAGATGGTATTTAAACTATTTAGCTCATTATTTCCTTTTAACTGGATAAGAAAAGGAATCAAATAGGCTTTTTTTTTTTAATTGAAGTATTAATTAATACAACTATATATACATATTTGGATATATCACAGCATATATAGGAAGTTTCAAAAAAAAAAAAGATGCTGAATAGGATAGTTGCCGACTATGATTTGCATATATATCATAGTCATCGTTACGTCCATGCCATATACATCCATGAAGACAAATAAAGAAACATAAAGTTAAGAACACCTGGTGCAGGCTTAATAAAAGTGAAAGACTGATAGAAAACAAGTACAAATAAATCATTACGTACGCAAGCTACTTCTGAATCCCAGTTATTATTTATGTTATTCACTTATAGGAATGGTGAAGAACGTAGTGTTAAAAAAACATTGCATGAAGAAACAAAAAGCACTGTAGCCTTGCCATTGAAGAAAGAAAACATAAAGCATGCTAAGAGCGCTTGAAGGTCCAGTGACCACTTGAGAAGCAAAAATATAAAATTGCTTGAGGCATCATGCTAAACCAGATTTCCACCATAGGCAAAGGGAGGAACCACGCATGAGACAGAGACAAACACATAAAATTATGTTTCTTTGTGCACCAATAGAAGTACCAACCATCACCACCTACTACCAGAGAGAAATCAGAGATTAAAAATAGAACGTGCATGATTGAAATGAGGAGAAAACATAGAGATGTATTTCCTAATCACATTAACAAATGAACACATTTTGTGTGCTTGGCCTCCCCGAGGAAAGTCCCAGTACCCAGGTCTTGATCGAAGGCAAGACACGTTGAGTTCAGCCTTTTAAACAATGTTTCAAACAGCTTTTTTTCTTAATATTTCCTTCTTTCAGTAGATCTAAACTCTTTTTCACTAAAACAGCATCCTATCTATGAGTGCAACACGTGTAACCAAACAATATCAAAAATACAGTCCATTTCAGAAATTGTTTCCTATTTTCTCCATTTATCAGACATGATAACTACTCTTATTATCCAATAACTACCCTTTCACAGAATATAAAATCTTAATCTTACAGTGAGCTTCTCTCCTCTACTTGCTGAGCTAGGGCAGCTACCTTAGAAAAATCAACATCAATATCATCACTGCAGGTATATAAATATGAGTTAAATAACCCAAATTATTCTAGGAAGTCATCTACCATAAATGACACTTTGTAAGTTGAGTTTTGGGTATAGTATTACATGTAGCTTGTAAGTTCAAATAAGATTGCTTCCACATCAATGCAGTATGTATTGATCAACTGCACAACATGATCAGGTTCCTCCTCTGTTTTCAAAGTTTGAATATGACAAAACTGAGCATTCACAATCCCCTACAAGGAATGAAATAAAATCACATCATCAGCACTCAGTTCCTTTCCAAACAAATAAGTTCTCTGCATGTCACCAAATTTAGATGACCTCAAATCACAACTACAAAATACATTGAAATCAGAAGCAATCACACAGAATTGAAGTCAATATAAGCCACATAAGAATATGTCCCATACATCTGTATATATGTATACATATGAAAGAATTTATATATTAAAAAAATAAAAAAATAAAAAAACACTATTTGATAAACAAGTTTAGACAACTGAGACAAGATCAAATGGCCTCTACTCCTTTTCTTTTTTATTTTTTGCCAAAAGCCCCTGAATGCATCCAGGACATAACAATAGCATCCTAAAGAGTAAAGTGGAGCCAAACATAGGCTTAGAAAATGAGACTTTACAACAGAGCAGTAAAAACCATTTGAACAGTTACCTCATCAAACAGTGACTGCACATATTGTTGGAGCAGTCCCTTAACAATTGACATGGCCATTTAAGATATAGAACAGCAACAGAACCCTAAGCTAACAGAATCTGGAGAAGATTGCAAGCTACAGTGACAAGTGAGCACCTTTGCATGAGCCATTCCCACAATAGTGAGGGAGTTATATGTAAATTGGATTGCAGAAAACAACAATGATAGACCATGAGTTTAGCATGGTACCTTATAGATTTAGCACCTAGACTATGGATATTAACATTTATGCCACTGCTAATGACACAGACAAAACAATTGAGTTGCTTCAAATTATGACTTAATATCAGAATAAATACTTTGATGCATCTAGAATCAGAATATTATCAAAGAAAGAGAAGACTGGAGGTCAAAAAAATTCATGGGTGATAAGGAGGAAGCACAATAGTTGATTAACAAAAATGATTAGAACATAGCTAATTTGTTAAAATTTACCTGCTCTGAGGCAATGAAACAGGTGGTGTCAGTTATCCCATTTCAAAATTCAAAGACACTAGTAGTAGCATTTTTGGTAGGTAATTGCATTTCCAAATGTCCTCCACCCCAGTAAGTAGGCCCCATCTCGCTCCTGCTTGACACGATGACAGGTATTGAGGTCCCATCATTCACAATAGGTGGAAGTTGTATAGTACATAAAGCCAACACCACATGGCAAAGCGCAAGATATGTGTAACCTGTCAGGTGATTCCATTCTACTTTTTCGGAAATCCATGTAGAGCTGGGTGTATTTCCTAAATATAGGAACATTTTGTTGAGAATTAACTCCAACTCAGAATCATCTTGACAAATTAAATATAGTGGCCCCCCTGATAATCCATAAACAAAGCACAATAAAAAATTTACTTATAAAAGATACAACTCTTAAGCAACTACCAAATGAATTCTCATGTGGTTACATTTCAACCACTGACCTTGGTATCAAAGTGGCGCCACCAGCCATTCAGAGGCGGAATTCAAGCTTAGCACATGGGAGCCAAGAGAACCTCCTAAGCACAAGTAGACTGCTATTCCATAACCTATTATAACCAATTAATCAACAAAGAATGTATCACATTTTGCCTTTATTAATCATATCATAAAGCCAACCATCCAAATTGACAAGGGATGCAAAATTTCACTAACATACCAATCAAACCAATCCTTAATAAGAAACCAAAAACAAAAGAAAACAAAATCGAAGCTATGCAAAACACAAAAGTGGCTTCCAATGCTCGAGTCATTTCAGACAACATCATATATGCAACCATTTATTCACACAACCCTTTATAATGAGCTTCAAGTCTTCAACAACCAACATGATAACTAAAGTTGAACAATTAGGGACAGCTCAGTGGTAACCATTCCTTCCTCCCTAGCTTTCGAAAAATTCCAAAACTGAACTTTATCAAATTGGTGTGAATAACTAATCAATAAGATAACTGAAACTTAAGCAAAACAACCAAAACTTTTACCGCACAACTATTAAATGCAAGGAATATTTAACTTGTAGAATTCAACCTTCAAAAGCTATGCACACGCTGATGTCATAAACATGACCCTCGAAAACAAAATTTTAACCATACAATCACTAAAAACAGGCAAAGAAACAATCATCGATCACAATAACCAAAATATTGCCACGTGTGGCCAATTTTACCAATAAAATCATCTACGAGCAGCAACTAATCAGAATTAGCTTTATCAACATGCACAAATTATGACAGATTGAAGACAGTTAGCTACCAGCATGCCAGGGTTTCGGAATCAAAACATGCAAGCATTTTAAATTAGAAAAATACATAGAAAATACATTAAATATTTCGTAACTATATGGGAATGAGAAAGAACAAGACACATTCACAGCACCTGGATGATAACAAGCTTAATCCGCCCGAGGTGGAGAAAAGGAAGAAGAATCGAGCAGCCAGGCACGGCGGCATGAACTCAACTCGATCTCTACAAATAAATTCAAAGAAATTTTGAATTTAAAAAAGGAATTATTAAATTCTGTTCATATTTTTGCAATCGCAACTAATCTACATTGTTATTTAAAGAAAATAAATCCAGAAAGAGAGCGAGGAACCTGTGTGACATATTTGTCTTGTGTGTCTGACCTAACATGGAGCCCGCAGCGAGAAATAGAGAGAGAGGAAGGAGCCGAGGAGACGAGAGGGAAATAAGGGAAAAAAATTCTCTTTCTTTTAACGGCGAGAGAATGGAGATTTTTAAGTTATTACGACACTGTAGGTGAAGTTACAAGAAATAGAGTCGGAATCTTCCACATAACTGATTTCTGAGCAAAACTTGTTACGAGAAATGTAGTTCGAACAATTCATTTTTTAGACTTTCTTTTCTCGTAACTGAAACTCCCATATGTGACCTTACTTAAGGGTACCCCTGACGCCCTTAGGTCCAGTGATGGTGGCCTTCTTGTTAAATGCAAAAAGGTCCGTCCTACGCGGGCGAAGGCTATCGGTTGAGTTAATTTAATTTTCTTCATGGTAATACTTTTTTATCTTGGTATTTCTTTCATGGTGATGACCTATTATATATATATATATATATATATATATATATATATAAAACTCAAATATCCTAATTTTATATTAAAAATATAATTAATTTTATTTAAAATGAAAACGGTAACATTTAATTCTCTTATCAAATACAATTTTAAAAATTCAAAACCTACATTTGGACGAAAATTTTATTTAATGACTGATTCGTTTATCATTAAATTAACAATTTATTATTCATTTTTTTATAATCTATTAACAGAATGTAAGCTAATCTAAAAATATTTTTTACTTTTGATTAAAAAAAATACTAATTTATAATTACTATCTTAAGCTCTCTGATTGTATAATTATGAATTATACGGTACTTTCGCCTAGTTGCCATCGCTTGCAACTAATCTTAGCTTTGACTTTCCATGTTGGTGCTCTAAGAATGGAACATGGTCTTTCTAGGGATGCCGTTGGCAATGGTAATTCTTAGAGCCAGCCAAAAAAAAAAAAAAAAAAACTAAGAAATATGAACTACATGGTGAACATATTACTGTAAAAAAAAAAAAACAAGCATATTATGATAATTATAAAACAAGCATATTAGTTTTGGTATGGTTCTCGAATACGAGACAACAACAATCCAAAAAATAAACACTGCTAAAAACTTATTTAGATTATCCAAATAGTCAGGTTTATGTATTAAATTGTAAAAACTCATCCGTTGATAGAAGCAGCTTCTGGTTTAAATCAATTATCAGCAAGCTCACTCTCAAGGATCTTCCTCTCCAACTGCGCAAGAAAAACAACCAATAACAAAAAGGATTAGTAAATATAAACATTTGACAAGTTCTTATAATTAAAAAAAAAAAAAAAGTGAACAAGTTCTCATAGGGATTAAGAATATATTTAATCATATCAATAATTGGAAATTAATTCATCTTTATGCTGCTTAAACTCAAGACATGAGTTCCAATTAAACGTCAAATTATACCTTTATCATGTTGCTAAATTTCTTCCGCAGCTCAGAAAATTCACTCTTAGCAGATAACTAAAGCATTGTAGCAACTGTAAACAATAATTTAAACAAAAACAGATAAACTTTAACATATTAAGAGGTAAATATAAAAATAAAATCAATATTATACCATTTATAAAAGGAGTAACGTGTGTAGTTCATAACGCTAGACAACCATTGACAAAGGAAAAACAATAAATAAATAAATAAGACAACAACAAGGTTGATTAAATGATAATGATGATGTTGAAAAAATTCAATCAGAGAGGGATATGATTGAGGAAAAAGAGATAAGGATTTTGAAATTATTAGGGAAGGGATGCAAAGAAGGGAATAAAGGGACTAAGTTGTATTTTTCAAATAAGAGAGCGTACTAGCCTCAATTACGTTAAAATCATAAATGAAATTATTATTTACTCTAACGATAATCATATTATTGATTAGTTGTATAAAGTAGTAAACTTTTTCTCAATAAAAAAAAAAAAAAAAAGTGTTAAATCATGATATGCAAACAACATAGGTATGCATAAAATGAAATGAAAATGCAAATAATAATTTTTTGTACATTAATCCTTTTTTTTCTCAATTACACCAATTACGAAGCTAGTATAAATAAAATTTGCTCTCTTGTAGTTAGATTTATTTTCCATCCTAAAATTTTCCATCCTACATGTACATGAGGGAGACGAGAAACAAATTTGTCACCCATTATCATCCTATTCCTAATTAGATCCCCAAACAAACAAATTTCTAATTGGATCTATCATCTATTGAACATTAGCCGATTATCCCTGCCTTAATTTTTTTGTCTAAAATCACAAAACATAAGGACTCATTTATCTTAAAACAAAGACGGTTTGTTCGACAGATGAGGGATTCACTTGGATGTCTTTTATTGTGGACCCAATTGAGAATCAAGTGATAATTGGGGGACAAATATATCCTTCTTATATATTAATATATAAATAACTACGCATGTAATTCTTTTCTTACCCCTCCTTGTTCTTCTCATGGCAAGCTTGGATCAGTCGCATACAAGCATTCTTAACGCGTTCAGCACCAATGCTAAAAAAGTTGTGGAATAGAGACATCCCACAAAAAATTATATAACGAAAAAAATTAAAGATAATATTCATCATATATATAAAAATGGATAAATAAAACAAACACTATCAAGATTTCATCATCTCAACAAAAAATAATATATACCTGCTGTTTTTTGCATACAAATCATGAGCAGCAATATTGATCCTCAGGAAACTTATTTCAGTATAGGTTCTGAGAGATCATACAAAAAGAAAAAAAAAAAAAAGGATAATAAACTGATTATGAATTAAGCAAATTTAAACTCTATACATAAAAAATAAAAGAAAAGAAAATAGACCAAGGATTTTGCACTTTACATTTGACGAGTCATTTCAAGAAGCAAGCTTTCGCTTACGATACAGTAATTAGTAATCGCTTGCACGACATAATCCGGCCTAGTTGCCTTCTTAGCTTGCACTTGATAAAAGTCGTCATTAATGAATTTCTGTAAATCAAAATACGGAGACCTGATAAAATTACTATAGCAATTCTACAAATAACAAATTAATAATTTTTTTTATTGACATTTTAACTAATATATCTCCGTTTTTTATTTTTCCTACGATTATAATGTGAAATTTGTGTCTCTTTTGATTATAATAAATATTTTTTTACTTAAAAAAAAAACTAATTAACATTTTTTTATTGAAAAAAAAAACAAGGAGAGGAAAAAGGGGAGAGACTCCTCTCCCTCGATACATATTAGCTTCATAAACAAAATTCAGAATAGTCTAGTAATTAATTTCTTGAAAATTTATCAAGATAAATTACTTTGCTTATAAACTTCTTCAAAAGTAAAATCACACAAACAAAATAAAACGAAAATTACGAATACAATTAGCTTTACCTCTTGATGCATTGTATGCACCAGGTCGTCAAGCATATCTCTGTGTAGCTGTGTCCACTCCATTTTCAAGAGATAACAGAGAAAGCAATGCACTATTTCTTATGATTAATTAGTTTTCTGTGTATGTTCCTAGTGAATAGAGGGTTTTATACACATCCTGTTGTGTGGTCCTTCGTGCATTTCTCGACTTTTTAACTTTGGCAACACAGCTAGAAAACACCTTCATGTTTTAAATTCTCGATACACTTGCATTTAATGCAGTGATGATGGCAAAAATTACCCTTGCAATTGAAGGAAATAACCATTATGCCATTATTGATTTTGGAATTTAGAGTCTAGCAAGAATAATACCACTGTAGAAAAGAGAAGAAATTTTATATTACTCATGAAATAATTACTAATACTTGCTCTATAAAAGAGATACACATATTAAAAAAAAAAAAAAAGGAGAGAAATGTGAGAGAAAAAATTTTTAAAAAAAAGATTGAACCAAAATGAAAATATTTTTATCACTTTTGGTGAAATCAGATGGTATTTTTTTTTCCTTTATCTCTTTCTTTAAAGGTAAGTCTTTAAAATTTATCAAAAAAAAGAGAGGATTCTTATATATATGGATAATATTTAAAGCAATGAGAGTCTAGAATCTACTGTAAAATACGATAGAATTTCCCAATACCATTGACATCTGGCTTTCTATTTTTTCCTCCGTTTTTTTTTTCTTTTTTTTTTTTGAGATGAAAACGCAAGAAAGTAAAATATGATACATTTATCGAGAAAAAAAAGTTACATCTAAATGACTATTAAAAAAAAATTATAGGTAGAAATATATAATTTTTCTTTTTATGTTGAAGGATAATAACCTTTAAAACTCTCTTGTTACATGTAAATTAATTAGTTATTTACTATATCGATTGTTTAACAATGATACGTTTATCGATTATTAATCCCAATAAACTATAAAGGCTATTTTTTTTATTTTTAAAAAATTAATTTATGTTAAAAAAGAAATCGATTTAACACTTATTTATATAAACAAGTTTGTATCAATTACTCTCTCGTTACATGCAAATTAATTAGTTATTTACTAGATCGATTGTTTAACAATGATACGTTTATCGATTATTGATCCCGATAAATTATAAATGAAGACTATTTTTTTATTTTTAAAAAATCAATTTATGTTAAAAAAGAAATCGATTTAACACTTATTTATACAAACAAGTTTGTATCAATTACTTGTTAAAAGTCAAATGAGTTAGAAATATGAAAAGTCGTTGGTGCTTGTAGCTTGTGGGAATCGAAACAAAGTTCGACTAATTGCTTGATACTCGAACCCTTCATATCTAGGTCGACTCCGATGATTTGATATGGAAAATCATTAAACGAAATATTATAAGTACTCAATGATCTAAATTAAAACTTTTATCATACTACAAAAACTTCTTGTATCATTAAATCAAATACCATGAAATTGAAAGCCTATATTTAATTTTAATACTTTTTTTATTAAACAAGAAAAAAATTATTGCTCCTTGACAAGGAAATAGGGGAGTTGAAAGATAGACTATCAAACATATCCACGTTACTGTATTAAATAATAATAATAATAATAATAAAGAGTAGAAAACTTTTGCGCAACAGTATTTCAAGTAATAAGGAACACTTCCTTTGTGAATCTTGCATGTAGCTTTTCAAAAATGACAAGGTGATATGGCACAAATCAACCGTAGCTGTCAAATTCTTTTGTTAAAAATTAACTTATCTCTAATTTCCTATTGTTGGGTGCCTTTTACCACCCAGGTAAAAAGTGTGGCTTATCTTACAAACTTGGTTAATTAGTCTCGGATTTGTTTCAAGGACCACATTAACACGTTCTCATTAATCATGTGAGGTTATAGATTTGGACCTGATTTAGTTTACTAAAATTGGGTTATAAGAAATTAATTCGCATGATCTACAGTTCATGTATAACGAAATGCCAGAATCAAATTCTATCACCTTTTTTCTAGAAGAGATGGTGGATAAGAATGCATTTACTAGACTGCTATGTCCACACTGGATTTTGGAGAATAGCCATGTTTTGCATGTACTGATTTTTTTTTCCCAAGAATTAAATAGATTTTTTTTTAAACATTTTTGAAGAAAAGTAAATAACATTTTTTTAATCAATTAGATATTGTTTGGCAACAAGAAATGAGATAGCAGGAATAAAAACAAAAATATTATTCCTACTTAGCAAGGGTTCAGTTAAAGAAATGAAGTAGGAATTGGATTGAAAAATGAATGAGAAAATAAAAATTAAAAATAATTTTATTTATATGGAAGAACGTGGGAATCAAAACTAAGAAATGAGTGAGATTTTTTTTCTTTCAAAATTATGATATGTTATTTTTATTTCTTGTGTATCAATTAATTTTACTACCAGTATCACTTCCCCACCACCACGATAACCTGCTTATAGATCCATACAGGCCTACATGGATAGGCTCTCAAGACGTTTTCTCAGACAGACACGTCGAGGTGAATTTGACAAGAGACTGAAACCTACATTTTTTGTTTGCTCTCAAGTCTCATAATCTTCCACTCCATCTATAAACCAGTGAGGCCCAGAAAAAGCAACAAGCAGAACAAGCATTTTGTTAAATGGAAGCAACAAAACATTTATGCACCATACTTTATTAGAACAGAGACATAAAGTGAGGCATAAATTATTGTGGACAACCAAACTTGAAAAAAATCTGCATGTGCCAAGAAAGTTGGGAAAAGTTTGGTAATTTGAATTTCCCCTGCTTTCTCAAAAACAACTGAATGATACAGCCAAAATCCTGTTACTGTTGGTGGTGTATATTAGGTTTAAATGTTGAAGCAAAATGCTGGCGAGAAATGATGCACTTTTTGCCACATGCACTTTGATACCTAAAATACAACAAGCCAGCAATCTTATCCCACATTACAGGAAATTTTTATTCCTCAATTAAAAGTGCTGAGTGCAGCCACTCAAAACTGAGACTCGTGCTTTTGAGCTTTGATTTGATTATGATGCACTCCTTTGCTGCCTTCTATCCTTCTTTAGCAGGAAATTTTATGCAATTGTGTTGCAATACAGATCTAAATCTTTTTTCCATGTTGAATTTCTACCAAAGCCAAAAAGCAAAACCTACTAAAGACTCAAATCATGTTTCCAACCCGTGGTTGCGAACAAATTAGATATTTATTACGAGTGCTGCAAGCAGCAAGAAGTCTAAAACATACAAGGTATAAGAAAACAAGAGTTTTTGAAATCTTAATAAAAAAAAAGTAATCAATCAATTAAAATGCAAGTTTTATCATGGATCTTTCAGATACTTGAGCAAGTGAGATATTTTGAAAGGAAGTTCGAATGGGGTAATGATGTACAATTATGCATTACTCGTGAGCTTTTTAGTGATTAATAGAACAAAATTAAACCAGCTAATGGCATGTACCACCCTCGAAAATTATAGGATCTACAATATAGGCAACCAACCAAGTTTGCACTTGCTGAAAGATGAATTTCAGATCAGTAAATAAATGTTGAGGCTTGTACTAAATTCCTATGCTAGCAAACAAACAAGTTCAATGTCAACTAAAGGTAGCATATTATTTTAATAGTTATAGTATTAGATTATTATTTTTATGTAATATTATGATCTACATTCATTTATTACTGTCCCTTTTGGGTTCAATCATTGAAGATCTTTCTAGTAAAACAATTTGCTAAAAACTTCTAGCCCTGAAGCACAGAGTCTGCCAGAGTAACTTAAATTCGTGTTAAAATACTGAAAAGACCATTGGTTTTGCATTAGGCATCTTTTCTTTTCCTTATGAATAATTGGAAACATGCTAAAATGTGTTGAATTCTATTGTACCCATATATTCCTTCAGGCTGTTAGTTGCATTTTCCATCAGTGATCATGCGTCCAATAAATTAATACTATTCACATAGCAATACTATCTTGTCATGCAAAAACAGGACATTCTTTCTAGAAAAAATCCAGAGAAGGTCAAGGAAACATACCACGAAATTATAAACACCAATATGCAGATATGTTACTTTGCAAGTAAACAAGAACTAAAGAGTACAGAAGACAAGAATTAAGATTGAATTACCTGAACAACGACTTGCAAATTGGTCCGAATATGAGCAAATTCATTCTTTATCCAGTTGAGGGAAAGAGACAAACTGAAAAAGCGATATATGCAAAAGCATAAGAGGAAAGGCAGTTATTAATCTAAATATGAATGTTTGAATATAGTAAGGATAAGAAAATGATAACCAACGAGAAAATAAAGACATGTTTTGTAAAACAAGCACATATAACACAAGTCTAAGTAGAAAGCAAGTTATCTTCAACCATGGCCGCATATTATGTTACAGGCAGGATGCATCCTTCCTACATGTCAATAATTGTGTATTAAGGAGAATATCAAAAATAATAGAAGAAAGCAATGAATTTTATTTTTTTCCTTTTTGGATATGCCAGACAATATACTAAGTGCAGCATGGAAAGCCACCTTACTTTCTTTTATCCATCTGACGACAAGGTTGAATGAGATCAGCACATGCAAGCCTCATATGCTCAGCTCCCATGCTGTAAAACCAAGTACATAAGATCCACCTTTTGAATTCTTTTTATGATAGATGAAACATTTACTTCAAGCTTGATTCGTGAGACAGCAAAGACATCGTAGGAAAATTGGTAAAACCATCAGCACAACTTATTTTCCTTGAGAGGAAAAATGAGAAATATTTTTTTACCATCTACTATCTATCGTGCTGAACATCAGCAACCAATAGCCCTCCTTATTTGTTAACCAATGATTATCTCGCATTGCTAGATTCCAACATGTGAGTTCATGGATGTTAATACAGACAAATCAAGAGAATCTGCATCAGACAGATAACTCCTGTGTATTTATCCAAACAACTTCCAGCTTGTAAATCTTTTGGATATTGAGGCTTTTAACCAAAAGGCAACATGAGTCATGATAAATGTACGTGAAAGAGGAACTCTAGAGCATGATAGCATTACAAAAAGGGAAATTTACTAGATACTTACTACTTATGAACTTAAATGAATCATCATCATTATTACTTAATTTTTTTGTACATGAACCAACATATAAGACAGATAACTCCAGTTCATTCCAACATGACACCATTTCCAACAGACAAGATAAATTTACGGTTCCATGCAAAACAGCTTATCACAGAGACCTAAAAGTGTTAGTCTATTGTTTCAGCTACCATTATTCTTACAGATGGTATTTAAACCATTTAGATCATTATTTCCTTTTAAATGGATAAGAATAGGAATCAAATAGGCTCTTTTTTTTATCGAAGTATTAATTAATAATACAACTATATATACATATTTGGATATATCACAGCATATATAGGAAGTGTCAAAAAAAAAAAAAGATGCTGAATAGGATAGTCGACGACTATGATTTGCATATATAATAGTCATTGTTACGTGCAGGCCATATACATTCATGAAGACAAATAAAGAAACATAAAGATAAGAACACCTGATGCAGGCTCAATAAAAGTCAAAGACTGATAGAAAACAAGTACAAATAAATCATCACGTACAGATGCTATTTCTGAATCCCAGTTATTATTATGTTCTTCACTTATAGGAATGGAGAAGAAGGTAGTGTTAAGAAAGGATTCAATGAAACGAAAAGCATTTTAGCCTTGCCATTGAAGAAAGAAAACATACAGCATGCTAAGAGCGCTTGAAGGTCCAGTGACCACTTGAGAAGCAAAAATATACAATTGCTTGATGCATCATGCTAAACCAGTTGTCCACCATAGGCAAAGGGAGGAACCACGAAGTAGACAAAGACAATCACATAAAATTATGTTTCTTTGTGCACCACAAAAAGTATCAACCATCAGCACCCACTACCAGATAGAAATCAGAGATTAAAAGTAGAACGTGCATGATTGAAATGAGGAGAACATAGAGACGTATTTCCTAATCACATTCACAAATGCACGCATGTTGTGTGCTTTGCCTCCCCGAGGAAAGTCCTAGTACCCAGGTCTTGATCGAAGGCAAGACACTTTGAGTTCAGCCTTTTAAACAATCTTTCAAACAGCTTTTTTTCTTAATATTTCCTTCTTTCAGTAGATCTAAACTCCTTTTCACTAACAGCATCCTATCTATGAGTGCGACACATGTAACCGACCAATGTCAAACATACAGTCCATTCCAGAAATTGTTTCCAATTTTCTCCATTTATCAGACATGATTATTACTCTTATTATCCAATAACTACCCTTTCACAGAATATAAAGTCTTAATCTTACAGTGAGTTTCTCTCCTCCACTTGCTGGGCTAGGGCAGCCACCTTAGAAAAATCAACATCAAGATGATCACTGCAGGTATATAAATATGAGTTAAATAACCCAAATTATTCTAGGAAGTCATCTACCATAAATGACACTTTGTAAGTTGAGTTTTTGGTATAGTATTACATGTAGCTTGTAAGTTCAAATAAGATTGCTTCCACATCAATGCAGTATGTATTGATCAACTGCACAACATGATCAGGTTCCTCCTCTGTTTTCAAACTTTGAATATGACAAAGCTGAGCATTCACAATCCCCTACAAGGAATGAAATAAAATAACATCATCAGCACTTAATTCCTTTCCAAACAAATAAGTTCTCTGCAGGTCAACAAATTTTGATGACCTCAAATCACAACTACAAAAGACATTGAAATCAGAAGCAATCACACAGAATTGAAGTCAATATAAACCACATAAGAATATGTCCCATATATCTGTATGTATGTACACATATGAAAGAATTTATATAAAAAAAACACTATTTTAGGAACAAGTTTAGACAACTGAGACAAGATCAAATGGCCTTTACTCCTTTTCTTTCTTTCTTTCTTTCTTTTTTTTTTTTCCAAAAGCCCCTGAATGCATTCAAGACATAACAATAGCATCCTAAAGAGTAAAGTGGAGACAGACATAGGCTTAGAAAATGAGACTCTACAGGAGTGCAGTATAAACCATTTGATACTGTTACCTCATCAAACAGTGACTGCACGTATTGTTGGAGCAGTCCCTTAACAATTGACATAGCCATTTAAGATATAGAACAGCAACAGAACCCTAAGCTGATGGAATCTGGAGAAGATTGCAAGCTACAGTGACAAGTGAGCACCTTTGCATAAGCCATTCCCACAATAGTGAGGGAGTTATATGTGAATTGGATTGCAGATAAAAACAATGTCAGGCCATGAGTTTAGCATGGTACCTTATAGATTTAGCACCTAGACTGTGGATATTAACATTTATGCCACTGCCAATGACAGACCAAAACAATTGAGTTGCTTCGAATTATGACTTAATATCAGAATAATTACTTTGATGCATCTAGAATCAGAATATTATCAAAGAAAGAGAAGACTGGAGGTCAAAAAAAATCATGGGTGATAAGGAGGAAGCACAATAGTTGATGAATAAAAACGATTAGAACATAGCCAATTTGTTAAAATTTACCTGCTCTGAGGCAATGAAATAGGTGGTGTAAGTTATCCCATTTCAAAATTCAAAGACACTAGTAGCATTTTTGGTAGGTAATTGCATTTCCAAATGTCCTCCACCACAGTGAGTAGGCCCCATCTCGCTCCTGCTTAACACGATGACAGGTATTGAGGTCCCATCATTCACATTAGATGAAAGTTGTATGGTACATAAAGCCAACGCCAAATGGCAAAGCGCAAAATATGTGTAACCTGTCAGGTGATTCCATTCTACTTTTTCAGAAATCCATGTAGACCTGGGTGTATTTCCTAAATATAGAAAAATTTTGTTGAGAATTAACTCCAACTCAGAATCATCTTGACAAATTAAATATAGTGGTCCCTCTGATAATCCATAAACAAAGCACAATCAAAAATTTACTTATAAAAGATACAACTTATAAGCAACTACGAAATGAAATTCCCATGTGGTTACATTTCAACCACTGACCTTGGTATCTAAGTGGTGCCACCAGCCATTCAGAGGTGGAATTCAAGTTTAGCACACGGGAGCCAAGAAAATGTCCTAAGCATGAGGATGCTGCTATTCCATAACTTATTATAACCAATTAATCAACAAAGAATGTATCACAGTTTGCCTTTATTAATCATATCATGATTAAGCCAACCATCCAAATTGACAAGGGACGCGAAATTTCACTAACATACCAATCAGACCAATCCTTCATAAGAAACCAAAAACAAAAGAAAACAAAATCGAAGCTATGCAATACACAAAAGTGGCTTCCAATGCTCGAGTCATTTCAGACAACATGTATGCAACCATTTATTCACACAACCCTTTGTAATGAACTTCAAGTCTTCAACGACCAACATTATAACTAAAGTTGAACAATTAGGGACAGCTCAGTAGTAACCATTTCTTCCTCCCTAGCTTTCTGAAAAATCCAAAACCAAACTTTATCAAATTGGTGCGAATAACTAATCAATAAGATAACTGAAACTTAAGAAAAACAACCAAAACTTTTACCACACAGCTATTAAATTCAAGTAATGGTTAACTTGTAGAATTCAACCGTCAAAAGCTATGCATACGCGATATCATAAACATGTCCCTCGAAACAAAATTTTAAACATACAATCATTAAAAACAGGCAAAGAAACTATCATCGATCACATTAACCAAAATATTGCCACGTGTGGCCAATTTTACCAACAAAATCATCTACGAGCAGCAACTAATCAGAATTAGCTTCATCAACATGCACAAATTATAACAGATTGAAGACCGTTAGCTACCAGCATGCCAGAGCTTCGGAATCAAAAGACGCAAGCATTTTAAATTAGAAAAATACATAGAAAATACATTTGATATTTCGAACTATTTGTGAATGAGAAAGAACAAGGCACATTCACAGTACCTGGATGATAACAAGTTTAATCCGCCCGCGGTGGAGAAAGGGAAGAATAATCGAGCAGCCAGGCACGGCGGCATGAACTCAACTCGATCACTACAAATAAATTCAAAGAAAATTTGAATTTAATAAAGGAATTGTTAATTTCTGTTCATATGTTTGCAATCATAACTAATCTACCTTGTTATTTAAAGAAAATAAATCCAGAAAGACAGCGAGGAACCTGTGTGACATATTTGTCACGTGAGTCTGACCAGCGAAAAATAGAGAGAGAGGAAAGAGCCGAGGAGACGAGAGGTAAATAAGGGAAAAAAAATTCTCTCCTTCATTTAACGGCGAGAGAGAGGAGATTTTAAAGTTATTACCACGCTCTAGGTGAGGTTGCGAGCAATAGAGTCGGAATATTCTACATAACTGATTTCTGTGCAAAACTTATTACGAGAAATTTAGTTCGAGCAATTCATTTTTTAGACCTAATACTTTCTTTTCTCGTAACTGAAACTCCCCTATGTGACCTTACTTAAGGGTGCCCCTGAGGCCCTTAGGCCCTTTGGTTCAGTGACAGTGGCTTTCTTGTTAAATGCAACAAGGTCTGTCCTACGCGAGAGTAGGTTATCGGTTGATCTCTTGACGTTGTAATGTTGGTTGATTCAAAATATTTCTTTCCTGGTAATAACGTATTTTTATATATTTTTTAATTTTTTTCAGATATTCACATTCTATGTTAAAAATGGGATTAATTAAGTTCAGAACAAGAACGATAAAATTTAACTACTTTAAAATTTGAATTATGTACGTTAATAGAAAATTTATCTTATTCGAACTCTATATAAAAAATTTATCCGAAAACCAACTCGTTTATTATTGAACTAATAAGTTGTTAATTGTATTTTTTATGTTCTTTTTACATAATGTAGACACTAATCTAGAAATGTCTTTTACTTTTGAATTAAAAAAGAAACTGATTTATAATTACTAACTTCAGCTTTCTGATTGTATAATTATGAATTATAAGGTACTCTCATTTAGTTGCCATTGCTTGCAACTAATCTTAGCTTTGGCTTTCCATGGTGATGCTATAGGAATGGAACCTTGTCTTTCTAAGGATGCCATTGGCAATAGTAATTTCTTAGAGCCAGCTGAAAAACTAAGAAATTTATAAAAATAATTAAAAGAGAGGGAGAAAATAAACAGTAATTACTATTCATTGTCTTGCAAATCATTATTCATTATGTGATAATTTTGATAATTCTAGATAGTAGTATTTTCATAATTTTTTGATTGTTTTTGGGCATTCATATGCAAATTTTATATTGTGTTCTATTTTGATTTTTCAAGTTTCTCATAAATGTTTATGGGATCTTGTGTTTTTACCTCATGTTTTTTGAAAAAAACTTTAGCCCCTTATGTTTTTACTTTATTCTATCTTGATCCCTCATTTTTTTCAAAAGATATTTTTAGTCCATCGTGTTTTCAAAAAATATTTTTAGCCTATTATTTTTTAGATTTAAAATCAACATATATATATATATATGGTTTTAGTAATTTTGGACGGTGGTATTTTCGTGATTTATTTTATTGTTTTTTAGCATTAATATGCAAAATTTACATTGTATTCTATTTTGATCTTGATGTTTCTTAAAGATATTTTTTGTCCCTTATGTTTTTAAAGATATTTTGACCTCTGATATTTTTAATCTATTCTATTTTGATCCCTTGTATTTTCAAAATATATTTTTAATCACATGTGTTTTTAGATTTTAAAATTAACATGTATATCATACTTTATTATTATTATTATTTAGAATCAATATCTTCAATTTGCCATTTCTTATAAAAATCCTCATCAAATTAATTTTTTTATAATTTTTTTGTTAATAAATATGATTTATTTTTTCTCTACATATGAAATTTGAAGAAGTTTTTGTTTTAAAATATATATAAATATATAAACAATAGAATTTACATGTTTTGTTTTCTAATTCTTGATATAATGAAATTTTATCATAATGAGTTTTTTAATTGTTTGTATTGCATTGTGTTAACTTCAAAAATACTCCTTACTACTTAAGGTTTTTTAAAAATATTTTTAAATTTATACTAGATGTTATGACCCAATGAGTATGTTCATGATGTATAAAAAAATATTGAGCTCGTTGGTTTTATTAAAAATTAATGATGCATTTATACATATGATATCAATCATTTGTTGTTATTTTTTTAATATTTTGAAACTATTTGTTTTAAATAAAATTATTAAAATGATATTTTAAAAGAATCACTTAATAATTCAAATACATCTTCTTGTACTAATAATATTGATTTTTTTTAAATAAATATATATAAATTAAATTTACATATTTTCAAAAAGTTAAAAAGATTTTTTAGTTAATTTTTATGCAAGTTTTTGTATTGATTATTGCTTTATTTATTTGACGGAATCCTATAAAAAAATATTAAAATGTTTTTTTTTAATTTTATATTAAATCTTGTATTTGTATTATTACGAGTTTCTATTCAAGAATGAAAGCATAACAGATTGTTTTTTTAACAACAACAACAACATATATATATATATATATATAAGAACAAATGAATTAAAAAAATTAATTAAATATTATGAAATTAGATTTTTTTTTATTTTTAATTTAATATATTTTAGTTAATCAACATATTATCAAATTGAAATAAAACATGATTAGTTCAAGTCGTTGCGTAGCGCGAGAAGTCAATTAGTATAAACTATATCTTGAACGTATTACTTAAAAAACTAGATTCAAACATTAACTCAAATAAACTAAAAACATTTTTTTTAAGTAAAACATTCCAAGTAAATTTCAAACAATATAAGAAGTAAGAAAGGGAGAGTTATCTTTCATACTCATATAATTATTTAATTAAAATCACATAAACCATAATAAAATATTCCAAATTATAATTCATGCATTATGATAATTATAAAGCAAGAATATGAGTTATGATATGGTTCTCGAACCCGAAATGACAACAATCTGAAAAATAAACACTGCTGAAACTTATTTAGAGTATCCAAATGTTTGGATTTATTTGATAAATTGTAAAAGCTCATAATTGACAATAGCAGCTTTTGGTTTAAATCACATATCAGCAAGCTCATTCTCAAGGATCTTCCTCTCCAGCTGCACATGAAAAACAACCAAAAACAAAAAGGATTAGCAATTGTAATTGTTTAACAAGTTCTTATAATAAAAAAAAATATCGTTAAAATAAAAAGAACAAGTTCTCACAAGGATTGAGAATATATAAAATATACTTAATCCTATCAATAATTTGAAATTAATTCATCTTTATACTGCTTAAACGTAAGACTCGAATTCCAATTAAACATCAAACGATCGTACCTTTACCATGGTGCTAAATTTCTTCCGCAGCTCTGAAAATTCATTTTTAGTGACAACTAAAGCACTGTAGCAACTGCAAACAATAATTTAAACATAAATAGATAAACTTCAACATATATTAAGAGGTGGATACAAAAACAAAATCAATATTATACTATTTATAGAAGGAGTAACGTGTGTGATTCATAGTGCTAGATAACCGCTGACAGTGGAAATTTTTAATTAGATAGGGATACGATTGAGGAAAAGAGATGAGGATTTTAAAAATTATTAGGGAAGTGATGCGAAGATGGGAATAAAGGGACTAAGTTGTATTTTTCAAATAAAAGAGAGTACTAGCTTCAGATACGTTAAAATCATAAACTAAATTATTATTTACTCGAATGATAATCATATAATTGATTTGTTGCATAAAGCAGTAAACTTTTTCTCCATAAAAAAAGTGTTAAATCATGATATGCAAACAGCATAGGTATGCATAAAATGAAATGAAAATGCAAATAATAATATTTTGTACAGTAATCTTTTTTTCCCCCTCAATTAGCACCAACTACGAATTTATGTGCAAGTATAAATAAAAACTATCCAATTCTAGATAAAGTGAAAAATAATATTTATTGCACACAAGTACATGAGGGAGACAAGAAACAAATTATTCACCCGTTATCACCCAATTCTTAATTAAATCCCCCAACAAATTTTTTTCTAATTGGATCCCTTATCTATTGGACATTACCCGATTATCCCTACCTTAAAATTCTTGTCTTAAAATCACAAAACACAAGGACTCGTTTATCTCGAAACAAAGACGGTTTGTTTTACAGATGAGGGATTCAATTGGATATGTCTTTTATTGTGGACCCAATTAAGAATCAAGTGATAATTGGGGGACAGATATATCCTTTTTTATATATCAATATATAAATAACTATGCAAGTAAGTCTTTCCTTACCCCTTCCTGTTCTTCTCATGACAAGCTCCGATGAGTCGCATACAAGCATTCTTAACGCGTTCAGCACCAATGCTGAAAAAGTTGTGGAATAGAGACATCCCGCAAAAAATTATATTAATGAAAAAATTAAAGATAATATTCATCGTACATTAAAAAAATAAAGATAAATAAAATAAATAATAAATAAAACAAACACTATCAGGATTTCATTATCTGAATAAAAAATAATATATACCTCCTGTTTTTCGCGTACATATCATGAGCAGCAATATTGATCCTTAGGAAACTTATTTCAGTATGGATTCTGAGAGATCATAAAAATAAAATAAAAAAAACTTATTATGAATTAAGCAGATCTAAACTCTATACATAAAAAAATAATAATAATAATAAAACAAGGATTTTGCACTTTACATTTGACGCGTCATTTCATTAAGCAAGCTTTGGCTTACGATACAGTAATTAGTAATCGCTTGCACGACATAATCCGGTCTAGTTGCCTTCTTAGCTTGCACTTGATAAAAGTCGTCATTGATGAATTTCTGCAAATCAAAATTAATATGGAGACATGATAAAAATTACTCTAGCAATTCTACAAAACCAAATTAATATTTTTTTTAGTGAAATTCTAACTAATACATCTCCAATTTTTATTTTTCCTACAATGATAAAGTGAAATCAGTGATATATTTGTGTCTCTTTTGATATGAATATAATTATTTTTTTATTCTTCAAAAAAAAAAAACTAATAAACATTTTTTTCATTAAAAAAAAAAAGAGCAAAAAATGGAGACTCTCCTCTCCCTCGATACATATTAGCTTCACAAACAAATTCAGAATAGTCTGGTAATTAATTTCTTGAAATATTATCAAAATAAATTACTTTACTTATAACTTTTTCAAAAGTAAAATCACACAAGCAAAATAAAACGAAAATTACATATACAATTAGCTTTACCTCGTGATGCATTGTATGCACTAGGTCGTCAAGCATATCTCTGTGTAGCTGTGTCCACTCCATTCTCAAGAGACAACAGAGAAAGTAATGCACTGTTTTTTATGTTTAATAAGTTTTCTTTGCATGTTCCTAGTGAATAGAGGGTTTTATATGCATCATGTTGTGTGGTCCTTGGTGTATTTCTCAACTCGTGTTTTAAATTCTTGATACGCTTGCATTTTTTTAGAGTGATGATGGCAAAAATTACCCTTGCAATTGAAAGAAATAACCATTATGCCATTACTGATTTTGGAATTTAGATTCTAGCAATAATACAAATGTAGAAAAGAGAGGATTCTCCTCTTGATAATATTTAAAGCAATGGGAGTCTAAAATCTATTGCAAAATATAAGAGAATTCTCTGATTTACCATTGACATCTAGTTTTCTATTCTTTTTCGTGAGATGAAAAGGTAAGAAAGTAAAAAATGACATATTTATTGAGAGAAAAAAAGTAAAATGTTACATACAAAGGACTATCAAAAAACATTTAGAGATAGAAATGTATAATTTTTCTTTTTATGTCGAAGGATAATAACTTTTAAAACTCTCTTGTTCAATATAGATTGATTAAGTATTTATTATATCGATCGTCTAACGATTGCATGTTTATTATCGATAAACTATAAATGAAGATTGTGTTTATTAAAAAAACGATTTCGTTAAAAAAGAAATCGATTTAACACTTATTTATACAAACAAGTTTATATTAATTACTTGATAAAAGTAAAACGAATTAGTAATATGGAAAGTCATCGGTGTTTGTAGGAACCGAAACTCGTTCAACTAATTGCTTGATTCTCAAATTCTTCGTAACTAGTTCAACTCCAATGATTTGATAAGGAAAATTATTAAACGAAATATTATAAGGACTCAATTATCCAAATTAAAACTATAAGAACATTTCTATCATACTACAAAAACTTCTAGTAGCATTAAATCAAATACCTTGAAATTGATAGCCTATATTTGATCTTATTACTTTGTTATTAAAAAAGAAAAAAAATCCGTAACAAGAAAATGGGGGAGTTGAAAGATAAACTATCAAACATATCCACATTACTATATCAAACGAACAACAACAACAATAATAATGAAAGAGTATTATCGCAATGCTATTTCAGGTAATAAGGAACATTTCCTTGGTGAATCTTGCATGTAGCTTTTTTAAAAATGACAAGGTGATGCGGCAAAAATCAACCGTGGCTGTCAAATTATTTTGTTAAAAATTAACTTATTTCTAATTTCCTGCTGGTATCGGTGCTTTTTACCTACGCAGGTAAAAGGTGTAGCTTATCTTACAAACGTGGTTAATTAGTCCTCGGATTTGTTTCAAGGACCACATTAACACGGTATCATTAATCATGAGAGGTTATAGATTTGGACATGATTTAGTTTACTAAAATTGGGTAATAAGAAATCAATGTGCATGATCTACGGTTCATGTATGACGAAATGCCAAATCAAATTCTATCACCCTTTTCTAGAAGAGATGTTGGGTAGATAAGAATGCATTTATTGGACTGCTATTTCCACACTGGATTTGGAGAATAGCCATGTTTTGCATATACTGATTTTTTTTTTCCAAGCATTAAATAGATTTTTTTTCCTTATCATGTATTATTGGTCAATAGTTATCTTTTGGGACTTGAATATTAGAAAAGAGTGCAAGAAAGTACATTTTTCATGATTTATTTAAGAGCCGATTAGAGAGTGATTTAATCTCCACGTGAACACTTACCATTAACTTTAAAAAAAAAATAAAATTAAAATTGGGTTGTACCAATGGTTGAGAAATTGCACCCATCAAATGAATAAAAACCAAGATGGCCACATTAATAATATTACCATAGAAAAGAAGATATTGCTTTCATTTAGTCATAATGGTTATATCTACGAGCCAGATTTTGTTTATCCCACTACATAAAAGATAAACACAAAAATTATCTTGAAGATAAGTAAATAATAGTTGTTTGGTAACAAAGAACAAGATGATAGGAATAGAAATGAAAATATTATTTTTATTTTATAAGTGTTTGGTTATAGAAATAAAGCGAGAACTCGGATTTAAATTTGAAAGTAAAAATAAAAATTAAACATAATTTCATTCATATAGAAAAACATGAGAATCAAAAAGAAAAATAAGAATAAGAATGAGAATGAGATTTTTTTCCTTTAAAATAATGATATATTTTATATTTTGTATATCAATTAATTTTACTACCATTATTATTTTTATTATCACCACCACCACTACTATCGCTATTACCATCACTATTGGCAATGGTGTTAAAAATAATTCGAAAAAACATTTATTATTATCATTATTCTATCACCACTTCTCTTCCATTTCCATTACCAACATCATTTTTTGTCCTCTCGCCTCTTCTTATAGTAGTAAAATCAAATTTTTTTTAAAATATACTATTACTCTTACTATATTATTATTATTATTGCCACTAACTCATCTTCCTTCTCTTTCTTCACCATTACAATCACCTTTATTATTTTTATAACTATTATAGTTGAGGTTATAAGACATTTAGGAGATTTTAAAAAAAATTGTTGGTTAAGGAAAAAAGAATTAAAAAAATTTAGAGTTGCCACCTAGTATTAAAGTTAACCATGAAACCTAAAAAAAGTATTGGATTAAGAGATTCTTGATAAGAAATTGATTATATTTTTGGAAAGATAACAATCATCCAAAAGTATCATCTTCAAGAAAGGTATCAAGTTTAGCCTAATCTTAAAAATATCTCCTAAAAATTGTGTTTGCCAAATTATTTTCTAAGTCTATTTACAAGCTCAATTATCATCTAGATAAAATTATTACTTTTATTTTTTATTGTGACATCATCGTATTAAATTAATGTTGAGCTCCAAAATTAGGAGTAGCGTCAATTTAGTATCGAATTTAATTAAAGTCCCGACACGCACGATTGCATGTCGAGGAATAACCTAATAACTATAGATATTTTATTTAGACGTCGACGAGAAAATATTTTTAAAATTGATTTTTTTTTGTGGAACCATATTAAATCAACGTCGAGCATCAAAATTAAGAATATTGACAATTTAACATTAAATCTAATTAAGTTCTAACACGATTGACATGTCTAGATATAACTTAGTAATGTTTACGCAAAATGTCAAATAAAAATGATCTTACCTCATTCTTTGCTCTTTTAGTCATTTATTTCAAATAAAATGTTGAGACTACCATTTATCCCTATCGAATTGAAGCGTCGTTGGTTTGACCTACTTGCTTAGTTAATCTAATAGGTTTTCTTATATTCTTTATTATTGCACAAAATATATCGAGATTATCGTTCATTTATAATAAACATGAGACTTGTTGGTTAAACATCATGATTGAATAAAAATCCACATGTTAAAAATAAAATTTACAAGTTCAATAATTTTACACTTCAACACACATAAAATTAAATAATTAAATAATATAATAATTAAAAAATAGTAAAAAAAAAATAGTCATTACAAAATTAACACACTCGCTTTTGGAATGTTGCTGGAAGATAACCAAAATGGCCAATGCTTTCATAAATAATAGAATTACCCCCGGTGTCTAAGAAGATAGAATTGCCTCTTAATATCATTGAATCTTCTAGTCACTATTAGTTACTCCTCCGACCACCAATAGGCACGTGGATGGTCGGGTTGGCTTCATCTAGACTTGTTCTTCCTATTAGCGGAGGCTATGTTGGCCACCGTCGTCTGTAGAGGTAGACCGATAGTGACGAAATTTGGGCATTCTTCTCCATTTCTTATGATAAATTTTGGCTTAATTTAATGACTTTTGAGGCTCAAAATCAACACAGAGCAATCCATGGGACTCGATAGAGCTTCATTTTTGTCATTAGACTATCCGATTTGGTCGAAAAATGGAGATAAAGTTAGGTCATAATTACAGAGTTACAAAACTTCCTCTTTGGCAGATTTTCGACCTCCTTTTTTGCTATTCCGAGTAGAGAACTATTGCTAGAGGCATGAGGATGACTTCTCTGGCGGTTTTGACATTCGATTTGGTTGGAAAATGGTGGATTCAAAGGAATCTTGCCGCTGCGAGTTGGGTTCGAGAAAACGGATTGGGATTTTGGTTTTTTCTACGATTCGATCGATTCTAGCAAGGTTTCATCGAGATTTTAGGGGGAATCGTATTTTAACGAGGCGAGGGATGTTTCTTTGATGGTGGTGGTAGTTGATTTGGTTAGAAATTGACAATTTTTTCGAGTTCTAACTAATTCGAGTTGGGTTATCGATGTTTTTGTTCAATTTTTGACATACTCTACTATTTTCTTTGTTCTAACCAGTTGAAAAAGGTTGATCTAAGATTAGGCTTCAAGTATATGGCGGTTATTAATACGGGTGATCATTCGGTTAAACGGTTTGGTTTTGTACGATTCAGTTCGATTTTCGGTTAATCGAATTAAGAAAAATAAAAACCAAAACTAAATCGAAATAAATTTGGTTTTTAACCGAATTATTTCGGTTTGGTTTCGAAATATTCGGTTTTAACCGAAATATTTTGTTGTAAAAAAAAAAATCATTACGGAGAGATATTTTATACTAGCACTTAGTCCATTAGCCAATAAAGTAATATCTTGTTATCAATTAATTCTTTTTATAGAAAATCACAAAGCCCTTGAAGATTTTAACTAGGCTTTAATGAAAATCGATCCAAGTGTAATTGATTTTGTCATTCAAACACACTCGTATCCCAATTAATTACACTCTGTCACTTTCTTTTCTTACCCCAACGGTCCTCAAAATTTACTTCCTATCCGTGTGTTTCGGTTTCAGCAAGAATGAAGATTGAAAAGTTAAGGATTTAGAAATTAGAAAATTTTTTACTATTTATTTTGGTTTTCGATCGAAATCAAATTTTGTTTCTAAAAGCCAAACCGAATCGAAATAATTTTGATTTTTTCGGTTCGGTTTTATATTGTATAATTTTACATTTAAAATTGAACCAAATATAATAATTTCGGTTCGATTTATTCGATTTTCGGTTAATCGAACCGTTTGCTCACCCCTAGTTATTAGAGATGACATTGGACGAAGAGTGGTGTTTTTTAGAAGAAGAAACCACGGGTCCGACGGGTTTAGCAAAATGGGTTGGTTTTTTTTTTAAGGGGCTGTTTGGATTTTGTCTTCTCTCTCTCTCTTTTTGTAAAAATTTCAGCCCCTCTATGGTTTCCTCTCCTCTTTCCCTTTTTGTGTGTAAAAGAGATGTATTTATAGGAAAATTTTATGGTTTTAGATTAATTTTATTTTGATTCCTCATTTTCTTTTTTATTCTACCTTAATCTTTAATATTTTCTTATTTCAATTACACCATCGGTTTGATTTCTATTGTCCTCGCCCATTTTATATATTTTCAATTTATGCCCATGTTTTTTTCTCTCTTTTTCCTTCTTTTTCTGTTTTTTAATTAAAATTAGGGAATAATTTTGAGAAATTTAAATCCTAAAAATTTATAAAAATACTTAAAAATTATAGAAAAAAGAAGAAACTATGCAATGTATAATTTTTTAAAAAATTTTTGTATAAAATAAAATCTTATTGTGGGGTCAAAATTGGGTATGACAATAGTTTGATAAAATTATTTTTTAATTATTATTTTTTATTCATTTTAGAAACCAAATATTCAAAATTTTAAATTTCATTCTGATTTTTTATTCCTATTCCAAACATAATATTAGAATGAACATATCATTCCAATTTCTTAATTTTTATTTCAATTCTTGTATTTTTATTTCGGACATTTTATTATTGGTAACCAAATGATACCTTATAGTATATGTAGCAGAACTATCACTCTTTTTTATTGGAAAAAAAAAAAGACACGGTTTATTTTACCTCCACATCTTTGTTTTCTTTGATTCATTTTTTTCAGCAAAATTCAAACTTAAAAATAAACTGTAATTGGGAATTTCTGTCTAAATACCCATATGCCAATCTGAAATGACAGAATTCGTCATCAAAGGCATATAATCCTTTAACTAATAATTTAAGACTTGTCGCCAAAGAAATGTAATTAACCAATAATTTTCTCCACTTTGCAGCAATGACATTGCGTCTCCTTACGATATAATTGGAGAATGCTATTGGAAGAATGAGCATGGAAATTGCAGTGATCGTTTTGCCCCTTCTCATATGTCTTGTGTTGAGAAAAATAATTAAATTGTCAACTATATTTTTATTCTTATAGACTTACTATAGATTTATCATGTTCCATTTCTATCTTTAATCTAAAATCTCTTAGTCTTACCCCTATAGTTTTTAAGAAGTTCTAATTTTGCTCTTTTCTATTTTCTTTTTACAATGAAATTTCCCTGTTTCTATTAATAACTAGCTAACAAAAAACTTGTGTTTTTTTTAGTATATTGCTAAATTCATGGACTAAATTGTTATTCTTACCACTTTTTTCTAGACAATTACTAATACATCATTCATTAATTACCAATAACTATTATATAACAAATATTAGTGAAGGATGTATTGGTAATTGTATTTTAAAAATGATAAGAATAACAATTTAGTTAGTAAATTTAGCAATATTCTCTTTTTAATGTTTCTGTTTTACTATTTCTTATTTTTCTCTTGTTTTTTACTTTCAAGTTCTTATAATATAGGCTGTAATATCTCACAAAAACATTTAAAAGCCTAAAACAATTCAAAAATCCAATTTAAAAAGCAGGTTACTCGATGGTTAGGGGTGATGTTGGGATTTTTTGAAATTAGAAGGGTGACATTTGGCAATTTTGAACTATATGGATAGAAGGGAAACATTTATGAATCTATAATAGCAAAAATAAAATTCGCCCACGATAAAAGAAGTTGATATGGAGTAATTCTTAATATTTTAAAATTTTCTATTGCTATATATTCTTTTGTAAACATAATAAACTTTTATTGGCCGGTCAATACACAGCTATAAAGGCCTCCCCTGAAGTGTTGGAAGGGAAAGTTTCTTCAACGGGTTCGCTCTTCGTTGCAATAACTTGGAAGAACAGTTTCTTATAACAGGAAGTAATTAAGCTGAATAATGGTCACTACTAGTCACAAATTTTTAAAGCATTTAACAAACTATATACTTAATGCACTAGTGTATGTAGGATGAATTAAAGGATGGCTTGTTGATGCAGAAAGATTTATATTTTGAGGCTGACTTCTGAATTTTGGCCTGCCCTGCATGTGAGAGAGAACCAAAAAATAATAGAGTAAAGGACACTGGATGTAGAAAGGAAGTATACAAAGTTTTTTATGCTAAAAATTGAGGCTACGTAACTTGCAATTGCCACCCGAAAATCAGTATAAAGGAAGCTTTAGGTCCAGAACATTAATCACAATTCTTGAATAATCTCAATTACAAGATCAATTTCATAACCAAAGTCTCAAGCTATGGCTCGATTGTCCATGTGTTTACTCATAATCTTCCTAGCCATTGTGGCAGAGGCAGCTCCTCATAAGCCCAAGAAAGCAAAAAAGTGTCACGACAAAAAGCGATATCCTGAATGTTTCAAAGAGAAAGACCGCTATTGTCCCGCAAAATGCCCTCGTGAGTGTCATATGGATTGTGCTACGTGCACACCTGTTTGCTCAGAGCCATCTACATTTCCACCATTCTTGTCACCACCACCACCAGAAAATGAAAATCATCCACCCCCTTCTCTAAGCCCACCTCCAACTACTTCCACTCCTCCTCCCACTGTTTCCACCCCACCTTCTCAAAATCCTCCATCACCACCAGATTCAAGTGAATCAGCTCCAAAGAGAGTTAGGTGCTACAACAAGAATTATGCCACTTGCTATGGTCAGGAGTACACCTGTCCTAGTGCATGCCCCAATCAATGTGAGGTTGATTGTACCATTTGCAAGGCTGTTTGCAGTATGCTTCTCCAACTCTTTCATTTCCATCAATCCGAATGAATATTATCATTTGTTTTTCTTCACTAATTTATCTATATATCTGCAGAGAATATTTTTCCCTGCTAGTATTACGAAGACTGAGTAAGCTGTCTACAGAACATTTTGTGTTTAGTGAGCATTGTATATTGATGTAGTTTTTCCTTTTTGTGAACAGACTGTGACCGGCCAGGTGCTGTGTGCCAAGACCCGCGATTCGTCGGTGCCGATGGAATCACCTTCTACTTCCATGGCAAAAAAGACAGAGACTTTTGCATAGTTTCTGATTCCAACTTGCATATCAATGCTCACTTCATCGGTCGCCGCAACGAAAACATGAAGAGGGACTTCACTTGGGTGCAATCTCTAGGCTTTCTGTTTGGCACCCATAAACTCTTCATTGGTGCCCAAAAGACAGCAAAATGGGATGACTCCATAGACCGCCTTTCGTTAGCCTTAGACGGAGAGCCCATATACCTCCCTGATGGGGAAGGCGTGAAGTGGAAGGAAGAAATATCACCAAGAGTGACCATCACAAGGTCTAGCGACGCAAATGCTGTTGTCATCGAAGTGGAAGACAATTTCAAGATCAAGGCAACCGTGGTGCCTATTACAATGAAAGATTCAAGAATTCATAACTATGGCATTACCTCGGAGAATTGCTTTGCACATCTTGATTTGAGCTTCAAATTCTACGCATTGAGTGGTGATGTGAATGGTGTTCTAGGCCAGACATATGCTAGCAACTATGTGAGTAGGGCTAAGATGGGGGTTCTCATGCCTGTTTTGGGAGGTGAAAAGGAATTTTCATCCTCAAATCTTTTTGCTACAGATTGTGCTGTTGCTCGATTTACCGGTCAGCATCCTTGGAGCAATTCTTCGGAGGATTTCGAGTATGCCAACTTACATTGTGCTAGTGGAATGGATGGTCGTGGAGTTGTCTGCAAGAGATAAAATTTGACCTCTCTCTGAGACTGCTAGAAACTATTGCATAAGCAATTCTGTATTAAATTTGTAATAAGATCAGATCTATGTAACTGAATTAATAGGTCTGTCTAGTTCCAATTTGTACTGAAGATTCGCTTACTTCAGAAATAAGATTCTACAATTATAATTCAGGGCTCCGCATACCCAGACTCAAATCCCTCGAATCCAAAGTATAAAAAAATCCATAATTGCAGAGCAACAATTCTTGTACAATTCTGTTAAAATGTTTAAACAAGTAGAAGGAAAGAAGAGAAAGGGCTACAAATATTCATAAAGAAACTTTAATTGCACTTGGTGCTCTACAAAACAGAAGGAATGAATGCCTGTACTAGCTAGCCAAACCTAAAGAAAATAGAAGTCTCAGCTTTTATTTTCCCATGAAATTAAAAAAAAAAAAAAAAATCTGTTTCTAATGAACTATTTTCTAGTGGGTATCAGCATGTGAGAAATAACAACAGGACTCTTAACCTTATGATTATTTGAGTCAATCCACTCTAGGGAAGCTGACAAAACAGGAGTATCCTCCAGTGGTGGCCCTTGTATTTTCACCTTGAAAGATTTCTTCTCGTTTACCTTATTGAAGACCAATGTATCAGGATTTACAGTGACCTTGAGATCTTTTGGTGCCTTCACCACTGCCTTGTAGGTAGATTTTTCGGATCCTACGTTTGTGACTGTCCTTATGAAGGCAGCTGTAATGCTAGACTGAGGATTTTCAAGATGCACATTCATTGATGGGTAGTTTAAAGCATCATGGCCACCGAAGGGAGAAATACTCGAACAATTCAGATTTTGTTCTCCTGTGACAATTCTTAAGGCTGTTCCAGAGTAGCTCGCCTTGCACAGGAAACGGATATAATCTATTTCTGACAAGTCATAGACCAATCCTGGATCCAGTGCCTTTATTGGGTCAATTTGGCCTGCGCCATAGCCCCATTCGGCAAACAAATCCCCGATTTCCATTTCGGATGCTGAAACAAGTAGAGAAAGTATAATGAGTAAACTTTTCTTTCTTGTTTTGTGTGAAAATTTCCTAGCAGGTCATTCATATTTGAGCAACTAATTTTTGCTATACTAATCTACTGAACATCCAAGATTCCAAGTCCAGATGACATCATGAAGATAGGACTGAAGAGTAAACATAATTCGAAGACTAACCAGTGGTCATGAGGGCGGATTTGATTGCAGCAGGAGACCACTCTGGATGGAATGACTTGATGTAAGCAGCTGCACCGGTTGCATGAGGGCAAGCCATTGAAGTTCCAGATAATATGTTGTACACGACAACCCGGTTGTCGATGGAGTATCCGGTCGCAGTAACAAGTTTGGAGTAAGCAGCCAGGATGTCAATCCCAGGTGCAACAATATCTGGCTAATGACATCACAAGCTACAAATTACGAATTTGACAACATTGATGATGCTTAGACTACATCACTAACAAAATTTTGGCCCATTCTGCTATCGATTTTTTGATATATACCTTCAAAATGGTTGGAGAAAGCAGGTTGGGTCCTCTAGATGAAAAGGAAGCCACAAATGGAGCAGAGACGTTGACAGTTTTTGATTTGGATATAACAGCGTAAGGGTTACTGCATTTTAAGCAAACCAAATCAAGTCACACCTTGCATTCATGTTTTTTGATCTAAACTTTCGAAAAAATGTAAGAAATGAGAGTTATATTTGAACAAACTTGGTTGTGTTGATGTATTTATCGATCTTAGCGCCTCGTTCACTGTCAACAATTGCTGCCGGTAGCACCATGGTAAATCCTGTGTCTAGTGAATCATCGGAGGTTACTATAATCCCAGCACCACCCATTTCTTTTACATCTGAATCTGATCCTCCTCGACATAGCACAATCTTTCCCTTGATCTTGTTTTTGTCCAAAGTCTCAACAAAACAATACCTGCGATACTGCATTTATTATTATGTGCTAAAACTGTCGGTTAATACATCTTTGATGGTGTCCAATACTCAACAAGATGCATCGTGCCCTTACCCCTCGGCATTTTCGAACTGCACGCTATCATTCCAAGCTTTCGCAGCGCTGGTAAGAGGATACATTCTTTCTTTTGGTGTGAAGGTGTTGACAGAAATTCCCTGTCATTGTAATCAATCATCAGCAGAACAATCGATTAACAATCAAAAAGGAAAAGCAGAGAAATCACATGTCAAGCCACATAGTATTTATCATCTTGTAGTATATGTTTATCAGTGCCAAATTGAAATAGAAATAATCATGTGATGATCTAGATCGACTTACAGAAGTCTTTATGCCATTGTCGTCGTTGCCATTTCCAATGGTAAGAGGAGTCCTGAACTGCCTATCCATGCCACTAGCACCAACAGTTAAAATCCAAGGAGACACATTTCCTACTGAAGCTAAAGCTGGCCCTTCATTCCCTCCGGCACAACTTGTCAGGATCCCTTTCTTCATTGCATGAAATGATCCAATCGCAATCGCATCGTTAAAGTAATCTGAAACTGGCCCACCAACTGACAATGATATCATATCAACACCATCCTGGATAGCATCGTCAAATGCAGCCATTATGTCCAAGTCACTGCACCCATCTACAAAGCATACTTTATAGATTGCAAGCCGGGATGATGGCACTCCACCTCGAGCAGTGCCTTGGGCCAGACCATACAGGCTTGCACCTTCTACCGAGACGCCAGCTACTGTGGAGGATGTATGAGTGCCATGGCCGTCGTCATCAGCTGGGGTGTTTTGATCAGGATGTGTTTTTTCTATGTCGTATGACCTCGCGCCTATTACCTTGCTGTAGCAGGGAATCACAGAGTCAGAAATACAGAAAAATTATTCATTGAAAAAGATAAAAAAAAAAAAGAAAGCAACTAAATGTTATGCAACCCAGAGGAGAGATTAGTAGTTTATAACGATATTCATAGGAAGTGATAGCTGATCTCTAGCTAAGTGGTTTTAATGCCTGTATTTCACACTAGTGATTGGAACATTAATGAAAATGAAAAATCTACCTGTTGCAGCCAGTGAAGTTGACTCCCTTTTGGCAAGCACCCTTCCACGATGATGGAGGTGGCCCAAAACCTTCGTCATCAAAGCTTGGGGCATCAACATAAACTCCTGAGAACAGTTCATGAAGCACAATAAGTAACTTACATCTAACCCTAATTCAAAGAGAAAGATCGAAAGTACAATAACACTATACCTGTGTCTAAAACACCAACAATAATGCCACTCTCCACTTGAGGTTTTCTTTCCACTGAAAGAGTCATTCCTATAAAATCCCATGATCTAGTGGTGAGAAGCTTTCGCTTGGTACTTGGAAACACTGAGACCACATTTTCATCCTCTGTAAATTACAAAAAGCATATAAATTAGTAAGTAGAAGTAAATTTATTTAACTAAAAATCTTATAGTTCCAAAATAATGTGAGAATATATTCAATCTTCATCCACACGTACGTTTTAATCTCTCAGCTTCTTCTGGCAATAAATGTGCTGCAAATGCATCAAAACTCTTTCCATAGCTGTGTAGTCTAGACCGTCGAGCTATATCCTCACTGAAAAGAGACAAGAACAAGGTATCAGGTCAGCGTTATATCCGCTTACAAACTAAATGCCTATAAAATGAAGAGTCTAACTCAATCAATAAGAAAAAAAAACACAGAATTTCAATCAAAATAATTCAAATAATACAAAGACCATATATTAGTAAAATCGGTTGAAAAATCATCAAATGAAAATCGGTTTGATGTTCTTCCCGTACAAAATCATTTTGGGAAGACATTTCTAAATCTATAATATTATCGGCTCAACTTCTACTTCTAAATATAAAATTTTTCACTTACTCTCCAACAACTGAAGAAAGCAAGCCGTGATGACGATCAGCAATAGAAATGTGATGAGTTTTTGGTGCATTTCCCATGTAGACAATGTAGGTCTGGTGTGATTAAAAACAACAAAATAAAATTTTCTTATTAAGATTAATAAATAATTAAGTGCTTAATTAGATATTGAATTTTTTTAAAGCATAACCTTTCTCTCTTTGTCATCAGTCGCATGACTAAATGACAATGTAGCTAGAAGGAAAAAACTGAAGATAAAAATTGTTTGTTTATCCATTGTTTGCAAATTTAATGCATGGTATTGCTTTCTTTCTTGCTATTTATGCATGGAGAAAGGTTATAATTTAGTTTTCTGTTCGAGATTTTTAAGGCTTAATTAGAATCTTTGATGATTTCCCGCTGGTGGTTAAGATGTTACAGCAGAAAATTTTCATTCAAAGCTTTGACTGTAAAAACTTTTGGGCTTAATTTTTTCTCCCCTTCATTTTCGTTTAGCAATTTGGGGTTAATTATAATTTAATCTCTATAGTTTTTAAAAAATAATTAATTTATCGTCATGGTTTCATCAGTTATATACTTTATCCATATTTTTTTAAAAAAAAAACATTTATAAGCTAGTCCTTTGTTACTTTCATATTCTTGTCTAATTAATTTATATTTTATTTTTTGAGAAATAGAAAAAAAGGGAAAGTAAAGTAGATAATGTGGAAGATTTGATTAGAAAAAAAGATATTTTTAGAACAAAATGACTATTACTAAATAGATGATTGGTCAATTTTGATTAGTGGGCTATTTAATAATTTTTTATATTATTAAAAAAAAAAAAACTAAAGCAGAATGATGGTTTATTATTCATTAGTATTGTTCCAACAACTATTCACTCAAATAGATTTCACTATATACATAGACTCATATGTATTGTTTCTTTTACTATGCAATAATATTTTTGTCATTTTCAAAATTTCTAAAAATATTTATTATAAAAGTTTTCATAACATTATACTTTAGTCTCTCTTTTTAAACATTGTTTCTTCGATTCTTCATTTTTTTGGTTCTTCTTTTTATTTCATTTTGGTCACTTTGGTTCTTGTTTTCTTTTTCTTTGATTTTATTAATTAGAACATTTAAGGCAAAAAAAAAAACATTTAGAAAAAAATATATACAAAGGTTTTTAGCTAAAAATCTATTGATTTTGACATTTTTCTTACATTATTAAAATTTTTTTAGTTAAGAATGTGAATAGAGATAAATAAATAATGTTTTTTACTAAAAATTTTATGAAAAATGTAAAAAATAATAAGTCAAATACAAAATTTTGATTAAAAAATTATAAAATTAAATGAATTTTTATTCAGTTTTGATTTATTTTATTTTAATAAATGTATAATATGACACTAAGTATCGAATTAAAATAATTTTATATTTGTGTAAAAAGGCTAGCCGATATTCGTTGAGAAGTTTTGATAAGCTACATAGAGGAAGTTATAATTATAACAAAAATAATGCCCTGTTTAAAACCCAACTCTAAGGTGGGTTGGGCTTAATGAAAATGGTGCGTTAATTAAAGCCTTGAAGGTTCTAAATGGGCTTTTTTCATGGATGCCTATTTCGTTATGCTTGGGCTCGATACACGTCATTTTTTACAAACGGAACAGGCACCACATATAAAAGTCGAATTAATCCCCATTTTGATACGATAAATTCAACCTTTCATGCACTATTTTGACTTTGAAAAAAAATTATTAAGAATTAAGCAAATTTTTTTCTACTCTATTCCCAACAATTAAGTCAAAATTAAAATAGCTAAAAGGCACTAAAAATAGCAATTAAAGAAAATCTTCAGCATTCTCAAATATAAAAATAAAAATTGTAACTCTAAATCTATATATTCTTTGCCGTTCAATTTTGTAACCAAAGTTCCTGATCAGTTCCAGTGAAGAATTTTTCATAGCCATCAGATTCATATACATGACCTTGTCGGTGCAAAATTTAGCAGTAAAAAAAGTTTCACATAGTCATAAATTTCCAACATAAGTCTTAATTTTCCTTTTAATCAGTTGTAAGAATCTGTCAACTCGTCAGATTTTCCGACGGTAGGAGTTTTCAAGGTACAAAATTAGATTCACCACGTT